CTTATACTTAACTTATACTTAATATAGTGCCTACTAAAATAAGTGTTCTAGCTTCTTAGGTAACTTTAAGTGCAACTTATTGCTAGTTAAATTAATAACTTAATTATTAAAAGAGAGAGAGAGCAGAGAGGAGATAGTATTTTAAATACTATTACCTTTATAACTACTCTCTTCTTTACTATAAAGATAAGTTAAAGTCTTAGAGGTATAAAAGTAAATATATTAGCTATAATAAGAAGTTGCTTCTCTATAAAGCGCATTAACTAGAGTGCAGGTTAGCTCCTGCTAGTTAGCGTATTTATAGTGCAACTCTACCTACTCTGCCTGCTACTTATATAGTATTTGCTTAATATTCTAAGCTATAGTAGCTTAGCTCTAGAAAAAACTTACTAGTATCTACTAGTTTAGAGGCAGTATATACCTATAGTAAGTAGGTATTAATATACTAGTAAGCACTAGTGCTTATAAATTAGCGCTAGCAGCTATACTACTAGAAGATAAATTAAGTAGTATATATAAGAAATAAATAGAACTAAAGGCAATATAAGCTTACTTTAATAATATATTAAATTTTTTAGTAGTAGAATTAAACTATATAGAAAATTTAGTATATATACTAAAGCTCTTACTTAACTTTTTATATATAGTAGATATAATATGCCTACTAGCATTTATAATTTACTATACCTTCTTTTATTAGTAGTATAGCTTAGAGTTTAAAGTATAGAGGTATACCTTCTAGACGCACTTCTTATAGGTTTTATAGCACTACTTATAAGCTATAGTAGAGCTAGAAATACAACTAGTAGAGCTAGTATTAATAAGCTTATACTAATATAGTATATATATTCCTAGAACTTTCTCTCTATTAGAGAGGTTATTATTATTAGAGTTGCCTTCTATAGCATACTTGCCTATATAGTAGGCGTTATAGTATAGTAGTAGGAGCAGTAGAGGCAGAAGAGGGGGCGCGCTAGCAGTAGACTCTCTAAAATTCAATTAAGTGTATAGTATATACTATATTATGCTTAGAATAATAGAAGTAATATAGAAGCAATATAGAAAAAGAAGGCAAGTATAGTAGTAGCAATCTTTAGAAATAAGAATTTTTAGTAGTATAAAAAGAGTATTAATAATACTTATTAAGAGGAAAATAATAAAAATAAGCAATATAAAGTTGCTAAACTATTTATAAAGTAGAGGTATATTAAGTATATACTATATATAAAAAATATAAAGTAGAAATATATAGTTGCTAGAGAGATTTATACTATATATCTATCTCTACTATATAGTAGTAATATAGATAAATCTACTAAAAGAAGAGTATATAATAAACTTAAGCTGTAGGCTTAAGTAAGTATAAAGCACTATATTAGTGCTTTATTAAGTATGCTTTAAATATATATTAAACCTATATATATATAATAAAAGAAAAAGAGAGAATAGAGAGCTTCTTCTTTCTCTCTTTTCTCTCCTTAAGTTTATAGTTAATACTAGTAATGCTTACACGCAGTAGCCTATAAGGCTAGTCCTTAACACTTAATTATATTACTTCTAATAATATAACTTTTTATATTTAAAAGAAATTAGCTAAGTTTTTATAAAATTATATTAAATTATATTTTAGAATTATATTAAATTATATTATATATTTATATAAAAGTATATTATAGAATTATATTAAATTATATTATAGAATTACACTAAAATATACTATAAAAGTATATTATATAGTATAAATTATTATATTTAGTATACATACTAGAGGTCTATACTACCTAGGGCTACTAGCCTAATACTAGGCTAAGTAGGTCTACATAACTTAACTATAGCCTTCGCACAAGAAAGCAGATTTAGCTGTGCCTGGACCCTGGACCGTGTAAAAGCGGGGCGTCTCGACATCAAGCTCACAACCCAAAGTACGGAGCGCTCTCCAACATCAATCCTGCAAGCACACGACTGCTATTCTACATAAATGCCACTCTACGCCGTCAATCCCTCAGCCATGGCAACCGCTCAAGAACGCTCCGTGCAACGCACACCACACAGACTACACGTCAATCACAGCTCACGCAAGCGTCGACACGCCGACGCGTCTGGGTCTCCATCTCGGTCTCCATCTAAGAAACAAAAGTTGACCCATCCAGATTTCCCGCCAGCGAGATACTGGGAAGACTTATCCAATTATCCCCACTCTAAACTGCATCTTACAAAGGGAGCATTACAAGCTTTAGACGACGTCCAAGACCCCCATCCCGCAAACTCGAGTCCTACGCCACCCAGAGGGCGCGAGCGGCTTGCTATTCAGTCGCCTCTCGATCCAGGAACCAGAACCAAGCAGCCTCGGGAATTTCTCCGTCGCGGCACTCCAATATATTTGGAAAAACTCAAGCGTTTTGCGGCACACGGTGGTCCAGATCTCACGGATTTAAGAGGGGCAAGTAAAGATGCCTTTACACACGCAAGACTAAAGCTAACCGTTTGCAGTATCCCTTTACTGGCCCAACGCCCAGCATGAGCTCGTACGACTCCAGTCTTGGCCGCCGAAAACGAGGCTCCCAGTCTCCTCTCAAAAAAAGTACACTGAACACAGGTACAACAAAGGCCACGAGTCCATACGATGCCAATTTCCAGCAACATTTAATCAACTACAACATCTACCCCCCTCTGTATACCTATCCAGACGGTAGTGACATGCAGCAACCAGCCAACATGGACGAAATCAAACAAATCCTCAGGCAACGCCGGCCCTCGCTTTCGCCCTCGCAATGTTCTGACGGCGCGTTCAAGTCGTTTCTAAGGGCAGATACACACGCTGCCAAGGAGGCACAGGTCATGGCAAGAGTGATTCCAATCATTGAGGGAGAGTTGGTAGATCATACGTGTTCCTCGGGGCACATTCCATTTAACAACCTCGATCAGTTGACTGATGGCTCGCTTGTTGCCGGGAACCCAGACCTATACTACGGGGCACGTCCTGAACAGCTTCAACTAGAAGTACGGAAGCAGCTGAGCGGCAAAATTGAGCCTTCGGCCCAGGACCATCTGCCCATAGTACCAAACTTCTTTCTCCACGTGAAAGGTCCGGATGGAAACCTCACAGTCGGCTCTCGACAAGCGTGTTACGATGGTGCACTAGGAGCAAGAGGGGTCCACTGTTTACAGTCATACGGCCAGGCGGAGTTGCAATATGACAACAATGCCTACACTCTTACATGTACATACCATGGTGGTACACTAAAGATGTACACCACTCACCCAATCCCTCCGTCAGGTCCCGGAAATAAGACCGGCTTTGCTATGACACAAATTAAAACTTGGGGCATGACCGGCGATGCTGATACCTTTCGAGAAGGAGTTGCTGCGTATCGCAATGGCAGAGACTGGGCAAAGCGACAGAGGGATAATGCGATCACTCAGGCAAACGAGAGACAAGCTATCATGGAAGCCAGCGGCTCATTAGTCGACAACAGCTCGGGGCCGAGCTTTGCAAGCGGGACATCTGCTGCTGAAACTGTGGTCACCAGCCGACGAACTACCAAGCATCCTGGTTCACCTGGACTACTATCCTATGAGTCTGAGACATCGGCAGACGAAATGTTGCTTGACATGAGACCACCTGTCAAGCGTCCCAAGTCTCATTCGCCGCGGAAGAGGTAGCTGGATATCTAGTGCCAGCTTCTCCACGCAACACGCCTAAAATTCGATGACTGAGTTGTCAGTTGGCGTTGCACGGAAAGCCTCAACAACATGACTAGCTGCAATGCAAAAGGGTTGCAGCTATCACGATGCCCTCACGGGCCTTATCAGGCTCAGGCAACAAGGCAACAAGGCACACAAAGCGGCGAGGCATCACTCCTTGGCTGCCCAGTCAGGTCACACACATAGGGTCTGTCTTGCATATACAGCCCTGGTTGGTCGGGTCCATCAGATTGAAGAACCGAGGATCTCTTGAGACTATACGATATTATATGTGATATGAGTTATTCGCTCCAAGCCCTGATCTCTACGACCAGCTCTTGTCACAGTTGGAATTGCGAGGCGGACAGCATATTAGAAGAAAAAAATACAGTACGAAAAGCACAAAAGAATTGCACAGCGCAAAGAATCAACAACCCTATCAACTAGATAAATATAGTTACATTTCTTTCTTTTATATTTCTCCTAGGGCGCGTAAACGAAGCCGTCGACAATACAAGTCCTAGTAGTATATAGATGCTCCAACAAGGCTTGAATTAAGTAACTAGAAATATATAACAGTGACATAAGTTGAAGCCAAACTCTTAGCATACAAGTATTAGTACAAGAGAACTCGTCTAAATGTTTATTACTTAGATAAGTTTTAGTCTTAGTTTGCCCTCTGCTATCGTGGAACGACTTGTTGTCGCAGTATATAGGGGACATTAAGTACACGAACTAATGCGGCGTGGCCACGCCCGTTTTTTGGTGTGACACTTGCTCCACTATATCTAGGAAAATCTAAAGATTTAAAGAGAAACTCAAACGCAGACTGATTAGTCTAAGCAACAACTCTTCGTGCATTGACGCGAGCCCCTTTCACGTCTTGCTTCGTTTCAACGAGGCAAACGTGTCGAAAAGTATCTTTGTCTTGCGGGGGAGCATATAGAACGCAAATGCTTACGCGACCAGCCAGGCACTCTAGTCAAGCAGTTCCGGCGTGTGCCCAGAGCTAAATTTGAGCTGTAGAGTCCTTGAGGATTCAAGGAGACACTGCGGCGATATCATGACTTTCCTTTGCCATGACGTCACAGGAGCCTCCGTCGTTGTCGTCGTCGTCGCACGTGTGTTAGGGGGGAAAGTGGAGTGAGTTATATAACCTAGGAAAATGAGGGGCATTATTACAGGGCGGACTTGGCCAGAAAACTTAGAGGAGACAAGCATCAATAACACCTAATGTCCACCAACTAGCATTACACGTGGCGTGGCGTGGCGTGGCGTGCGTCAGGTTCCATTTGTTCTAGTCTTGTCGCTCAGGGCAGATTCTTTTCCAGAGTAGAGCAAGTAGAAGAGGGCGTGGTGCTCGAGTACCCCGTTCCCACGCCAAACGGCAACGAAGCCGTGTTTCTCAGTCCCCGTCTCAGGACGCTGTATTTCGTATGCTCCTGGACCCAAGACGCACTACACCAGCAGGGAGCCAAGAGGCGTACAGAAGAACGGCACCGTCGACGTTCAGATTCACCAAGAATCGGGCTTCAATGCGCAAAGAGGAGGTTGTGCACGGAAAAGCCTCAACCACACAACTAGCTGCAACGCACAAAGGTTGCAGCCATCACGATGCCCTCGTAGGCCACTAGTGCGCTCAGGCACCAAGGCGTCAAGGCAATAAGGCATAAAGGGCATTACTCCTTCATTGCCTACTTCGGTTACACGTGTAAAGAAAGCCCTTGTTAGTTAGGTCCGTCAGATTGAGGAACCAAGGACCTTTGAGACCCCATGATATCACATGTGAATATAAGTCATTTACGCCAAGCCCTGATCTCCAAGACCAGCCCTTGTTGCAGGAGGTCCAGGTCCACCAGACATCAGCTACTCGAGTTGCTAAATCAGAACAATACAAGAGATGAACCACATCCGATTCGTTGCAACAGGAAGCGCATGAGCGTTTCTTGCGCCGTACCATAATACCGCCGTGCATGACTCCTTTCGAGATCGCCTACAGCGACGACTGCTCCTACCGCGAGAAGCAGGTCGAATGCGAGACGACAACGGCGGATCGTATAGGAGGAGCTGTTTCTAGCGTGCGACGGCAAGCGTGTTCAGACGATGTTGTTCGGACATAGCAGATGGACAGGCTGGCAGAGTATAATAGACGCGCATCCGGGGGCGTAAGAGTCGTCGAGTTGGCGCAGGGACAGATCCATCTTGGCACGAGGAACGCATATCGAAACAACCCCTTGGTTAAGCAGGTCCCAACACGCTAGAAGCTCCTTGCAGGTGCTCCAAAGACAGGACTGCCTCAAAAGCAGACGACGTGGCGGCGGTCTGCTGCGGCCCTGGTCCTATTCGACTCGCAACCGGTGTATCTGCAGTCCACATCCCTCGACGCAGATCCATGTCGACTATAATCAAAGGCAGGTCCCGATTTTCGAAGAACCATCTGTCGAGTGCAAGATGAGAGTGCACGCACGCAGCCGACGAAACAGCAGCAGCCGCCAAGACAGCGCATGACTGTCGTGTTGCGTCCACGCCGCGTGTGCCGTCGCGCCGTGGGTGCGTCCTTTGCCGCCCACAGCTATCACGGGAAGCCGGCGGCATGGTGTCGTAGAAAACGACTCTCGTCTCGAGTCCCAATCAAACATGGTCTCGGATCCACGTCCACAGAGTAGAGTAGGAACATGTCCACCATCCGCAATGTGCATACACACCACGCCGTGGTCTCCTGCAGATAGCCTCGTGCATGTTGCACAAGAAGTAGGACAAGGGGAGGCATGCCATGTGTAAGTGACTATGCGAGGGCCAAAGGGCAAGAGTCGGTCCCGACGGCACCGGCTTGTCCGCCACCTGCGCGATTCTAGTCGCCTCGATACGACAAAGCTGTTCATGTGCAGCAGTGTACTGGATGCCGTGACGTGCATACTTCTGTCCTTCATCATCACTGGCAGTCGTTGGAGCGAGGGTCAATACTCTGTGGGAATTAAGACATGTATGTAAGTCGCGAAACGAACGGCGCAGACACCTCTTGGCTTTTCAACACATCACTCTCGCTCTCACTCGCTCGGCTTGACTCAGAAAATAAGCCTAAAACATATTATATGAACATCATGTCCGTTGAGTCTTCAGCGGTACAGCCAGCATATTTGATTTTGGGGACGACCAGCCACAGTATCCTATCCCGTCCTGCTCGTCGCTGTAGGTCGTGGTAACCCCAACCATCTATCAAGTAAATCATGGGTCTCGGAGCTGGGAAATCACACCCAGGCGCGCGGAACTGCCTTCACGTCGTGTATTTCTGTAGTATGTGCTTGGCGAGTGGTATTGGAGGCCAGCAGCGTATGGACAGGCGTTGCGGGCCTGCCTTGACTTAATACTTGCGGTGGCAAGTGTCGGGGATGTGCTTGCCCTGCACAGAGTAAATGCGTTAGTGTATCCGTGGCGAGCAGTGTTTATATCAGCCCGGACGTGGGGAGAACATGCCGTCTCGCAACGCTCAGGGCAGCAAAAGACTTGCTTGCAGCGGTGGTGGTGAAGCAGTTCAATGTCGAGATCGATGCCGAGGATTCCGAGGACGTTGATGTCCAGGTCGATGGCGAGCAATTCGTCGTCGGTGCAAACCCAGTAGTTGCAGCGGCCGCCGTGGCCGCCGTGATCACCATGCTCAACGTCACCGCCGTGGTCACCGTGCTCGTCACGGTCACCGTAGTCACCGTCGTTGTCGTATGTTGGGGCGGCAATGGCAACCGCGGCCATGGCGAGGACGGCAACAAGTGAAAACTTCATGGTTGGCGGCCCGAGGGGTCTTGGGAGAGCGATGTGAGGATTATGATTTATGCCGACAAGTGGTGATAGGAGGCCTTGTGAGCTGGTGGTGGATGGTGATGACCAGAGGAGAAGAGGGGGACTCCAGAGGTGAGTTCGGGGAGGACGACTTTATTTATACTCGAAACGAGGTTTACAAGACGACCTCCCGGCCCTCACGGAAGGCGTCCCGGCTTCTCTCGCATGGACAGAGGTCTTGGCCGAGTCTCCGATACTCCATGGGGCACATTTGTGTTTGTGTCTATTTCTCCCTGGCACAGCAACACCGGGCTTGCCCAAGCCTCGTATTGAGCTCAAGACAAGGACGCCCAGCTCGACGATGCCTGCTCCCGCAACGCTCCGCTTGGGCCAGCACAGCACAATAGAGGAGGCCTGCGACGCCGGCTTCATGGGTACTCGTCTGCGTAGATGGCTCTAACCGAACTCCTGCGCATCCTGGACAGCTCATCCAGGCTCCCATGCCCCGGGCAGGTCGAGCGCCATGTGTGACTCTCTAGCTGGTTAAGAGTCGAGCCACTTGGACTTTATTGGAGGAGCCTCGACGTATGTCGAATGGGGGCCGGCTTTTCCAGGAATCGGCGTCGCGGAGGTCCCTTGCGGCCGTTGTTCTCTTTCTGATTACCTGGGCGGTTGTATACGCACTATGGCTTGTGCGTGTCCAAACCGGGAACAGCTTCACCCCCAACGGTTCCGTTTGTTTTATTTTAGTCGTATTTTTTTTGCATTCCGTTCTGGCCAGCAGAGCACAAGAGTGCTGGTGAATGCTTTTATTCCGTACTGGAGCAAGCACACGCATCAAAGTGCCGGCGAGGGGGTCGGGGGAAAAAGAAAGCACAAGGCGACGCAACCACGATATCTCCTAGAGCGTTGTGAGACATGCCAGCCTGTCTCTGGGAGAACGGTTGAATCCAAAGGTTCACGTGAGCCTTCAAGGGAAGGGCAAAATGGCCACAACCCGCCACTCCCCATCACGTCGGCGACCATGATCCAGCCCTCTCTCGTCTGGGACTCTGGGCAGTCGACGATCCGCCAGGCTTGGACGTGCAGGATCGCCCGCGCCGCAACTCGACGCAGCACATCGTGGGTCCCCAAGGCGCTCAAGCCCAAGGTCTTCAAGTCTTGGCCGTGTCTTGTTGGGACAGCTCGTCACGGCAACTCGTGACGGCAGCCCTCCGCGACGAAGCTTTGCCAGGTCCGGCTCGAGCGGCAATGGCCATGTGCCTCCGGAGAGAATCATGCCATTGTCCCTTTGCCGCCCCCTCTTGCGGAGCACGGAATACGGAGTGAATAGCAGCTTGTGCAACGTGCGGGCAAAGCAGCAACAGCCGTGGTATTGCGTCTCCCGGGCTCAGCCCTGCATCGGCACTAATTGGGACAGACCATCTCGAGCTGCGTGCGTGTAAGTAAGCCGCCCAGCAGACCCGGCTGGGGATTTACATGAGGAGCAACTGAGACAGGCATCGCCCAGAGAGCCGGGGCTGAAAAGCCGTCACTGCAGTCGGCCTAAAACGGATGGCAACGGCCACCCGGCGAGGCATCGACGGCCTGCAGGGAGAGTTGATAAATCATACCGGGTCCAAGTTCTCTGTTTTGTCTCCCGAGAATGGACAGAGTAGAGCAGAACAGAGAAAAAAATCCCCCAAGACGCCCTGTCTCACCTGTATGCCGACTTGTCATGACACGGCAAATCGCAACCGGGCTGATGGCGTGAATCGTAGTCGTAAAATCAAGCCAGCCTCGTCGTTGATCTCGGTTCCAAAATTCTCGCAAAATTCGCATGACCCAATAGAAATATCGGCATGTTTGTCACGGGCACGGACGACTCTGAGCCACGGCTGGTGGGCAGTCGATGCGCGGCCTTCAGCTTCAGCCGTTGATGCTGATGTTTCGTCACCGTCATTTCGGCGCTGGCTTTGAGCTCTCCGTCACTCCGGCTCATTCATGCAGAGGTCACAGAGCAGGATCAGTCTCAGCAATGACGAATCTACTGGTGTCCCCAGGACTTCGGACAGTTGCACAGGGCCCCGAAGCTCGAGGAGGAGCCTGGCGCAGCTACACTAGCCTGTGTCGATCGCTGAAAGCTCCAGTAATGCGAAGATAATACTCCGTGATGTCGGGGGCTCGATTGACCTGCTGTACGGAGCGCCTCAACGGCCCCAGGGGCCAGCACCATGATGGATGGTGCGATGACGACGACGGCGAAGCGGGCTTGCTCGAAATGGTGGCACTCGGTACGTCGTGCCGGTCTTGGCTCCATCAACTGTTTCTTTTTCAAAGCTGAGTTTGTCTGAGTCAGTGGACAATGGAAAACGTTTTCTGGAGAAACTTTGAACAACGGCAGTCGTGGCATCGTGTATGAGGTAAGACCAAGACCGATCGCGCGGTTTGTCTCACGCAAGCGTTGTGTTCAACAGCGCCGATCGGGTCCGTCTGCAGTTCCTGCCCTTGCGACGTAACGAGGGCGGTCTGGTTGTAATTGTTTGACTTGCTCCTCCAGCGCCTGCTGGGCCTGGTGTGTTCGTGGTTCGGGAATCGGGGCGTTTGTGCCATCATCTAGTTGTCCAGCCAGTCTATTTGGTCGACGTAGCTGCCAGCAAAGGCATCGACTGTTGAGGATACATGCCACAGGCCCTCGTGACGTCGCAAAATTAAATGAGAGCTCGCCAATCGCAAGCTTGCGTCAGAGTGCCCTGAATCAAGGGCAGCCCGTATGGAGCTCGGCCGCGTTAGCAACGTCGCTTCTGGCAAGACGCGGCGTGGTCATCTTGACTCGACAAGATATAAAACCTCGCCCGTAGTTTTAGTCCCTGGTTCCGTTTTTAGGCCACGTCGGGTCAAGTCTTGATGGCACGAGGTGCAGGCATAACCATAGCCTGTCGCTTTTCAAGGCTGCACACATCCGCCGGTGAGTTGCCCAACGTCGGTGTTGGAATCCTCGATTCAGCCTGATATTCTATCCAAATCAGTCACTCGAATAGAATCCACAGAACAAACACGTCTGCAGAGAATTAGTTGCCGGGCCGGGCCCTGCCTCCCCCAGCCAGCAAGCACAACGACTCAATAGTCAACCGTGGCCGGCCACGTGTTGAGAAGGGGCCCAGAAGGCGCCTCGTACGGAGCTTTTGAGAGAGTACGAGAATTCCTATGCCGCCAGTACCGACACCCCGGTTGACTGGGCTTCTGGTGAGCGCTTCTCTCGCAGAGGATGCAAAGTTCCGTGTGTCCAAAGAACGCCCTGCTGGCAAGCAGCATGAAATGGAGAGCAAGTCTGCACGACAAACAGGGGCAACCGGCTTTTGTGCGTGAAACTCACGCCACTATAGCTTCCGAACGCGCTTTTGTGAGACCTTGTCGTGCGCATCCTCCGGCTAACAACATGGCCGAGCTACGTGGTGCAACGCGTCGTATCTCCATTATGCATGTCCCGAAATACGTATGGCCTTTGGGAGCGCCTGAGCTTCTCCCCTTTCCAGTATCGTCTGTCGACATTGCCGAGTCCACGGCTGTCAAAGACTTGCGTCATTCCCAAGAACTGCAGCCCTGCACTGCAGGTCAGTTACTTGCCGCCGCGAGCACGGCCGCTGGGCTCACAACAAAGATTCAGAAACAGAGGAAGAAAAAGAAAAACACAAGCCGGTAAGCGAGTGAAAAGGGGTCAGGGGGGGGTAAGCGAATGCGACCCGGTGACCCGTCGACGGGATTAACAGCAGCACATGTCACGCCGGACTTGGTTCCCATCATCATGCACTCGAAACAGCATCCCGTCCCTCTTGAATGCATCCACAGCGTCCAGATATGTCTAAGATGAAGCGCTCGGAAGCACGACATGGTGTTCTGCCCGAGACTCTGGGTGCGACGCTGGCGCGGCCAAGACGCAGAATTCCACGACAACGGGTGTGATCGCCCTTGGCTTATCGGTAGCTTGCACATGGCTCATGTCTGCTTAGAAAGTGCTCAGGAGATGATACCTTCGAATTGCGCCGACGCAGTGCGCTTACATGAAGGACGACGTTGTGGTGTCTGGTAGATTCAACGGCCCGGTATAGGATAGTTGTGGAAGTGCCAAGTCGCCTAGTAGATGCGCCTAAAGCGTAAGACTACAGCTAACACTATTACCTCTTCGCTGCAAAGGCCTTGTTATATACTTGCCTTTAACGCACGGCCGCCTATTGCGCCAACTAGGGCATTATATGTAATCTTACATTATTTTAGAGTAACGACATGTATCGCTTCTCTGTTCATATAACCTTTAGTGGTCTACCACTTCTCTTCTTGTTTTCTACTGATAGGGTTTTTTTCTAACGTTCTAATACCCGGTGTGGTATTGAACAGAGCTGCAACCGCACGGTAGGTTCTACCTGTAGATAACTCAGCCACTATAGCTGCTTTTTGAACCGGGCAAAATTCATAATGTTTAGGCTGGTTTACTGATAATTCTACGCCAAAGGCACGTTTTTCAGGCATTTCGTTGCAAAAGATATCTGTAATTAAGGGTAATAGTTGTATTGAAGGTCTAGAGGTTTTGTTCGCAAACTGTTGAAGAGTACGAATCTATCTAGAGAGAAAGGAAAATCCATAATGCCCACGTAGTCTGTGGTTCGCTTCAGGTAGAAGCGAACCTTGTGTGGCGCCTACGTTCAGCCGCTGGAATGGGTCGTAACGCCTTAAATGAGCGACTTGATTTGACACGCTTTCTATATTTGTGGTGGTTTTTGACAGCCGCTTTTGGCAGTTGCAGGCTTGCTGTTGTTGTTGCTGTTATTGCTGTCGTTGCTGTCGTTGCTGTCGTTGTTGCATTTAGTTTCGTAATCCTCCGCAGAGCAATTCCTTTGGGCGCACTTGTTGCCAACAGTACGTTTAAAGTCAGGAGGGCAGACGCCACTAACGATAGGCTCAAATTCAAAATGCTTAAAGCAAACACATGCATTCTGCCTATCCAGAGCTTCGTTGTTGCTGTTATTGCTGTTATTGCTGTTATTGCTGTTAGTAGCGACTTGCATTGCTGTTACAATAATACGCTAAATACGGAGGCGCGCGTCAAAAATCCTGCCTATTGCATAATTCCACAACGTTACATAGAGCTCAGTAGGGCGCTAGCTGTAAGGTAATTATTACACTAAATTATAGTATAAACTTAACTAAGTTTATAGCTAACTTCTTTTCTAAACTTTTCTTTAAAAATCCCTTAATTTTAAAGCTCTTTAGAGCTCTTTTTATAGCTCTTTTTATAGTATAAATTTATAGCTCTTTTTATAGTATAAATTTATAGCTTAAATTTAACTACTTACTTAACTACTTAAATCTACTAGCTAAATTTAACTTTATTTAAAATAACTACTTTAAAATAGCTTATTAAATTTACTTTATAATAAAAGTAGTAATCTTAGCTCTTTAAACTAAAAGTAGCTATATAATATTATATATTATATAGCTATTTTAAGTCTTTAAGAAGTTTATTTAATAAATAATTTAAGTAATTAAAAAAAGCTTTAACTTTAGCTTTTAGCTCTTAAAGATTAAAAATTAATATTTATAACTAAAGCCTTAAAGTAGCTACTTAAGTAAAGTTAATAGATTAAAAGTTTAAAAGTAAATTATTAAAAAGATTAGTACTAATTAATATAAAAAAGAGAAGTTAATTATTAATATTACTAAAAAGCTTAATAATAAAAGTATATTAATTTTTATTTTAATAGTATTATAAACTTTAAAATCTTTAAAGTACTAAAAAACTAAGTTAATAAAAAAGCTTAAATTAATAAAGTCTGTAAAAAAAACTTATTTTTAATAATATATTAATTATTATTATTAGTTTTAAAATAATTAGAAATAAGTTATTTAAACTAATAAAACTATTATTATCTTAAGTTATTATTATAAAAACTATTAAATTTAATAGTAATCTTTAGAGGCTTTTTTATATAGCTATATTTATAAGTATTAAAAAGTTATTTAGAATTTATATTTTAAGGCTTTTTTTTATATAATTATAAAAGCTTTTATTATTATTAAATACTAAAGACTACTATAAAGTATATTAAAGCTATAAAAATTATTAATAAAATAAATTAAGACTTTAAGCTTAAAATAAAAACTAAATAAAAATTATTATAACTTAAATACTTAAGCTTTATAATAAAGCTTAGCTAGAAGCTTATATTTAAATAAAATAAGTTAATAAGTAAGTTATTAAAGTTAAAAAAAGAAGTATTAACTAGTATTATTACTAAATAAAAATCTTATTATTAAAGCTTCTTTTATTTATAAAGACTCTTTTAAGTATAATAGTTTAGAAAGATAAAGTACTATTATATAATTATATAATATAATAATAAATATTTAATATATATAAAGTTAAAAAGCTCTTTTAGCTCTTAAATTTACTTAATTTAAATTTAATTAAAGTAGTATAGCTATAAATAAAAAAATAAATAACTTAACTTAAAGCTTTTAATAATAAAAAAGAAAGTATTAAAATATAATAAATTTATTAAAAAAAGCTACTATAAAAAGCTATTTAAAGGTAAGTTAAATAAATTTCTAAGTATATTAAGGCTATTATTTAATTATATAATAGAAATAAATATAAAGAGAGTTAAAAGCAGCTATAGCTAAATTAAGTAGTAGTATTTCTAAATTAATTAGTATTATTTTTTAGCACCTCTATTAGCTTGTAGAACAGGCAGAACTTTTAACGAGCACCTCTATAGGTAATTTTAACTATAACAGAATTAGGCACGCCTGTAGGTCTGAGACTTCGGCTGTTAAGGCAGGGCTGGATGTAGATCCAGATACAATTTGTGAATAACTCGGCTGTCAATTTTTACTACCCCTATAGTCTCAGAAATTGTGCCTCGGATTGAAGCTATAAGTCAGTCTAAGACGAAGTCCGCTTTTATCGATTTTCTGCTTCGATGCATTGCACTCAATAGCCTAATCGTGCCCGCCCTATATATTTTAGGTAGTTAGTTGCCCTCACTACCTAAAGGTAGTGCTGGACACTAAGACGGACTAGACACTAAGGCAGGCTAGTTTTTAACCTAATAGCTTTATTAACCTCTTTACCTATAATATATACTTTTTTTATCTTATATTTCTAGTTAATTTAATATAGAATTTAAATGCTATTTATATGCCTTTTTAGCAGCTTTAAATTTTTTTCTTTAAGTATAATTATAGTGCTTTTTAGTAGCTGCCTTTATAACTTAATAAGTAGTATTAAAGTAATTATTATTATTTATAATAGACTTAAGCTTATAGCTTAAGTATATATAAAGCACTATATTAGTGCCTTATTAAATACTTATTAAATATATATTAAACCTATATATATATAATAGCTAGAAAAGAGAGAACAGAGAGCTTCTCTCTTCTTTCTTCTCTTTCCTTAAGTTTATAGTTAATACAGTAAAGCAGGTTTATAACAATCCCCTGCTATAATAATTCAGCACACACGCCTAGGCGTAAAGTACCTTTTCTATATATTATATATATAAAAGTAACTTTTAACTTATAGTAATTTTTCTTATAGATATTGCTTATTAATATATATAAGTTTATAATTATATACTACTTTACTTCTCTTAAAATCTCTTATTAAGCTTTATTAAGCTTTACTAGCTTAATTTTACTAATAAAAGTAAGTTCTTTCCTAAAAGAGTAGTTGCATCTTAGCGATATAATCTCTATAGTTAGGTTATAACAATGAAAAATTGCTCACGAAGGATATTGTTATAGACCTAAATTTACTGTACTAGTAATGCTTACACGCAGTCGCCTGTTGGGCCAGTCCTTAACAAGCAGGCACAATTAGAGACTTACTATTCTTAGCCGAGCTACAGAGGAATTCTTAGCTAATATATTCTTAGACAGGCATAAAATTTGTACTATGCAGTATCTAGCTATTTTGCTATAACAACAGATTATATGCACTACTTGTTACTCTATAGTCTGCCGTGCATCCGACGCATCCTGTCTCTTTAGCTGCGGAAGGGTTCCCTTTTAGCGTGGCAGGGATCTTAGCGCTAGCTCTTAATAGCATAAGCATAGACATAAAACAAAGATAAGACGTACTACTCTATAAATATTTAGGGGTTTGTTCCACTCTAGGGCTGCAAAGAATCTAAAAGAATGGATTTAGAGATTGCACGGATCATTACAAAAGTCGTGTACACGTCTACAGCTCACTAAGTGATGCTAGATGTACGTAAGGGCCCTCGTCACGCGTGTGTCTTATATGTTTTCCTGTGCATCCCAAGTAACATCTACCTCTATCACTATCCTATATTCTATACTGCGCCACCCCCTGCACGTTGGAGAAGTTAGCTGCAAGGGGTAGAATTATGCCAAGGCTGGGTGGGAGTCCGTGGGCCAAGCAGTTATAACCATTCTATTTGTTACTATGTGTGTATCTGGCTGAGCTGTGGAGCAACTTTCTGATATTTCTATGCAGAATTGTGGTCTGTCATGTAGGGATTCTAGGTAAGCATCTAACGTTTACGTGGCCCCAATACTTGTACTGCTGCCATCGCTTAAGCATAATGTTCACGTGGATGTAAACGAGAAGCAGTCAACGACTCTTCAGTAGGCGTAGTGCATCGCACCGCGCTAGGCTGGCTCTAGGCTCATTGGGGCGATGCAAGTTCGGTGGTATTGCATGCGATAGTTTTATTACGTCAACAATTGTGCTGCTTTTATGGTCAATGACTGAACATCAATTGATTCTTGGAGCTTCAAGAGGTATGCGTCAGCCTGCCGCAGCCAAAAAGACGGCTAGCTGTTTGCTGGCGACATTTTCGCTGGTTGCCCTACTTGCTAAACGACATGAAATCGCTGGAAAGAGCGGCCTGCATGGATATTTAGGCTCGTAGAAATATGTCACTATCCGTCACAAGATCACACCTTGATGCAACGCATAATACGTAGAAGAGCATGCACGTAAAAGCCACGTGCCAACGAAGCTATCCAAAGGGCAAGGACGGATGCATTCATACCGTGCTCGAATCGCGTTTCTACTCATTGACCTCGCCAAGCTGTCGGGGATGGCGAGACGTGAGAGTGATTTCGTCGTCGTCGTTATTCGAGCCCGTTGAGTCGGCCAAAGCATTTGTTCTGCAGCAGACGAGAACATGAGGCGTGCCACCAGTCAACCTCGAGATTGGAACTGATGCTCATCCTCTTTCGCCCCTCAGTGGCCATTATGCCAACAGGTCGAATGGCGGCCGTTGTACCACACCAAATCGCCTGGCCACCGACTATCTGGACTCTGACGCGGTCGCCTTCGCTCGGTTGGACAGCAAGCCTTGGCTGCTTGCCCTGCTATCAACCCGACTGAGTCGTCGCCACTCACCACGCTCCTTTTCTGTAAAATTCACCCAAGACCAGTCGTGCGGGACGGATCAACAAAAGTTCACGAGGCAGGCAATCTTTCCTAGGGTTAGGGTTGTTTGTCAACGTCGCCGACAGAGCGTTCTTCATCGCGACGGCGTCGCCGACGCTGCAGGACCGCCATGCCGACAAGGCAGGCGTACGAGAAGCCGGGCCGCGCCGTGCAAGGAACAAGCGGCAAGCGGCAAGGTGCTCGCGGTTGTTCAATGTTGACAGCCGTGTTGGCCACGTCCGGTCTTCGCCAGTCCCGACTCCCACCGTACCACGCATGCCAGTCGGCAACAACCATGTCATTGCATCGTTGTAAGCCCCGTCTACCGGGTATACAGCGTCTCGTCTTGCTGCCTGATCGCCAGTCGTATCCCTATCCTTGACTGCGCCGAGACCACGACCCCGGCCGTCGTGTTGCGCGTCAAACATGATGTCCAGAGCGGCATCGTCCAGGCTTCCAATCCAAAACACCATGCCCCATCTCCGGTGAAAAAGTCCCTCCGTTCCACTCGTCTACGAGTCACACTCACCGTGTGCCTTGGAGCCACCCCCGTCATCGATGACCACGCTCCCCCGGCCCCGGCGCGCAATCAAGTCGTGCATCTCAACGTCGTCGTCCTCGAATCCAGCCTCCCGCAGCGCCGCGTGTTCGCGCAGCGCCCGCCTCGCCCCGGCATCCTTTTCCATCCGCTGCATGAGGTCCTGGTCCGTCGGCCAGTACACCCTCCGCACGCCCTGCGCCACCAGATCCATCACCACCAGCGCCGCCAGAGCCACGAGCAGCGTCGTCCACCACGACGCCTGCCGCCCAAAGTTGCGCAGCAGGCCCCGTCGGACCATGTCCTTGCCTACTTTGGGGGGGTACATGCCCGACAGGAAGAGACACCAGAGGAACCATCCGGCCACCGAGATGATGAAGCCGCCAAACGTGATGACCGTTTTGGAGTGTAGCTCGAGGATTCTGTCGCCGGGTCAGTTGATGCGTTGCTGATGGCAGGTGGTCTCGACAGAGAACAAAAGAAGAAGAAGAAAGGGAAAAAAAAAGGGGCGGTGGAAAAGCACACCACGCCCATGGCATAAAGGCTAGTGTCCGCCGTAAACAGCGCGCTCCAAAACTCGCCCAGCGTAAAGTAGTAAATGACAAAGCTGCCTGCGACCCCCATCGCCATCCATCCAAAGTACTGTCGCAGGTTGAACCCCCTGTTCTGCTGTCCAAACGTGTACAGCTCCGGCACGGCGAGCAGCGTCTCGGCGCCGAGGTCCTTCTCAAAGATGCCCAACAAGATGACGGGCAGTGAAGTGAACAGGCTATTAAACACGGTCAGACTCCACGACTCAAAGAGCGACGTGCCCGAGTATCCATTGAACCGCTGAAAGTGCGCCTGGACCATGAAGAAGAGCACCTCCTTCCAAAACGTCGCGAGCACGTATTTCCCCGTGCGGAGGTAGTTCCAGCGGCCGTGGACGAGCAGCAGCTGCTGAAGGAAGCGGAACTGGGCGATGGAGTAGTCGGATATGCGTGAGGCTTGGAGCCCTTCGCGGCCGAAAATCCCGATGCCGACGTGCGAGGACTGGATCATGCCAATGTCGTTGGCGCCGTCACCAATGGCGAGGGTCATGGACGAAGGGATGAAGCGTCGGATGGACGTGACCAGGTTGGTCTTTTGGGAGGGTGAGGCGCGGCAGCATATCACCGAGTCGACGCGGAGGACGAGGTCATAGAAGAGGACGGCCAACTCGTCCGAGGCATCGATGGTGGCGAGGGTGTGGCCGTCGACGACGACCACTGAGTGCGGGACCATGCCACGGCAGACGTCGTTGAGCGTCGACGTCATGGTGTCTCGGAGGTTGCCCCGGGCGCCGTCGAGGATGTATATCTCCGAAAACGGCTTGCACACGCGGGCCGAGTGCCCTATATTGATGGCTGTCTCGCGCTTGTCGCCTGTCAGCATCCAGACTTTGATGTTAGCTCGTCGGAGCTTGTCAATCGTCTCGGGCACGCCGTCTTGCAACTTGTCTTCAGTGGCAGTGGCGCCAGCAAGCTCGAGCTTCTGCTCAATCATCTCGCCGGCCCTCTCAACCAGCTCCTGGCGGTTGACAAGACTCGTCTCGGCCTCGCGGTACAGTTGCTTCCAAGAAGCGTAGGCATCCTCGTCGACGTACCGATACGCGTGCAGCAATGTTCGCAGACCCTCGGTTGCAAAATCTTCAACATGTTGGAAGCATTGCTCGAAAACAGCCGCCTCGTTGCTGGCCATGGACTCGTCAATTCGGTGATCCACGTCCTCAACCGCCGGCATGTGGCTCAGACTCTGTCGTCTGGCGTGTGACAACACATCCTGCGAAACTCGAGGCGTTCCCGACTCGTCGGCTTGTCGTCTAGCCACCCACGACCCGACGCCCTCTGAGCACGGAAGTCTGCTGGCATCCATCGACAATCTGCCAATGCTGCGTCGAAGCCTCTCCAACCGATCGATCGACTCGCCTCGCTTCAAGGCGAGACTCGTTCTCGGCGTACCCCTTCCACTGGCCATGCTCATTCGTGTTCGGACCTTGCCCTGTTCGAATGTCTTGCGCATGCTAGCCCGTCGGCTAACATCACTTGCCTTTTGTTCAGCCAAATGACTCAATCTAAGTCGGGAAGTGATGACATTGTCGGCGCCCTTGCAGAAAACGCAAATGCGGCCATTGGGCATTCTGATAATGATTGACATTCTCTTCCTCTTGCTGCTGAATTCAACCACGTCCAGCACCTGGTACGACTCGACTCGAAGCACACCCCTGTCATCATATGTCTGCAACTTGATAGTCTGCGCGGTACGATCCATCAACAGCCACCCCATGTCGCGGGCGTATTCAACCAGTGCCAATTCATCGGGAGAAGCAGCCTGAAACGAGAAATCACCATCGTCCTGTTTCTCAGGCAAGCAGGTGTGACACAAGGCAATGCACAGCAGAAAGTGTCGTACCTTGCGAGAAAAGACGGTGTTTGGGTGTCGGCGAACATAGTCCAACATATCCTCCGTCTTCATCTCTGGTTCCTCGTTCGGCCGCACCGTCGACCTCCAGCGTGATGCACGTGCAAGAGAGGCAGTCCTCCTGGGCTGTGACGCTCGTCTATTAGCACCCTCCTCCTCGTCCTCTTCCAAAATGTCATCTTCATCCCGATGGAAAAACTTGGTCTTGTGCGGCGAGACGGGAGGCGGGGGCTGCTGTTCCTGCTTGCCCTTGTTGTGACGACTCCGCGACGCAGCTGCCGCCATGTCCTTTTGCTTCACATGCTCATCGCGTTGTATATCCATGTCGTGAAGGAAAGCCACCCCCGCAACGCTCATCTTGCGGAATCGCATAATGTTTTCAGTCAACGTACCGGTCTTGTCCGAAAATACGTGGCTCACTTGGCCCAGGTTTTCCAAGATGGTAGTCGTGTTGGCCACCATGGGGGTATCGGTGACGGGGTCGTACATGTCGACGTCCCGCAGCAAGAAGAGCTGGCCAATCTTGATGATTTCCATGCTGATGTACAGAGAGAGCGGGATCAGTGTGTTGAACATGATGAGGTAGCCGAAAAAAACTTCCTTCAACGGCACACCGGCAGTCCACTGGCCTGGGGTTGCTACGTAGAACGACCAGTCTTGGGTGTCCTTCTTCCACAACGAGTAGCCGACGGTAAGTCCAGCAGCGAGCGTGAGCACAATGACAATCTGAAAGAGCACCATCTTGTTGATCATGGTGTGCATGGCGGGCTTCTTGGCGGTAACATTCTTGTTGGCGTTCATGCGAATCTTGCATTCCTCTCCGGAATTGACCACTATGCCGATCGCCTCGGCAGTGTTGCGAAGAATCGATCCGCGGTAAATGACATTGTTCAACGACAACGGCTGTGTTTCATGTCCGGCTGTGACTCGGCCGTCGTAGCTGTACAAATCAATATTGGGATCCTCCGAGTCAATTGTGGCCGTGGTCGACTTGATGCCGTCGAGCGTGTTGCACCGCTCCGCCAACAAAGGACAGGCCTGCTTGCTCTTGAGATTTGTCTCACCATCTAGAGCCATTGTCTCGATGTAGGCAACGCCATTGGGCCCCGTAGCATGCAGCAAAATCATATCCGCGGGTGCGCCGTCATTTCGTCTCAGTCTCACCACATCGCCAACCTTGACATGTTGCCATTGCACGCACAACCAGTCTCGAGGGTTCATATCGTGCGCGCCGCCCTCAAGGCTGTCATTGCCAGTTGCAGCGCGCACCTCGGTCTGCGTCGCATCCTTCGCCGTGGTGCCATGTCGTCGTCTGCGGTTCAAGACCCACGTCTCACTGCGATTTTCTGACTTGTCCAGCTGGTACCTCCGATAATCGTCATATCCCTCTTTGAGCATGCTGAAAGCGACAAAGATTGACAGGGGCACAATCGTAGTCCACCGTCCCACTGTACTCAATCCAGGAATCATTTGCAAAACACCCATGGCCAAAAAGTAAAAGTTGCCCAATTTGCTGAACTGGAACAGCAGTTGCTTGGGCACGAAATCGTACGCGGTATACCGACTCGATCGAATAAAGTTGCCGATATAAGGACGCTGGCTTCGCCCATCAATCAGCGCTTCTGACGGGTTCAGGGGATTACGACGGCCATCGTGGCTCGGGGGCGGGGGCTTCCCCCGTAATGCGCCCTCAATGATCAATTTCTGATATGTCCTGGAGAGGATGAGCTTCAAGGCATTCTTCCATGAAGCATTCCGTATTTCCTTCTTCCCTCTGTCCTCCCTGGTCTTTTCTGGCCGTAAACGCCGGCTTGAGTTTCTCAAAGTCTGGGTCGCCTCGTCATCGACAGGGGTGGTAGTTGAGACAATGGCAGTTTTGGGTGTGCGCTGACCAGCGTCACCAAAGGATAGCTCCATATCGGTCAAGGCATTCCTCGAGGGAATGGTGGGCGGCACTTGATGATAATGTCCCTCCCCGTGTCCGTCCCCATGCGGGCTCGTCGAGCGCGCCAGTAACCGCCTGTTCGATGGTGGTCCCGAGAAAGATGCAGCTCGGACAATACCGCTTGGGTTCGCGGGGTCGGAATTTGCCCTCCTCGGGAATGCTTGTTTGGTCGCGTTCGTCGAATGAGAAGCATCGTGGCTATGGATGTCGTCGTCATCGTCGTCGTCAAGGTCGTTGTTGGCCGACATGGCGCCAATTCCGCTGCCAGGTTGTACGGGGCCCATGATGCTTCAAAATGCAATGGTGTCTCGGTGTCGATACGTAACACGCTGCATGTCTGCTCAGCTGGGAATAATTGAAGTTTGCAGTAGTAATGTTGCGCGAAAGGGAGGAGGGGCTTGGCAAACAATGGACGAAAAGTGCACCACAGGATAGGAAGATTTTACGGGAAAAAAGTAAAAATACAGCGGAAGTGTGAAAAGTACAGGTGAAGAAGAAAAGGAAGAAGAGAAAAAAAAAAGGCCGTAGTAGATCGCACGATGTGGTCAACGCAGGAAACCACTGATCGCAGTATTTGACGACTCAGACGAAAACATTCAATGTTGGAGCGACCAGAAGGCGATGGTCTCGGTCAAAGCGAGATCAGCAGTGACAGTCATTGGACTCTAAAAAAAGCCCACAGGCCAGGCAACGTCGAAACGAGCGCGGCGATCCAGGCCCGTGGCGCCCAGAGACACCCTCGGGCAGCACACGTATGTGCCTCTAAGTACCTGCCTAGGTAGCTTAAGTACCCAAGGTAACGTCGCTCCAGTGCAGGCAGGCAACATGTCTAGAGCCAATTGTTGGGCGTCTTGGTCGTGTGGCGCACCGACCAACCAATCTATGGGCCAATACGGACCGCTGTGGCTGACGGGTACAATGGCAGGTCCGTCGCTGTTGAACCAGACAACAACAGCAGCCACACAGCCACTCAACTCACCAGCTGACTGCACTGCACTGCCTCGGATCAGTCGCAAACAGCCCTCGTGCCAGGCTGCGGCCGCCCTCGAGTGCTTTTGAGTAAAGTACTTGGAAGTATTTGAGTTAAGTACCTAGGTAGATAACTACCTAGGTACGTGCTTGGCGCCCGGGCACGTGTGCCCATGGGGCACTGTCCGGACCGGGAATCATCAGTGGATACTCCGTGCTCCGCAACATCAATTACATGCTTGTTTCCCCTCAAATCGTCCCATCCACTCCGTCGTCCAAGGTCAATCTTGGCATCCGAGCAGCCAAACAACATCGCTCAAACAGCTTCTTAAAATGTACCAAGTAGCAAATCAACCTTGTTTTGTTCAAATGTGGACTTGACTACAGCAACAATGGCAACACCACCTTCTCACGGCCTACACAAGACAACATGTTTTTTGAAAGCTTTGAACCCGTTTTGCATTCCTAGATGCGGCCACATGTATAAACCAAGTCCCATCTTCGCCAGCCCACTGCCTGTCCAACGTCCATGGTTCACTAGTGTATACGCAGCCTGTAAGCAGCTGCTCAAACTGTCATGGTGGCACCGCACATGCCCAGGAAAAGAATCCTCGGATATGTATGTCACCATCCCCTGGGAACACTCACCCACACATGCACACACTTGTTGCGTTCGTGTTGCTTCTATCCTGCCCGGAGCACCCTAACCTAATTACAACAAGGAGGATGAATATCCAGAATATCACTCCTTCTACCCCTCCCAAAAAAAGACCCCGAATCCTCTGCGTCGGCCTCCTGGGCCCGCTTATTATTCAACCGCCAACTTGAAACGGGGACAACTGCGACCAAACAATCAAAAGAGAAAAATGACCAATATTAATCAAGATATGCATGAAATATGAATTAGGTCCCCAGTGGTTGCACGGCGGCAAAATCTACCACTCTTGAATGGACAGGTACTCGAACAGAGCAGTAAAAAAAACGAATAAGCCAACAAAGAAAGGAAAAGCTGAACTTGGCCAAGAGTAAAATGAAAACAAGCCACCAGGGTGCCATCAAGTCGCAAAGGCTTTGCGCAGCGAAATCTGTTGCGATGCGACTGTAGCGCGAGAGGAAAAAAATGAGAAATGCACGGTCATTGTACCGCACGTACACGTGTGGTTTCATATAGTGCTATCGTCGTGAACCAACTCGAATTGACCGAGTTGTCGTTGCGTGGTGCAGTTGAGTACATCGTGGGAAAGAGTGTCCGAGACAGACCAACTGCAGGAGATAAGGGTATGTGGCAAAGCCTTCGAAACGGCATGAAAACGAGGCAAAGGTATTAGTATCCAATCCAAGACCGGACAACAGCCCATGGTATCAACTGCTTGAAAGGAGCAGAAATATAAAAAAGCAACGCCTTGCATGATATGTACATTTTTCTTGGCCAGACTCCGCTCCCTTAGACTTCTGGGCAACGAACAAAGTTGCCCGTACTTGTCGCCGTGGGGGAGTTTCACTGGACTAGGGACGGACGTCATCAGTCACTGTCATGCAGGATGCGCAACAGACTCTGGTGACAAGCTAACGGGCTCGACGTGGTCGAATTGGACCAACTGGTCCATATCGATTTCGCTCTGTTGCGGATTTATAAAGTTGTTTGGAGACTGGCCATGCATAGGCAGGTTGATGATGTGCTTGGAATACATCTCGTTCAGACTCGTGCCATCCTCTGAAACGGCGCAAGAGCCGTCATGACCGCCGACGTAGATTTCGGCAGAACCCGGGCGGCCCATCATCGAAATTGGTGGAGACTGTTCGACAATGGACGGCTCAGCAGCACCGTTGTACGGCATTGGTGACATGGTGCCACCATTGTGCTCAGGACCAACCATGGGCGACAGGAACCCACTGTTGCTGTAGGGAGTCCCAAAACTGGCCGTCGGGAGAGGTGCCGTCTCCTGTCCATGTGATACATAGGTGCCAGCGGGGCTGGGAGGAAACTCAGCAGGTGAGGCAGTCGTGGCCGACATGGGGTATTGACGCATATCGAGTCCGAAACCAGCCTGAGTATCAATCCTGAGGTTGTGACCCATGCCGCTTGGCTGTTGTGGAACAGGGGCGTAAATGTTCGGATTGTGCTGAGCCCCCATCTCAGGAGGCGGTTGAATGTAGAACGAGGGCATTGGCTGGTTTTGGAACATGGCAAAGTCGATCGGACCGGGTACAGACCGACTTCGCTGTCTCTTGTGACCATGTGGCGGCGGTCGAATTGCCGAGTGCATCTGGTTCATACCCCAATGTTCCTGCACCATGCCAGGGTGTGGCTGATGAAAGTTGGGTTGAGAGGCTGGTCGTGCTGTTGGAGATACCGGAGCTGACACGGAAATCGCATGCGGATCAGTGACAACGGCGGTCGGGAAGTGCTGAGGGTTATGTCGGTTCATGAAGGAATCGAGAGAGACGAGTTTGGCCAATTGGTTTGTCAAAACCTTTGGGTTTCCCCCGAGCTGGTGTATCATGCACTGAGTGGCCTGAAGGTCCTCTGTAAAGTCGTTAACCGGGTAAAAGCCGCTCGTCGTTGACGATGAATCCATGAAGAAGTGGGGGGCACGGTTCAATTCAATGACAATGCCACCCATCTTGTTTGGGTCAGTCTCGTTATTCTCCAACCAGATGTTCTTAATGTACGAAAAGGGATACTCGATCTTGTATCCCGCCTGTTCGTTATTAATGTAGTAGGTCATGGTGCACTTGTCAGGTGAGTAAAAGATAATGAGGTCCATGGTGTTCTGTCCGACCCGAGTCCATTTTCCGATGCTGAGAGAGCGGCAGGTGAGATGGTGGATCACTGAGAAACGATTGGGGGTCAGCGGCGCTCCACCGGATTGGAAAGTAAACACGCATGATGCTCAACTTACAAACTTTGCCCTGGACTTGGTCGCCGCCAAGCAGCATACCATTGTGGCCAAAGGGAATCAAGCCAGTACGGCCAAGATAGTTACCGCCGAGTCCTTTGCCAGTTTCCATGGCTTGCATGGCCAGGTATGCCCTCATAGACTCCGGGATAGAGTCAATATCTTCACCCGTTTCCAGACTCTTCTTGGCCAACAACTTAATTTTGGCTCGTCTACAACGGATATCAGTATCAATTACTCATGGTCGAAGAAATCCCGCGACACAAGAGGGACACCCATGTAAATATACCACAAAATTGTAGAGGCGGGCCGAGGGCTAAACATACCGGTTCTGAAACCAAATTTGAACGGACCTCTCCGTCATGTTGATCTCATCCGCTATTCTTTCACGCACTCCAGCAGTAGGGGTTGGGTTTTTGTTAAACTCCAATTCCAGTATAGTGAGCTGATCCTGTGTTGCTCTCTGTCTCTTTTGATTCTTCTGCTGCTGGGTCAAGGTACTCTTCCGGGGAGGTCGCTTCGAATTAGAGCTGCCATGGCCACCAGAGCTGGACTGTGATGGTGATAGCTTGTTTGAAGACGTAGGCGTGACAACTTCGCTGTCGAGGACAGAACCAGGAGTTGGCACGGGAGGAGCCGCGGTCAGGGCCACGGCATGCTCGACCTCGGTGGTCATTGCGAACTGATGAAAATAGCCTTTGAAATCCAGCGTGCCGTGCCGTGTCGTGTCGTGTCGTGTCGTGTCGTGTCTGTGCGGAATATGACGGCTGAGCCCAACAAAAGGATTCCCTATTAGCAGCGGCGATATTGTTCCAGTGGCGTGAGACCGTAGGCTGGCTGGCGTCTTGTTGGGCGGTGCAAGGTGAAATCGAACTCAATGGTGCCAATTGCTCGAGGTCCAGATACGACGGTGCAGGGAGCGGTCAGACTGATGGAAATGATGCTTTGGTTATAAACGGCGAAAACCAAATGACGGTTTCGAAAGCGATTTCGAGGTCCGAGACTAGGAGTAGGAAGTGTAGCGAGTGTGTGTGTGCGTGCGTGTGTGTGTGTGTGTGTTGGTTTGCAGGTAACGAGAAACGCAATGAATATCAGTCTTTAGAATCCCACAGCGGGCTGACGATTGAGGGCTCTTGAGTTTGCGGTTGACGTCGTAGACGAGGAGCCGGAAAGAACGTAATGGTCCCGGAAAGAGTGACGGGAACCGAAATGGCTGTTGAACAAGAGAGTGACTTGAAATGAAAGAAAACGTCGGGAAAGAGAAGGACGTAGAAAAAGGACAGGGGAGAGTGATGATGATGGAGGACGAGTAGAAAAAAAACGAAGGATGGGAAGACGGGGGAGCAACCCTGCAGAGCGTCAGTTGGTTGGCCTGGGCGAAGAGGAGAAGAAAGGAAGTGGAAGGGTGGGGGGAGGGGGGGCAGACAGACGGACAGACACATACCTGGGATCAACAGATCTCAGCGCCGGGGAAGCACAGGGGTGTCATTGGTAGCAGCACGGCTCTGGGCCAGGCGCCTGGAGACATCTGGACTCGAGAACTAGCAGCTGTGGACTAGGACCTAGGTACTTGAGTAAGTACTTAAAGCAAGTACTTGGTCAGTTACTACGTCCTCGGTATGGAGTAGTGGGCACCTGGTGGCCTGGCACGGGTACCTGTCGAGACTCGGTTCGGCCTCGGGGTTCAAGAGGCATTGGCGTTGGCGGGCAAGGCTTGGGGTTGGGGGGGTTGTTTTTGGGGGTGTCGAGCCAGGCACGCACACAGAGCACACAGAGCACACAGAGCACACAGAGCACACAGAGCACACAGAGCGCACAGAGTCCAAGCCCGCCAGACCGGCCACGGCTTGGCTCCGTAATGCTGCAGGAACAGGCGCGAGCGAGGCCCATCCCAGCTCTTGGAGAGACTGGTTGCGAGCTGGTCGCGCGACTGAGCGGCGCGCGTGGGAGAGGAGAGGCGAGGGGCGAGGGGCGCCGTGCTAAGCTCGGAAAAGAAACGATGAACACCTTCGCGCGCCAAAGCTTTCCAACTCGAACCAGGCCTCGAGTCCATTCATTGTCCCTTGGACGAATCGCATCGGACCGGGATGTCCAAGTATGACTGCTCATTGGCCCCCATTGGCCCTGCCCACACACACGCCGCCCCTCTGACTGGCAAGGCGACCAAGCTCTTCTCGCATGGCCGCGAGCGAGGCGCGCGCAAGACATCAGAAAACCCAAACGACGTGTTCCTTTTTCTTTCCTCCTTATCTCCAGTGGCCATCCCATCCAGTGGCCACGGGCATCCAGCGAATGAGCTCCGGGAGGCTCGCTGCGCGTGGCGTGTGGCAGCCGCTCGGGCAGGGACAGGGCGGCCTTGGCCTTGAATGCGTGGTGATGCAGCAACACTACTCCGTACCGAGCACGCGCGCGCGCCTAGTCCGGCTTTAGCAAGAAGAGCCCGCCCGAGACCTTACAGAATGGGATGATCCCACGGCAGGTTGACGGTTCGGATGACAACCGCCATCATCCCAGTCTTGTCCGTTGTAGAGTGTCGACGAGCACTCCAGTCGCCTGGTGCTCCGTATTCTGTAACAACACCAGCACCGTTTGCCAGCAAGGACCAGGCTGAAGGACTCACGACGCCCCCTGCCGCTCTGGACGCATAGACGATCGCCCATCTCTTGACCAACTGGATGCCACTCAGACTCTGGCCAAGTCTGGGAGTCTGGGAGCTCCCATCTCCCCTGCCCCCTGCTTGTCGTGGGCACGCCTGCAAGTGGGCAAGGCTTGGGCATGTGGCCGACGTGGACTCGTGGGTTCCTGAGCACTTGGTTCCTGATCTTTGCCCAAACCGTCATCGCGCCAGTCGGGGCCGTCCCTCTCAACGCCACCCATCACCCATGCCTTGTGCCTGAGCTCCTTCTCCACCCACGCCTCGAGACTCCTCTCCGTAGATGGTAGCTGGGTGCTGCCTACTCCGCGCTGAATACGGAGTATCGGCAGGAGTACGGAGAACGCAGCGCGAGGTAGTATACGCATGTACATAACTATGTCATCGGATGAGGCGGACGAAACACTCAGCCAGCATCGCACAATCTTTACCCAGGTCTTTTATCCTTGCATGGGGTCGTTTTGGATCATCCGCCTAAAAAGATGCTCCGTCCGCTGCCCAAAAAAAAAAAAAAAAACCCATTCTCTCTATCGATCCGTGGCACTCCGTGGCACCCTCACAAGGGGCACGGTGCGTTTTAGCCTCTGGTCAGGGGTCGCCGTATTGCGCCAAAATGCCTTCGCCGATGCATCATCTCCATACTCCGTACCTCAGGCCCATCCGCGTATCGATGGCAGGGTTACTCCGTCCTGCGGATGTCTGGTGAGTAAAGTGCCTGGCTCACGGCTTCTGCCTCCGGGGACTGGCACATTCCTACCACGCATGAGAAAGCTGACGGGGCACCGTGGGATTCCATGCAAAAAATTCAAGACAGAACGGAGAGGTTGGCCTGTGTCTTCTGTGCGCAATCATTTGGATCGCACATTGTACAACACGAATACTTTGCCGCCATCGACCCACGAAACGTACGGCGAATGGTCCATGGCACTCTTTGCAGCGGCATCAGGACAGCGTGTCCACGGTTCGGCCAAATGACCCTGTTGTTGAAAGACGATGCTCCCAGCGTGTAGAAATCGTGCCATTATGCGTGCCCCAACACTGCTGCTTTTGCCACAATCCATGTGCCAATGACCCCCATGGAGCCAGAGCTGGGGGGTTCCTCTCCAAGAAGCTGAGACGACAACGGACGGATGTTTTTTTTGTGGCGGCTTGCTCCGTGCGTAAGATTTCATAGGCCGTCATCGACAGCGTCACGACCTGTCACCACGTGCTGACACAGTTGACGAACAGCACCATTTGTGTCAGGGGATGGTTCGTCTCTTATGAAAGCTAGGGAAGTGACCGGTTAGACTCGGCCATTCCGAATTCAATGCCCATTTTGTCTGGACTCTCTCTGCTTTGGCAGGCGCTCGGTATCACCCCTCCCCCGAGCCCCCTTCAACAACGCATGACCAGAAGAAGCCATGATGGATGGTGGCCCCTAACGGCATTGAGCTGCAGAGACAATGTTGGATTTTGACACGGCCTGACGGATAAAGAATCAGTCATGAGAATGAGCCTTACAACGCAAGTTGCACAATAAAGCCAGAAGCGCTGCATTTCCTATTGGTCAACAATACGATGTTGTGATAGGCCCGAGGTGCCAAGTTAATCCGTCCGTACCACCAAAAGATGATGTGAGTGAGTAATGTCGCGTTGTGTCGAACAATACCACCGCGAAGTAATGAGTCAGGAGGAACTGGCCGGGCGAAAAACTAGTCCGTACTTCAACAGCAGAGAATCTAGAAGTACACAGTGCGATTTTAAGACAAGAACAGCAAGCCGCGAGAATGGGCAAACGCTCAAGAAGAGATGGTGAATATTATTAAGATGTCATGGAAGGTCAGCAGGAACTGCCCGTACCTCCTTCCTCAACGCAGCAATGTAGATCAACTGGTCTGCCTAGGTACTCAACACAAGTCGCACCTGCCACGTTAAGACGCCACCTGCCGCTTCTAAAAAACCGACGGACAGCGTGTCAAGTCAAGGAAGGGTCAACTTGCAAGAAGCTGGATTTCCCTTGTGCACCAAAGAGTTGACGGGTCGAGTCGTCCTTAAGACATCATGAGTTGCATTCGACCTCAAACGTGGATTGGGAGTCCAGGGTCCCGGTCCGGAGAGGCATGCCGCATAGGCTCACACCTCCAACTATTCTGTGCCGGGGTATTCTGCATCAACGACCCGAGTACGGAGTACGGGGCAATCAGGTATGTAGAGAGCCTCAGGGTAGAGCCTGTACCCCTTATCTGCATCCAGCTCAACGTCTTCTAGTCATAACAAAGTTAAAATTTTCCCCTCCGCCGACTCCGTAGCTTCGTCCTCAACCCTCGAGAGTTAGCCGCATTCATCAGAGTCCTGCTACTTGTACTAGTGGTACCAATGCAAAGTTCCAGTCTGAAAAAGACAAATCGGAGATGCCACATCCCGCATCCGTTCATCCCGTCTCTCGCCCACACAAGAGAATAGGGGTTGGCGAGCATGGCGTCCGATGAGAGACATGCACCCTCAATCGCACAGTCAGCTCTACGATACGAAGCGGGAACACTTTGCCGGTCAGATGATCAGCTCAGGCAATCTATTGAATCGGTCGGCATATGTGCTGCATGAAAGGCTCCACCCTGAACTCCAAATCCTCAGCAGCTCCCGTTGTATAAAGCCCAAAAGACACCCTTTTTCCCTGATTGGATTACGACCAGGTAGGACTCGTGGCAGAGACAGCATAACGTGAACCCATCAACGTCAAGGAAAGACCTGGAACTGACACATTCCAAAACCTAGTCCGCCATGATTACGCTACGCTGTCAGTCCCGCCATGAGGCTCGAAAGTTCCTCTCCGTATGTACTTTTTGTACAACAACAGACGAAGAGGCCGCGAGCCCCCTGGCCGCGGAGAGCCAGACCCGCTAGGTTCCTGCAGTAGTGTCAACGTCCGATCCCCCGCCGGGCAAGCCCCTGGCTGGCTGTGCTGCAGCGGGAACAACGTCGAAGCAACAGTTGGCTGGCTCCCCCTGACTTAAGGAACCGGTTTGAGGCCTGGAGGGCTCCGTCCGACTCACAGTGCGAAGTCCCAACTGTACTTGAACATGCACTGCCTCAGTTGCTGCCATGGCTGCTGGACTGGACACGCTTGACGCCGATACCATCCATAACTTTGCCCGCTTTTTCGTGTTGGCAACGAGAAACTGCGGCTGTTGGTCCCGAGTAGTCGACTTGAGTCGCATCGTCGGGAGTACTACTACCGGAATACTCCGTAGGCTGTATGGAAATAATTACTCCGTACACCAGTGCTCCAACCTCCACCCGCAGGCCATGACAGATTTATTTTATTTATTTTATTTTATTCTATTCTTGTTCTTTTTTTTTTTTTTTTTTTTTTTTTTCTTTTTCTGTCCGAGCCGGTCTGGTAGTCTTGATAGCCTTGGCTCAGTGTCGTCATAACTGGTTGGGCCGGGACCGAGACCGATCTGACCATTGGCACTGATATGGGGAGTGGAACGCGTGCCACTGCCTTGGTGTTTGAAAGGGCTGTCGGTTGGCCTTACGAATACTACCACAGGACTCCGTCCATGGCCGAGGCGCACAACTGGATGGGCCAACAGGTGACTGTCTATCAACATTTTTGGTATGCAACTTTGTCGGGCGTTCTGTTTGGCCACGACCCGCGCAGCGCAGCAGCCACTTCGGCCGCATCCAGGCCCAAGGTGTCGTTGGAAGTACGGCGGTCAGTGCATGTCGACGGCCTGGTCTTCAATGCCACACCCATTGACCTGTTGCCTGCTCACTGCTCACTGCTCAGTGGACCGCGTACGTACCACAGAGAGACGACGTCAGTCAAACATCGTTACCCCTGACCAGGACCCCGTCTAGCCATCAAGCCCGGTCAGGTATCCACCAGTTGACATCAGCCAGCCAACCAGTTCGCGACCTAGACTCCGCCATACGACCACATGCCATCGCGCGATCGTATCACGAATGCCCCTGGCCTAGCCTTGCCTGCTTTCTTTTTCCATGGCCGAGATTTCGGGCTTGGTGTCTTGCCTAGCCCACATGGAGTGGCATTGCCCCTTCGTGAAGTGAAGCAAAGAGCTTCTCGAGACTTCTACAAGTTCATTCCGTCCCAAGTTCGCACGGTGCCTTTCATGGACCACACGGCAGCCGACGACGGACCGCCATCTTCCCGGGCCGAGTCCTGAATACTCCGATGAAAAACGACCTAGACGTTTGAGCACTACTAGGCAGGTATGTACCGAGCATGCAAATTTACTGTATCCGTCTGCACGTCCCTGCATTGTCTGCACGCTTGTCGGGTGAGATCCATTGTGGCGGCGCTGTGCACGAAATACTAGTCTTATATCGTCGGCCGTCAAGTAGTAGCATGGTGGGGTTCAGCCTCGAGGACGACGATGATGTTTCTGACCCCTTTAACCATTGAGGGGCATGGGCATACTCATGCGCTCCTCTTGGCGGACGAGTCACATGGGTTAAAGCTACTCCGTACCAAGGACGCAATTCTCGCATGGAGGATCTTGGGCTCGACTTGGCCCAAGGCGTCTCCGTCTCCAGCCGGGTGGGCATCGGCTGCCTCATGTACACGAGCTCGGGCCTCCCTGCAGAAACTCCAACCTGACAAGTCGGGCATCAGCACACTCCTGTCCGCAGTGTCATGTCCGCAGAGAGCACAACCGCAACGGAAAGGGCCCCCTGTGGTTGGTGTGATGGTTTTATTTTTGTGACGGGGAGCAATGGCTACCCTACAGATAAGAATTGCCAACGACCGTCGACGGGCATGGACAAGGTGGGCTTCCCTCGTCTTCTCAAAGGGTTTGCCAAGGTACACACATGGTTTCAAATAAATGCTTCCCCTTAAAGAGGCAACGTTACCATCAGATCAAGTATGGGATAGATGGGATGGACAGGATGGACGGGATGGACGGGGCACGACGTGGCTTTTTGCTCTGCCTTGGCCGTTGCGCAAAGTCACACCAGTTCCGCCGTCCAGGCAGTGCCACGTCTGAACTTTGAAGTCTCAACGGCACGCGCGCAGGCACTTGTAAGTTTTGTGCCCGCCGCCCCTGCCTCGGACGAGCAGAAATGCCGAGCGTGAGAGTACATATCCCGCAACGAATCATGTAGTACACACCAAAGAGCACCCATCGACTCCGTATACCCTTGCCTGCCGGGCAAACCTTGTCTTTGTCGTGTCCATCACGTCCCACGCAAGGAGCGTATCAAAACCTGCCCAACACCCAACCCAACGTGGCCACAAAAAAACCACAACACACAAATCGGAAATGGTCACGTCATCGCGATTCACCACGTACCTCCCTCGCCCCCCCTCCCCCTTTCTTGTTATCCAAGGTCCCTCAGAACTTGCCCGACGGCTCTCGCAGCCATCCGCCTCCTCTGCGCGTCGGGCAGCCCCTCTCCCGCGTCCCTCACCGCCTGCAGCCTCCTCATCATGTTCTCCACCTCGTCCACGTCCACGTCCACGTCCTCGTCGGCCCCGGCCCCGGCCGCGGCACCAGGATCGGTAGTCAGAGCCAAAGGTTCGTCCCTAGGCCCCGCGTCCCAGATGGCCCGTCTCAGACCCTCCAAGTCGGCGCCGTCGAGGCCGAAATCCAGACCGTCGGCGTCGTCCTTGTCGGGCGCGTCTTCAAAGTCGCCAAAGTCAGAGGGAGCGTCCTGCGCCCAGTAGTCGTTTGACTCGAGGGCCTCCCTGACGCGCGGGATGCCTGTTTTCTCTTTGTCGTCCGACACGTCAGCCACCGTTTGTGATGCCGTACGTAGTTTGTGTGTGTGTGAGAGTGAGTGAGTGAGTGAGTGAGTGAGTGTACGCTAGGACCCGGTCGGGCCTCCGTACGAAACGGGGATTCACGCTGCGCGGTGGCCAGACGTACCGCCAAGCTCGTTCACATCGGGCTGCTGCCGGGCGCCGATGCGGACAAACTCGAGCGCCGCCTCGGCGCAGAGCTCGTCCCAGTCCCAGTAGCCGTCCTCGGCGTCGCCGCCGCCGCCGCCGTCGCTGTCGTGCGCGCCCACGCCCACGGCCAGGCGGACGCCGTCCCATTCCCAGCCGCCCAGGCCGTCGTTGACCACCCGTCCCACGTGGCGGATCAGCTCGCGGACCCGGGGGGCGCTCTCGGACGACGACGACGGCGGCGGCAGGGCGAAGACGACGACGAGGCCGCCCAGCACGGCGAGCACCTCGGCCGCTTCGGCGGACAGGAAGGACGCGGACCACTCAGCCGGCGAGGCGACGAGGTCCAGCCATATGGGGACGGTGGCCGAGTAGTATCGCGTCTTGAGGGCGAAGCTGTGCGTCGTGCCGGCGAGGGAGGGGGGCGGCGCGCCTGGCGAGGAGCCGGTGAGGTCTGCGGAACGGGGCCAAGTCTGTCAGTACCGCGCGTGTGGGAAACCTGGTGCGGGAGTGAGAAGAGGGCAAAAGAAGGCGACGTGGACGGGGGCGGACCCGCGACGCACCTTTGATCACCCTGCTCAACTGGTCGGCTTGGGTGTCGAGGCTGACGGCCAGGATCCTCCGCGGGTTGGCGACGTCCATTGCTCTCGGGCTGGCTGGCGGGCTGGCTGGCGGGCTGGCTGGCGGGCTGGCTGGGGGAAGGGGAAAATGCAATGGCGATGAGCGACTGACTGTGTGCGGGTTTGACGTGGCCGATTGACGGCGACGAGGCGACGAGACGACGAGGTGGGGCTCAACGCAACGTCATGGCGTCCTCGGTCGGCGCTCGCGAGACGTGACCGAGGAGGCGGAAAACAACTCGCCAGTCGCGGTGAGACGGCCCTCTCTCGCCGTGTCAAATGCAACGGGGGAACGAACAAGGCAATGCCGCCGAATCCACGACCTGGTTGACAGAAAACACGCCACCCTCGCGCAGGCTCGCTCACATCGACCCATCCTCATCATCACCACCTCCCACTCACTCCCCTTTCCCGCTTCTCCTCGTCCGCAATCTCGTCTCGGCCCGCACAACCCCAGCGCCTCTTCCCACGTCCCGCCGTCACGGAGGCGTCAACTGATACACGTCCACGCGCGGCGGCGGCCTGCGGCCCAGGTGTCCTGTTCCAGTCCGTCACGTTGCAGCCCGCCGCCCTCGAGTGGCCTGTCCTCGAGAACATCACTTCCTGGCAACGCAACCCTCTCGGGACTCTGGACCGATCAGCCTCTCCCTGGCCCCGTCGGTATAGACATGACATGATTGCCGTGACGCTCGTCGGCTACACTCGCATTTTGCGCATATGCCCAGGGCCTCGTGTGCCCCGAGTGTCTGAAGCTCAAACAAGTCATTCGATTTGTTCCGAGTACTTGATACACAAGGCAACCTTGTAGCTCTCCATCACCACAACAAGCGTGACAACGTAGCTCGCAGCCCCCCCCCGACACTTGCGTACGCCGTACGATGCAACAATAAAGTAAAGCCCGCGCTGACAAGCAAGGAAGAAGATGCCCCGAGACAAAGAGAAGAAACAGGCACGAGGCCGAGGCGCTCGTCAGACCATGACGCTCAAAAATCATCTGCCCCCCAGCCAAAAGACCGATTCACAAGGCCCATGGCCTCCAGGCCGGGCGGTCCACCTCCGTCCTCGGAATCCCCTCTCCTCGTCCGCGCCAGGTCGCCCTGGTCCAGCAGCCCCCTCCGCCTGTCCAGCATGGCCCTCTGGATCGTGCCCGCCCAGAGGCCATACCACGCCTCCTCGCTCAGGGAAACGTACTTCCTGCGGCCCGGCACGGCCGTCGCCTCGCTCATCCGCCACTCCGTCGTCACCGTCTCCCAGCGCTTCGTGCAAAGGTACAAAAACGGCCACGTAAACACAAATATGAGCGTCACCACGAATAGCCTGGCGATCCACGGTGTCAGCCGCCACCGGTTGATGCGGCAGTCGTTGTAGACGTGGACCATGGAGTGGCGAACGGGAAACTCGATCTGCACGTGTCCCCTGTAGTTTGTCGCGCGGACGAGGCCCTCCAGACGGCGGCGGAGCGTGTCCCAGTCGTAGCCCTCGACTCTCCTTTCCATGGTGAAGCATTTCAGGGGCGCTCTGGAGGCGCAATAGCGGCGGCACCACTCCCGCAGCGCCGGGGTCCCTTCTTCCGGGACGGCGCCAGTGCCGCCGAAGCCGGGGGCGCGGGTGGCCAGGACTGTCCCGCGACGGACTTTTTCAAAGTTGCTGGCTGTGATGACGGAGCGCCATGCCTGGGCGGAGCGGATGTCGCTGTACAAGAGGTGGGTGAGCTCGACTTCAATGTCAAAGTCGGTCAACGTCCTGGATTCCCTGCTCTTGTCGCCCGACTTTTCCGTGTGCGAGCCTACGATTTTGACATGGGGCCGCGGCGGCACTTGGGACAGTCTGTAGATGTGGCTGGCCAGAAAGTCTGGGTCGCGGTCCAGTCTGGGGTCGAGGAAGTAGGCGCAGGTTCTGTCGTGACGGAACGGGTAGACGGTTTCAAAGATCTCGACTTCGCCGTGGGGACCCCGGGGGAGGAGAGGGTCGAACGGAGCGGAGGAGTCGGCGTCGAACTCTTGGTGATCAGAGTACAGGGGAGGTAGATCACCGACGTTGGAGAGGTCGCTCGGGTCCTCGTCCAAGTAGCGACGGGACGGAAGCAGATGGTGGTTGCTGGGGAGGGAGGAGGAGCTGCCGAGCGTGACGGACGCAGACGACTCTGTGGAGTGCGCGGGGGTTGATGAGGACGAGCGGCTGGGTGATGGGGTGTCTGATGGCTTGCCCATGGTGACGGGTGACGGGTGACGGGCGACGGGCGGTGATGGCGAAAGATGAAAGATGGCGCAAGGCTCGAAGCAGTCGAGATCGTGTCGAGGCGTCGGGGTGTCGAGGAAGAGAGACGAGACTGACTGGCTTTGCCAAGCATGTACGCTAAACACGCACGCACGCACGCACGCACGCAACGAAGCAGAATGCAGCCGACGGCGAGAAGAAGGAAAGAGCGAGACAAACAAAGAGGCAAAGGCGATTCACGAAGCGGCAAGCCGTCTGCTCAAGCCTGGCGGCACTGGTTGGTTGGTCTCGGCCTGTCGGCGGTACTTTGAATAAGTACCTACTCCGTACTCCGTACTTGAAGTACCTACTCCTGGGCACCCAGGTACTTCTCGAAAACGCTGACGCTACCGACCTGGAGGCAAGTACTGGGAACCTGCATGACAGCTCCTGGCATGCGCTAGGCTGCCAACCTCGCCTCAGCCTCAGCCTCAGCCCTCGGCCGCGGCGCTTAGCTCCTCACCGACTCGGCATTTCTCCCCTTCACAATTCATCGCCAACATGGCATTGCATCTTAGTCTTTTAGTCTTTATTTCAGGTATTACCCAATACACCCAAGAATACTCCGCTGAATGCATATATGATCCAAGAAAGGAAAAAAAAAAAACACAAACAAAGGGAAAAGACAGAAAGAAAGAAAGAAAGAAAGAAAGAAAGAAATCAACCCCCAATTACACTTCCCAGCGAGCCATGCCCTTGACATATGGTCCCGTCCCGCTCCTCATTATATATATGCAGCTTCGACCTTCCAGCTTTGTACTTGTTTTGGCTGTTCCCTGGGTCTTGCCTACAACACCCCCGCCTGGCATGTCCGTTCCAGTAACCGGTGGTTGCCCTCCTGTACTTTTCCTGTTCCCTTTCCTGGACAGCACATGTTGCAAGTTTTAGGCATCGTCAACGTCCACCAGCCTATCTTCGTCCCACTTTCTCTTGGCCGCCTTGACCAAGACTTCAAGCTCGCCGCTCATCTCGCACATGCTGCGGAATTGTCCTTCTTCGTCGCTGATTAGCTCCCAAGGATGCCCAAACTGCTTCACCTCGCCGTGATCCAAGACGAGCACCTTGTCATAGTCCACAATCGTCTGTAGACGGTGCGCAATCGTGATGACAGTGCCCGTAAGCTCTCGAATAGTTTCTTGAATCTTGGAGTCGGTGTTGTAGTCGATCGAGGCTGTGGCTTCATCCATGACCAGCACCGTGGGTTTCTTGAGCATAGCCCTGGCCAAGCACAGCAGCTGGCGCTGCCCTTGTGATAGGTTTGATCCAGATTCCGTGACTGGCGATGAGAGGTCCAAGAAGACATTCTTGTTTGTCATCATTGAAGGTGCCGGTGATCGAACCACTTGAGAATCGCTCGTCACTTGGATGGTTGGCCTCGTCGGGTTAATGGCCGACTCGTCTGCTCCGATCAGTTGGACGCGGCGAAGCGCTTCAAACACTTGCTCATCCGTGTACTGATCCAAGGGGTCCAAGTTGGTCCGGATTGTTCCCGTGAACAAGGTCGGGTCCTGCGGCACAATGGTAATGTTCTCTCGCAAGTCGCGCAGGCCAATCTTGCCGATATCAACGCCGTCAATGACGATGCGACCCTTCTCTGCCTCCAGCGCACGGAATATAGCCAGTGCCAAGGAACTCTTGCCGGCTCCTGTTCGTCCAACAATGCCAACCTTCTCCCTGGCGTTGATCTTGAGAGTGATGCCCTTGAGGACTGGGTCCAGATCCTCTCGGTAACGCGTCGTGTAACCAACGAACTCGACGTTGCCCTTGTCCGGCCAAGACTCGGGCGGCCGGTTTTCTGCCACCACAGCCGCTGCCTCCTGATCAAGGTCAAGGTACTCCTTGACTCTCTCCATGGAATTCATGTTCTGCTCATTCATGCCATACAGACGCACTAACCAAAGAACATTCTCCGTAAAGTTCATGGCATAGCTCAGCGAGATACCCGCCGCACCGGCATCGATCTTGCCCAGGCTCAGAATGATGAAGACTCCGGCAGAGAACGACACCAGGTTACCCAGCAGGTCAGCACGGAATGAGAGCCATCTGTTACAGGCCCAGAGGTAGATGAATGGCCTGCTCTGCGTGTTCACCTTGGTCAAGTTGTCACGAATGAAACGTCTTTCGTCACCGTAGGCTCGAATGGTTGTCATGCCAGTGAGCGTCTCGCCAAACTGCTGAAACAGCGGGCTTCGCTGCACGGACTCGAGGCGCTTAAGGTCACGAGAGGCACGTAGGTAGAGAGTGGCAACAAAGTAGAAGAGGGCAGCAATAAAGACGGCAGCAATCAAGAATCCGGGAGTGATGACAGCGATCAGGACAACCGTAACTATCAGAGAGAGGGCGCATGACATGACACCAATGGCGGTGGCCGCAATTTCCTGGTCGACGGCCTCGAGATCCTTGCTGAAGCGGTTCATCAGTTGACCCAGCGGTGTAACATCAAAAAACTTAAACTTGGCATGAGTGACTGCACTCATGAGGCGATCGTGAAGCTTTCTCGATGCGGTCAGAGACCCGTAGAAGATCCAGACATCCCGCACAAAAGCTGCGAAGGAACCGAGTATGCCGATAATGGCGAGTCCCGACAGATAGTAGGCCACGTTGACCTGAGGAGTGACCAGCGCGGAGAATGACACCTGACCATAGACCTTGCCGGAGCTAGATTCTGAAGCAGTAGCGCTGCCGCCAAGACGGGAGATGGATGCCCAAGATCCTTTGGAAAACGCCCCGGAGCCGTAGGACTGGGAAAGCGTGCCGACTGCAACCACTGACTCTTCTTCAACGTACTGGTTCGCCCATTGCCTTACCCAAACATTGGTTGCGACTGTGGCCAATTGCTGCAGGTTGAAAACGATCACAGCCAAAACCCAGAACCACCAGGGACCCATAGCTCGAACATAAACCTTCATGACGGGCCATTTGACAGCGCCGGAGGCCTTGCCCTCGTCCATCGCATCGGTCTGTGGCTTCTTGATTTTGGCCTTCTTTGGGGCGGCGCTGCCGTCTTGAGATTCGCCGTTGCTGTTGACCATTGTCTCCCCGTCGCCAACACTGGATGGAACTCTAGAGGGTACTCGTGACGGACCTTGAGAACCAGCCGAGGATGCAGGGCGAGATTTCTGTATCTCTTCGCCCAAGACGCCAGAAGCAATCACCTTTTGCGAGGAACCCTGGGAAGCAACACGACCGTTGTCAAGGTACACTACGTAGTCGGCTGAGGGCACGCAGAGTGCCACGTTGTGAGTAACTAGAATGCAAGTTCGATTCGCCATCAGGGGGCCGCGTATGCAGTTGGTGAAGATCCATTGGGCGGTGTGAGAGTCAACAGCGCTTAGGCAGTCATCCATGAGAACATGAGCCGAGTTGGAATACAGAGCCCGAGCGAGAGAAATTCGCTGTTTCTGTCCACCCGAAAGCGTGATGCCCTTCTCTCCAACAAGCGTTTCGTCACCGTGGTCGAGAATCTCAAGGTCGCGCTCCAGAGCACAAGCGACAATAACGTCCCTGTATCGTTGCGGGTCGTATGGCGCTGAAAAGAGAATGTTGTCCCTGATATTTGCATTGACGAGCCATGCAGACTGGGCAACGTAAGCGATAGTATCGGCAAGCCGGGTGTCGGGGTCAGGCTTGACTTCTTCTCTACTTCGACCGCCGGGACAGAAAACTTTGCCCTCCATCAGTGTCATCTCACCGAGAAGCCCCATTAACATTGATGATTTTCCGCTCCCCGTAGAGCCTGCAATGATATTAAGCTTGCCAATTTGGAAGTCCACATTCAGATCCATCAGTCGAAAGGCTCGCGAACCGTCCTCAGCAACTGTGTCCTTGCTTCCCCAGATCATGGTTGCATCCTTGAATCCAATGCGTTTCACGCCTTGTTCGTCCACATTGTCTCGACCGAGCTGCTCATACTTTTCAGTCTCTTCTTCACTCAAAAACTCTTCAACACGATCAATGGAAACCTTTGCTTCCTGCACATGGGCAAACATATCGCCCAGTTGATCTAGGGGCACTCTCAGCAGCATGAAGAGAGAGATGGCAGTGAAGGCGATGGAAGGATACAGAGGCTTCTTTTCGATAAGAGTGTAAACAAGGAAGGAGAAGAAGGTGATGAGGACTGGGACAGAATTCCAGATGGCCACCGCGCATGCCCAGAGGGTGAATCGTGATCGTAGAGCATTGAGCTCAGCCTCTCGCTTTTCGTCGATGGAGCGCCCGAATCTCTCTTCCCAAGCAAAGTATTTGATGATGCGAATATTTTGGAGGACTTCGTTTGTCACATTGATTCGCTTATCAGTGGCTTTCATGATATTCTTGGATGTAATATTGAAGCCCTTTGCCAGGAAGTAGTTGACGGGCAAGAGAAAAACCATAACGATCAGACCAGGAATAGCGCTGAGTCCCATGACCTGCCAGAGTAAGACGACGGAGACGAGGAGCTGTGTCGGAGCCGCTGCGCATAGGAAGTGGAGGTAAGCCGTAATTTCAGCAATCTTGAAGCTATCCACTGACATGAGGTTGATAATGGTTCCCAAGTTAGCCTGGTCATCGTCACCGGCAGATTTGTTGTCATCGCCATTGATACTGCCAGAAGACTCTGCATCGCTCGCCGAGGCATTCTTATTCTTGTTACGCTTCCGTAGACCAAGGGCGCCCTTGATCTTGGCGATCGTACCTTCTTTGTCAGGGTCAGCGTCCTTGTTGGCCTTCTTTGAGCTTTCTCCGAGGACCTTGTCTTTGCCTGCTGCAGCTTTTCGACGAAGGGCTTTGGCGTAAATGTCGCCGATAATAATAGCACGAACGCGTATGCAAATCTTTCGGCCGGTCCAGAGCGCCATACCGTCAGCATATGATCGGATGGTGTCAAGAACAGGAAGGCCTATGACATAAAGCCACAAGACATTTATAGGAGCACGTTCGGGTTCCTCAACGTACTCGAGAATGGCTCTCAAGAGGAGCGTTGGCGCAAAGGTGAAGAAACCGGAGACAAAGGCCAGGAAGCACTGAAAGAATAGCATGCCTTTGAAATATCTCAGCATATGCCATGCCAGAGCACCGGTCTTCTTCATCTGGCGATAGTCGGCAATCACAGCCGCAGCCTTGTCCTTGGGTAGCAAGTTCCACACGTCATCAAGCTCTAGAGTCTTCCTCCAGCCTTTATACACGATAGCATCTACCCATGCAAAAGTAGCCAGAGAGAACAGACTTGCAAGCGGTTCGCGAGATGGCTCGATCCCGTCCTCCCATTCCATAAGTACCGTCTTGTTCCCTTTTCTGGTGGTCGCTGCTAGCAGGAATAGTAGCGTGATAAGCCCAAACTCGAGGCAGGCAAGAATTTGTACTAGGTGAGAAGTAGGGTGAATGATTGCGGAGCGGAAGATGAAAATGGTCAACACCCAGTTCACGGCATAAATGCTGGCTGTGTGATTCCAGAGATGGGGAATCCTCCATTTGGTGCCACCGACGAGTAGTCGCAGAGAGGTCAGCACCAGAGCATAGATCCAAGTGAGTAGTCCGGCAATGGCTGCAAAACGCCCAGCAGGTCCATAGGCCCCCTTGATCAGAGCGATTGCATTGATGACAATCAATCCGATGATGGCAAGTTCTTCAACGGCTTGTGACAACCGTTTGCCATGCGGCGCGTCAGCCTCGACAACGGAACCTCTACTGATGGTTTTGGCGAGTGCGAGTCGATTGCCGTTGATTTCCAGATAGGAGTCATCCTCGGTATCGTCATCGTCATCCTCGTCATCGACATCGGGTGGAAGAGCTGTGTGGTCGTTCGTAATGGGTTTGTAGCCCTTGGCCTTGCCCGACGAAAGCAGCCGCCTGACGTTTGACCAGGCAAGGCGTAAAAACGAAACAACAATAACCGCTAATGGGAAAAGAACTTTGAGATAGCTGCGCAGACGTCAGTAAGTATCTTCTATGAGATGCATCAACGGAATGCATGGTTTCGGAAATGCAGCGCCGCACGTACTCTTGTTGGAAACACAAGGTGAGGTCATCGACCCGCCATATCGGCCAAGAACACTGAGCGAAGCCCATGGTCAGAGAGGCAGCGCCAGAGGGTGTGCCGGTCGTGGCCGCTTCAGCGCTCGTTCGTGCGCAGACACGCACTCAGCTGCCGTCGCTGCAGAGCAGGCGTGGCGGAACAGGTAGAGAGATACGAAAGGGTCCGTAAAAGAGCCTAGCAGCTTCGAGTCTGCGAAGTTCAGGAACTCTGCCGCGAAAGAGACTTTGGAAGGAAAGGAAAACCTTTTTGTTTTCTGGAGGCACGCGCTAATCTTGGCTTGGCGTCGCAATGGAATTGACAAGGTGCGTCGGGAGTAGTGAGTGGTCGACCGAGCGAAGACCGGCGGCGGCGGGTGGCGTGGGGGGGATTGTCTTTGTCTTAGACCTCGTTCTTGTCGGCGACGTCGAGCAGTGATGGATGGATGGACGGGGCACGATGGAAAAAGCAAGCCACACACACACAAGGTTCCTATCAATTTGTCGACTCGGTCCTGCCAATCTGCCTCGGATTCGTCGGCCAGGCTCTCGTTTGCGCTCGGTCGCCCGCCTTCGGCATCAGCTGGAGATGGACGTCAACAAGTCCGACGTTGTCTCGCCTTGTTTTCGATGCTGCAGATTGGCACCAGACCGAGTTGAGGGCGCGAGGAAGCCGGAACAACGCGAGGGTCCGAAGCTATTCGAGGAGGAGTGGGAAGAGAGGGGGCAAATGGAAAATGGAAGTCAGCAATCAGCCTCCAATAACGGTGTTGAGCAAAACGCCTGCCTGGGGAGGTTGTCGAGGGTGAATGAATGAAAACTATCCAAGTCGTATTGGGTCGGGTAGTATGGAGTAGTATTCCAGGCCACCATTAAGCATGTGTGCCCCGCCGACGTGCAGCAACCAGCATAATGAAAATGCATGAGACCCGGGAGCCACGGGGGTACTAGACTGGGGTGTAGAAGGGCCCAATTGTCAGTTATTATGAGATTGATGCTTCAAGCGATTTTCGGTCAAGGAGTCATAGGTGACGGACGGGTCGTCGTGTCGGCAACGGCTGTGGTTGTGGGCCGGGCGGCAGTGGAGATGAATGGCAGCCCGGGAGCCAATTGACCCGAAAAAAAAGTCGAACATTAAAGACTAGACGAAAGGGGTACGACATTGGAGCTGAACCATTTTGTTTGGGACGGAGTACGGAGTACAGCATGAAGAAACATCACAGGGCTTTCGAGTGGTCTCAGCTGGTGTTTTCTCTGCCATGTTTTCGGATTCATAAACGGCAGGCATGCGCGGTGTCTCCTGCCGCCCCGTCCCAGTCCCGACTATTTGATTCGGTACCTCGCATGACAGTAAGGTACCTGGGATAGTTCTTGGTACCACATACGGAGTACCGAGGATTTCGAAGGTTCAGGCGACGCAAATACTACCCTACTTAAGTAAGTAGGTACCTAGGTAGGTACCCAGGTCAGCACTGAAATGTCAATTCCATGTCACTTGGCCATGGTCAGGCTCTGGTCCTCTTTCGAGATGCAAGCTTGGGAAAATGTCACGATAGTCCGGTCATTTCGCATGGCCCATCGCGCACAGTCGTCGCTCCTTGATCCAAAACAGCAACAGCAGCAAACGGGAACAACAACAACAACATCCGCCATCATCTCCGAAGTAAAATGCACAATGTGCACATGGACATGGAAGACGTTGTCTTTGTCTCTTTGAGATGCTGCAGGTTGGACCAGAGTGTAATGATTGCGGTGGGGTTTGGCATTGGCCCCTGTCGCACCAAAAAGTCCGAGAGTCCCAAACTCTCACCAGAGACCGGGAGTCGGAACGAAATCCAATATGAACGAACATATACGCTTGCGTGGTCGAGAATCAGTGTCGTGGTACATGTCAACAACTGTCGTCCCATTATTACAAGGCCATGGAGTACCCCATCACGACATTCAACGTAATATCTACCAGATCCGTCAATGATTTGCATTAACGCATACTTACGCAATGACAGCTCGAGGCTGGGTAGACCAAGACTGCTATTCCGATCCACCATCGAAGTAAGTTATACTACGGAGCACATCTCGCGAGGCCGGCCTTCCGTCACGGCTGGATCCAAGAACAGCCAGCTTCGCCAAAAGGTCCACGACGCTAGCGGTCAGAATCAGCATTGGAGTTCTTCATCCTACAAAAGGCAGCAAGATGTGGGAAAACCCAACAGGCTCGAGTCTTGCCATGCCTATGCCGCGGAAGGCTGTACGGAGTACGAGCATGCTGATGGCGTTTCGCCTCCGCTGCATCCCACCTGCATTGCTCCCATGTCATGCCATGCTCCAATGGCGCCATCCATGGTGGAACTGCCTCCCCACGATAAAGTCGAATATTTTGCTCTCGTTCGAATGAGATCGATGTGGAACTGGAATTGCATGTGTTGAATCCGGGTCGCTTTCCTATACGCTCAGCTAGACGCCAAACCAACGGCACACGACTGTTGAAGAATTACTAATTTATTGCCGTCCTCTCAACTCTTCCTTTGGAGCTGGAGATTTGGACAGAGATCTATTACCAGGCACGGAAGAAAGCCGGCCGTTGACACTTGCATGCTGAAGCCGATTTGCTTGCTCCTCGTTCGACCGTCCCAAAATAGTCGGCTCAGATCCACGAAGTATGGCGCCGATTGCCCTTCTCAAAGAATCCCAGCGTCATCTTGGGACCGTACCAGAGTGAAATCTTGTAACAGATGATCGCTATGGCTTTATTTCTTTCCCGGTACCCGGCTGCCGGAGCTGGCTTGTTGAAAGAAACTCGGCTGTCACTAGAGGGTCGTATGTGGAAAACATTGGTCCGGACTCTGCCTTTCCCACTGCATGACTGCTGACCAGCATGCGCGTTGTGCAAAAACCCACCAACTGGCTTCAGAATCCACCACTGGGAGACCGTGTCGCACGACGCATCCGGCCAGCCTCTGCACTAATGCTGTTATCATCATCGAGACTTGGGCAGGAAGTCATTTATCATTTTTGAAGCAGGCCGGCGAAACTGACAGACGGCCGCTCTCGCCTTTGTTCTGGCAGCTTCCCCACGGCATAATAACTGTTCGGTTGATGGTAACTATTAACTGACTATACTCGGCGCGAATGGGAATCGCCTTTCGTATTCGTACTCTGAAGACGCTAAAGATTGCAGAGTCATGACTAACACGAGGCACAGTAAAAACACTGCCTACAACTGCTAGGTTCATGGGTTGTGCCAAACAATTGGGTTGGGCCAAACAATTGGGTTGAGCGCACAGGGACGTATGTTCGTCGTAGCCGTAGCACGACGCTTTTCTTTTCTTTTTCTCTTTTCTTTTTTTTTCTCCCCTTCCCCGGTATCATTCATTCCGTTTTCCCAGGGCGATTCACGCCCGCCGTTCTCCTGCACATATCATCATAGGGTACTCCGTACGGAGAAATGCGGCAAAAGAGCAGCCATGTCCCCAACCCTCGGTTGGATCCAGGAGCGCGGCGGGGAGTCATCCCAGGGCGGCGTGACTCTTGCTCAAAACGAACGCCTTCAACCGCAAGGGCTGTGAACCTCCATACTGGCATATCGAAACCACCAATCCCATCTTGGACTATGCGGCTAACGCCTTTTCGTCGGCCGCATGACTCCCTCGGTACCACATTCCCTCCCCTGCCGCCCCCAACTCCGCCTCGCGGTGTTTCCGTTGCCAAGCAAGGCCTGGTGCGCCAAAGCTTGTGCAGGCATCATCTAGTACTGCGTAAGCTGCATTTATGCACCTGGTGGTTAATCTCAAGCCACAAAACTCTGCATGCGGCTAAGGATCGGTGTGGTACTACCCTGCATCAGTCTTGTGCAGAATGAAATCATGGCACTACCTACGGTAGCCGAATACCACTCTCCACGCTGCTTCTAGAGCTGATAGTGGTTTTGTGGGGGAGGAAAAAAAAACACCTTTGGCTCATTACAAAACAAAACTTTGCCACTTCCCCATTATTTGTTCCATGGGGTGCAGGGTAGTCACGTTGTCTTCTGTGTGCTGACAGAGTTCTCCTCCATACCAGCCAGGCATCATCTCGACTCTTTTGAATGCCCGACACTGTAATTTTGGACCTGCTAACAACAGGGTATATGCCATTCGATTCTCCATATGAACCCAACAAGACAGAGCAAGCCCGATTTGCTCATCGCCTGATGCCATGTCCAAATTTTCACCTTGTAATCGTTTTCGCATCCCAGACTTCCCCCAATTTCGCTTCATGTTTGCAAAAAAGAGTAAAAAACCTGTCAAGATGAATGCCTCTTTTTATGTATTTATGATATGCTCCTAGCCTGCCAACTTTGTTTTGTTCTTGACACGCGATGATGTTGTTGTTACACAATGTACCGGCTTCTCCCTTTTTATTATCAGGCACAAAGAAGCTGTCTTTACAATGGGAAAGGACAGTTTCGAACGAGAAAATGGACACACGCTGGGCTTGACTCGACCGTGCTTGGAACAGTCGGCCACTCAGCCCATAATCATGCCCTTCATGCCTGCAAGGTCGCCCTCCTTGGCGGCAATCTCGAAGTATCCGTATATGATGCTGGAACGCTGTTAGCTCCAAGTGGCACACTACGATTGCTAGATGACTCTTTCGTGAATACTTACGTGACAGCGAGGAGGGTACCAGTTCCGGAGCCGAGCGCGCCCATGAGATCGCTGGCAACAGAGAGAGCACCAATGCAGGCACCGCCAAAGGCAGCCGCAGTAGGAATGATGCGCTTCAGCTCCTTGTACATACTCTGGTCACGGTGGCCAGCCATGACGAGACCCTGATCCTTGAGCTGCTTGGCAACATCGCGGGGGCTGGAGCCGGAAACCTCAATCCAGGTCTTAGAGAAGAGAGCGCAGGCGCCGAGCATGTAGATGATGTAGACGGCGGTGTGGATGGGATCCAGAAAGGCATCTTTGAAGTTCAGAGGAGGGGACATGTAGTAGGCGATACCAGATACGGCATGAAGCTGAGAAGAGCCGTCCGTGGCATCCCAGACACCGAAGAGACGAACGAGAAGGTTATCAGAGAAGCGCGAGTACAGCATCTGGCTGATGAGGAAGACGTTGGAGGACAGAGCCGACTGCAGCATGATGGGCATGTTGGAAGTGTAGAACAGGCGCACGGGGTAAGAGCCGCGGGCACCACGCTGGCGCGAAGACTTGACGGGGATCTCGACGCGGAAACCCTGGAGATAGATGACGGCGACGAAAACCAGGATGGTAGCCAGCAGGTTCATGATGTTGGGCAGGTTCTGTCTGTAGAAAGCCTCCTGAAGAGCGCGCTGCTTGTTGGGCCAGGTCATTAACAGGTGGAAAAGAGCAATGACGGCACCCTCGAACTCGGGACCACGGCCAGTGTTGATTGTGGTGGGGGAGAAGGCCTTCCACATGATGGATTCGCAGATATTGGTGGCGATGAACAGGGAGATACCGCTGCCAAGACCGTAACCCTTTTGGAGAAGCTCATCGAGGAGAATGACAATCATCCCGGCAACAACGAGCTGGAGAATCAGCAGGAAGACAATGCCAGCACCGAGGTCGGAGGGAGGACCGTAGAGGCCAGTGAAGACGTAGACGGTGGCGGTGCCAGCAGACAAGATGAAGGCGAAGAGCTTCTGGGCCGTCTGGTAAAGCTCGCGGTCGGACTTGAGGTCGAGGTTGACGTCGATCATGTGGGTGCCAGCAAGGAGCTGGAAGACCATGCCAGACGATATAATGGGGGTGATACCCAACTCCATCAACGTTCCTCGATTACTGGCCATGACCATTCGCAACCAGTATAGAGGATCGGAGTTGTCCGAGGAGACAATGCCGTACAGGGGCATCTGGCTCATGACCAAGAAGATCAGGAGCGTCAGAGCAGTCCACATCATCTTCTGGTTGAAGGGGATCTTGGTCTCGGGCTGCTGAACCTCTGGGAGGAACGGCACAAATGGCTTGACCAAGTCAAGAAATCGTACTGTTGGAGCATCAAGCGTGTCAGCATCATGCCATCGCCAACCAATTGCGCGCAAATGGGTCTTTCCGGGGCGCGAGAAACGGATCTGAGAGAACTCGCGAGCTCTGCGTTCAAGCCGCCAGCCCCAATTTGTCGCGATGGGTGGCGGAAAGACGGATTCATGCAGCTACTTACGGGAACTCATGGTGGACGTCTGCGGGAGCAAAGGACGAAAAGGAGAGAAACGGCGAAACTAATTCATCCAGGTGGGAAAGGAGGGCGGGCGAAAATAAGTCGAGCCGGCAATGAGCCCGAGGCGTGGGTAGAAAAGGTAAATGTGAAATAGCGCAGGGAAAGGGAGATAGGTGATCTGGCTTCAAGCCAAAATGTAGATGTGTCCAAAATAATTGGGTGCCGGCACGTGATCCCGCTCTACAGCCTGAGGCTCTGGCCCTCCAAGCTAGCCGTGTCGTATCATCCATGAGATTCCAGGCTACACTCCTAGTGGTCCGGAGCTAGCCATCAATTACTGGCGAGTTGAAAATCTGCCGCTCGACATACGAGCGTTCAACAGCACGCACAGCTGCCGCAATGGACCCGTTGGAAGCTGCAGATGCCAATGTTTAGTCGCCTGGGTCATTTTTGTCGGCGAAATGCTTCGACCATGGCGAGCAGCAACGCTCCGGGCGCACCACTCTTGGTCGTGCTGGGCTCGACAGGCACAGGCAAATCAGACGTAAGTGATACAGGCATCACGACTCACCTTAAAGCAGGCACATCTAACGCCCTGCAATACCAGCTGGCCGTAGAGCTTGCCACTCGCTTCAATGGAGAAATCATCAATTCAGATGCTATGCAGCTCTACAGTGGCCTCCCCATCATCACCAACAAAATCACCCCGGCCGAGCAAAAAGGCATCCCTCACCACCTCCTGGGCCATATCCCTCTTCACCACCTCCCCTGGGACGTAGAAGTCTACAAGCGTGAGGCCAACAAAGTCATCAGTCAAATCCGCACCAGAGGGAACCTGCCTATTCTCGTGGGCGGAACACAATATTACGTCGACCCGTTACTATTCACGGACGTCATCCTCGATGACGTCCAGCAAACAGACTCCTCCGCGGCATTTCCTATTCTGGAAGAACCAACAGAAGTCCTCCTAGAAGAGCTCCGGAAACGCGATCCCGTCATGGCAGAAAGATGGCACCCCAACGACCGCCGCAAAATACTTCGTTCGCTAGAAATCTACCTGCACACGGGGAAGCCGGCCTCGCAGTTCTACGCGGAACAGGAAACGCGCAAAGCAGCCGCTGCCAGCGGAGAAGCACCTGGCAGACCCTGGGAGAAGCTCTTGTTTTGGGTTTATTCCGACAAGGAAGTTCTTTCCGAGCGTCTCGACGCGCGCTGTGACAAGATGCTTGACTCTGGGCTTCTAGATGAGATCCATGAGCTATACGGCTTCAAGAAAAGAGCCGAAGAAACAGGCCAAGCTATGGACATGACAAAGGGGATATGGCAGTCCATAGGCTACAAGCAATTCGAGCCATATCTACACGCCTTCGAAGCAGGGATAGCCGCCGCGGAAGTCGAGAAGCTGAAGCTGTCAGGCTTGGAAGACATGAAGACTGCAACAAGACGTTACGCAAACTATCAAACGAAATGGATCCGCATCAAACAAATGCGGCGCTTGCAGGATGAGGGTCCCGAGGCAGTCAGCAGTTTATATCTAGTTGACAGCACGGACCTGTCTCAGTTCCAGAAGAATGTAGTCGAACCGGCCGCGAAGCTGACGGAGTTGTTTTTGAAGGGAGAGCAACGTCCAGCAGCGGTCGACGTCTCCGAAACGGCAAAAAAAGTCCTCGGAAGTGCACTTGAGTTGAGGCCCAAGGAGACGCCGATCAAGAGAACGTGTGATATGTGTCAGACGATCCTGGTTACGGCACAGGCATGGGAGAGGCATGTGGGGAGCGTGGGCCATAGACGAGCAGCAAAGAAGAGGACAAAGTTTGCCCTCGTCGCTGTTGATGCGCAAAGAGGGGGCGAGGATAAGCCAGGGGCCGACTCCGATGGATCACGAGCGTCAAGCCCGGATATTGGCTCGATGTTTTCCATGTTTTCCCATTGATTGATACCATTGAACCATGGTAACGAGCAGGCGCGACTCTCTTTCCGCCATCCCGTCTCCCTAAGCAGAATATTCCCCGTAACACGGTGGCACCATGCACCCTAAAATTGGAACAAAATGAGCGTGCCTTGCTATGTGAAGGTGCTTTAGAGATCCTCCTTTTTTCTTAAGAAAAGAGAGAATAACAAACCAAAGCAGCTATCGCCACGTTCCCCTATTCCCATGCTGTGATTCTCAACACCAAAGTGGACATTGGGAGACGACGCTCAGTCGCAGAGAAGGGCGACGGCAGGTTTCAACAATGACATGTACCAGCAGATTGTCCCTACGCTGAAACGTGTAGCGCGGCCATAAGCTTCGTTGCAGCCGAGTTCTGCTACTGTACCTCGGCGTTCAAGACTAGAGACTTCACCAAGTGGTGTTAGAACCTCATTTATACCCTGTTGCGGTGAGCGCCGCATCTTTCGAGAGGGGGTGTCGATTGAGCCCAACTGCTGTTCTTGACACTACGCGAATTGTTTGTCGCAAAAATGTTTGAGGCAACAAAATTTACAGCCACGCTAGAGTCTAACACTCCCTGCCGAGGCTGCAGCCAGAGATAGTATGCAATCACCTCCGCAAGGCAGGCGTTTCGTTTCTTGATCCCGAAGCCGCTCTTGAGGCTTACGTACACCGTGTCCTTCGCCGCAAGATGGCAACGTCACTGATGTCATTTGGCTGAGAGCGGGAGGGTGACTCGCCAACCCTTGTTGGCGGGCGGTTGGTTGGATCCCTTGTTGAAATCGACGACTCGCCGGCGCCCCGTCTATCAATTCCCCGCAGGAGGCGCCAGGCGCGCAGTCGGAGAGACTACTCCCTAGGCAAACGGTCTTTGGTGCGTTGCATTCTCGTGACGGAACAAGGTGCCTAGTACTAGGTCGAGCAGCTGAGCGAGATTGACCGACGGCTTCAGCCACGGTCACCGTGGTTTGCTTGGGTTTCGGGTCAGGCACCCGGTTCCATTTCGAACAACTCGATGGGCCGCGTGACCGATGACTCTGCCATGTACGGAGTAGTGTGTGCTCCAATTTCTCGCGCAATTGGAACCAGACGGTCCGCAAGCAAAGTCGTAGAGAGAACCCAATGCTATCCTGAACAGGCTCGGACACACATCTTGGATCCACCAGAGCCGCTGCATGTCATCAATAGACATGCCTGTGCCTTCTTATATCGGAGACCCTCGTCCCTTGGAGGGAGGTGTCGAGTCTGAGCGCAGAGGAAGGTGAGTAGGCAGCCAAATTCTCACGTCTCGCCATGTTCTTTGCGTAACGTGATTGTCTTTGAAGTAACACTTGAGTGATTCGTGATAAATCCGCAAGTGTCGGGTTGAGCCATCAGAGGTGCGTAACGGCATCACAGTTGTCCAACGTAGAGCTGGGTTGCTGGACTCCTCCCCCCTTCCTCTTTCCTCCTTCCTCGCTCGCTCTTGCGAGTTGCAACCCCGTCAGCGGACCATCAAGCCGGCGCCCACCCGCACGCTGGCGCCGCACAACCTTGCATAACTTGCACGACTAACTGCCTTGGCGCCTTGCCACTCCTCCGTTGGAACTTGCATTTACTTCATGTCAGATTGCTCACGGTTCTTTGTCAACCTGTATCGTATTTTCTCCCACCCAGCACATGTGTCATCTACGTTTGCCATTTTGTACAGAATATACAGAAATCGAGCTCGCAACCGACATACATTGACAGCTGTTTACGACGACCCTTGGCTACTCCTTGGCGTTCACCTAACTTTTTGGGTGTCTGGTATGTGGCTAGACTCGCGGGGCCAGCCATGTCAGCAGCTGTTTCGCAGGCGCCGCCTCAAAGGCATGCTCGAATTCTGGCATGCGTCCTCTGCCAGCATCGAAAAATCAAATGTGATCGCAATTCGCCATGCTCCAACTGCATCAAGGTACGGCAGGCCGTTTCGCGCCGCAACGTCGGGGGTCCTCGCCAGTTCATCCAACCCGCTTTGCTTGTGTCCCGCTTTCTGGGAGCCTGGCTGCCTCGACGCGGCAGAATATTGCAAGACCGTCAAGCTCACTGCGCCTTAGGCAAACGTGACATGCGTTCCGAGCACGCCGGCGCCTGCTCGTAAACGACGCCGTCCCAATCAAGACCTTCAGGAGCGGTTGGCGCGCTGTGAGGAGTTGCTCAAACAATACGCGGATGGCTCTGCCCCGAGCCAGAAACTGTCGCGCCAGCAGACCGGCACGCCAGCAATGACCGACCCCAAGAGACCGGTTGAATCGGAATCTCAACCCGTGGGACCCGAAAATTCGAGCAATTGGAAGCCAGCATGTCGAATGGTCAATGATGATGGGAGTGTTCGGTTTATGGACAGTTACATCTGGGCGACAGTATATGAAGAGGTACGTCTTTGCGTCTGTGCTGTGAAACCGAGCGTTACTGTGGTGCTACCTCGCGGCGTGCTGCCATATGGAAGCCGGGCTGCCTTTTGGTCAACGTCGTCTCTCGTCGTGCTAACGGATGGATAGCTGCAAGCCATGCGAGATATTATTGATACCGAGGATCCCGAGGACTCCAGCATACTCGGCTCAGAAGAGTTAACGCCAGAGAACAATACTGACTTGTTCTTTCCTGGAGACCTCTCCACCGCCAGCATCGACGATTTGGTTCCAGATCCAATCCATGCCTTCAAACTATGGCAACTCTTCTTGGAGCGCGTGAATCCCTTGTTCAAGGTGGTCCACGTCCCCACCGTGCAGCCCATGGTCATGGAGGGTGCTACCAATATTGCTAGCCTGAGTTATTGCCAACAAGCGCTCGTCTTGTCCATTTACACGACCGCAGCCCTCTCTTTGAGTGATGCCGAATCCATCCAACTGCTCGGCATGTCCCGAGAGTCAGCTATTCAAAAATTCCTGGCTGGAACAAAGGTGGCCTTGATACGGTTCAACTTCTTAAAAAACTACAACATGACTGCTTTACAGGCTTTAGTCCATTTCATGGTAAATATCCTTCCCGATAACAACGCCCTTCCATTTAAAAGTAAAAATTAATGTTTGAGATAGCATTGTCTACAAGGACGATATGACCGTCATGCTGCCTGGGTGCTTACTGGTGCCATTGTCCGCATTGCTCAAAAGATGGGTTACCATCGTGATGGCGAAATTCTTGGCCTAGAGCCCTACGAGACAGAAATGCGCCGCCGGCTTTGGTGGCAGATTATCATTCAAGACGCCAAGTATGCCATGCTATCTGGCCTCAGCCAGTCTTTACTACCCGTGCACTGGGACACAATGACACCTCAAAACGTCAACGACGCAGATCTATTCCCAGGCTCGACTGAGAAAATTAGACCACGCGATGGCCCGACTGAAATGGCCTTTGTCATGGTTTTGAATGAAATATACAAGTTTAAAATACAAACAGACAGTAACAACAGCGGCCCGGCATTTGAGGCTGCCATTTTGGGACAAGACTTGAGCCCAGACAAGGACGCATCAAATGCCATGCACCAACACATTTTCGCTAAATTCCGCCAACACTGTCAAGAGCTTGACGAGAAACTTGGTGTCATGGAGCAAAAATACATTGACGTCAATGCCGACAACGTGCACAGGGCCGCCAAAAGCATCCGGCAGATGCTCATGGGGAAAGTTCAAGACATGATGGTGCCGATTCATGAGCAACCCGAGTACGGGACCGAGATTTTTGGTCCCAAGGACAATCTTTTCAAGATTTTTGTCCTAGGAACTGAACAGAGACTGGAGCAGTATCAACCGATGGCTGAGTGCGGGTTTCTCTGGTTTGTCAAGTCATACTTTCAGCTAGACGTGTTTGCGGTCATGACTGGGCAGTTGTGCCAACGACCTACCGGCAGCTTAGCGGATCGAGGCTGGGCGGGCATCGAGCGACTCTATGGTTATCACACTGAACTATTTGACATGTCGCAGAAGCAATATTCCGTTCAGGCGCAAATTACACTGAAGGGTTGGAGACTACGCGAGCAAGCATTTATGCAAGCTGGCCGTCGTCTGGAAACACCGCAGTTCATCCAGCGACTGCGTGACCTTCTACCTTCATACGACTCCCGGTCGTCAATACAGTCATCCGGAGCCACGCCTCCCATTCTCGGCCAGAGCGAAGCTCAACGACAATCGGCGCCGCTGTTTCAAAACACACAAAACCCAAAGATGCCGCAGCCAAATGTCGTGCAGCAGCAACAGCCCGGCACAAATTTAGATCCCTTCCTAGGGGGCCTTCTCGACATGTCCAGTGTCAATTGGGACATGTTCGGAGACATGATGAATCCCCATGAACAGCTTTCGGTGGGTATGTTTGGATATGGTGGGTTTCCTGGCGCAACCGACGGCAGCTCAATAGTCGGCAATTCTAGCAATGTGAACATGGGGGAGTTTGGATAGAGATGCACAGTACGAGTCTATGGCCACATGGCATGGGAAAAAATGGCACGAGTTAACGCAGCATTTTGGTTTCTTGGGTAGAACAAGGAGGTATGGAAGCTACTCCCCTCATTTGAGGCGTGTGCGTCAAGATGACGACACTCCCGGGTGCGTGTACAATACAATAAAGGTGATTGGGAAAAGACTCTACTACAGGGGCCTTGGGGATGTGCGGATTTGGCAATACAAACAAGTATTCGCTTCTCGAAATATCGCGTCACATGGCCGGTTGTGCGTTTCGACGTGACTCGACGCCCAGCACCTCTACTTGAGAAGAAGCACCGCCAAGCTACCGCCGGTCGGCCACAGCAGTACGTGAGCCGACACCGTCACAATACCCCAGTAGCGTCTCCAGATCGCCTAGCAAGAAAAGTAAAAGCATCCGGAACGAAATGTAGATCTCAAAATGAAACGGCACCGAGACGGCTCAAAACCCGGTGCCGAGATTAACGACGGATCGATCCCTCTCCGAAAGCCCCTCAGTCTTTGTTGAAAACAAAATACCGTGCAGCCACGCCGTCCTATCCACAGCAAGACGGCGCGCAGCGAGCATTCGTGACTATCTGGAGAAGGGAAAGATGAAACGGGGGGGGCGCTCGGCATCAGGACGAAGGAATTTTCTCCTCTTCAAGCCGGCACGTGATCATACAGGCGAAGTCGAGTCACGTGGTGCGCCAGATGAGGAATTGGCGCGGCCTGATTGGCGCCTTGGACCGAGGAGCCGAGCTTGAATCCCGCAACAGCAGCGGCAGCGGCAGCGGCAGCTCTCGCACGACCAACAACCCGTCATTCTCACGGAAACGCCCACCATTCGGAACCGACACCATGATCGCTCAGCGGGTTGGCGTGGCCGCCCTGCGCAGAGGTACAGGCGCCCCGTGCCAGTTCCAGACTGCCCGCTAACAAAAGGCCAGCAGCAGGAGCAGGAGCAGGAGCAGGAGCGTGGGCGCGGCCCTTTGTCCTCGCCCCCTTGCCCAAGGCGGGAGCGGGAGCGGGAGCGGGAGCCATGGCCGCCGGCACGCAGGCGCAGGCCCGGTACGTAGGGACCCTCGTCGGGCCAGACGTCCACTCCACGGAGGTGTCGTGTCGTAGCTGACGTCTAGGTCTTTGTGGCAGCGCCGTGGCGACGGCCAAAGTGTCCCAGGACGACGGGCACCGGATCCTCGTCGAGCAGCGGCTGCGGCGGCCTGTCTCGCCCAACCTGGGCATCTACAAGATTGAGCAGACGTGGCTGGGCCACTCGGCGTGGACGCGCATCACGGGGTGCGCGCTCTCGGGCGCCGCGTACGTCTACTTCGGCGCGTACCTGGTCGCGCCGCTGCTGGGGTGGCACCTGGAGACGGCGAGCGTGGCGTCGGCCTTTGCCGCGCTGCCGTTTGCCGTCAAGGGAGGCGTCAAGTTCCTGCTCGGGTTCCCGTTCGCGTACCACTTCATCAACGGGCTGAGGCACCTGTGGTTCGATCTGGGCAAGGGCTTCGCCAAGCCGAGCATCCAGAGGGCTGAGATGGCGCTGTGGACGTCGAGTATTCTGAGTGGACTGTACTTGGCCTTTGGCTTGTGAACTGTGGCTGGGGAAGGGGGACCTGGCGACTGAGACCGAGGACGTCAAGACATGCACGGTTGGTTGGATCTATCGGTCGGATGGGTGACGCTGATGCCGTGGTTTCTTTGTGGGAGGGAACCCAGCCATGGTGGACAGATAGGTGTACGCTAATTGCGCGGCTGCACACGTGTAGGGGATCGGCCGATTTGGCAAAGTCCAGTCATTAGTCTTTGTCCGTGCTAATTTATTCATTTTTTTGGAACCGTCTACAAGGGTTGTCTGTCGCCCGAGGCTGTGTGAAGCCCCCCAAAGAACCCGTGATGATGTCGCCCCCAAACGCCGATTCGCCGACTCCTTCCAACCCGTGAATGCCCGTTCTTTCTTCACGCCAGCGATCGAGCATCGAGAATCGTCCTCACCAAAGCACCATTCCCTGCCGCTGCAATCTTCCCCGCCACAATGGGCCCAATGAACTCGCTCAGTTCCGACATGTCCGAGTCCGACGCGGTGCCGCTGACGCCGTTCGGAGCACGCAGTTCACCGTGCTGGGCCAGCGACGCAACCGCCTGCACGAGACCCTGGACAAGCATCTCGTATTCGATGCTGCCCTCGGACCTCTCCTTCATGGGCTGCAAAATAGCCGAGTCAAACGTCTTCATGTTGCGCAGCACCAGGACGCGAATGGCCTCGGGACCACCAGCCTCGAGCAGTCCGTAGACGGCTCCGTACAGCACGGCAGGCGGTTTTGTCGGATCCAGGAAGTACTTGAGACACGTGCGAGTGAGCTTGGGACGCAGCAGGGTGTTGGATGCCGAGTACTTGCGAGCGATGCGCCCAACCAGCGACGCGGCCAGCTGTCGCAAGTCGTACTGGTCCTTCATGGCGTCGACGCCATCGTCTGTGCCGAGCTTCCGGGCCATGAGGCACGTCAGTGCCGGGGCGGACAAGGACGAGGCGTAGGGATCCAGGAAGAGGCTCTTGTTTTCGATGAGGGCGTTGGTCAGCTCCATCATTTGCCGCAGGGTAAAGGTGTCGTCGAGGTGGTGCGTCACTCGGTCCATGATGAAGTTGATGAAATAGGGGACGAGCTGGTGCAGGCCCGGGTCGTCGCGGACAGAGCCGATGGCTGCGCGGCGCAGGCGGACGACTTCCTCGTCGGGGTTATCGTCGAGGATGGCGGCCTGGATCTTGTCAAAGTAGAGTATGAGCTCTTTGCTGACAATGTGCTTGACCGAGGGCTTGAGGGCGACGTTGTCGTTGCCGGCGAGGGCGGCGAGGGCAGGGTTTGCGCCGGGGCCCTTGGGGAGCAGTTCCTGGGAGCGCGATTCGGCCGTCGTTGGGTTCTGTGGGATTGACGGCTGGACGCCCTCGATTGCGAGCCAGTGGGCTGTTTTGGAAAGGGGTCAGCCGAGTGCCGAGGTGAGTGAGCAAGGGATGCGCAAGCAGTGAACGGGGGGCGAGCGTACCCGTGAAGTTGATGTCGCGAGGGACTTTGGGTAACGGTGCGTTGATGAGCTTTTCAAAATCCACCTCCTCGTCTTCAATGTAGAAGAGCGGTTGGCCGGGGCCCAGGCTCGCCTCGCCGTAACGAAGCGGTCTTGTAGAGTCATATCCGTACAGAGGCTCGACGTCGAGGACTTTGAGGGCCAGGGAGACGTCGTTGACGGAGAGGGTGGTTCTGCGGGCGGCGCGCATCAGGCGGAGGGCCTCGATGATGACTTGGCCGATGCGGTACTCGACGTCTTGGGTAAGCGCCTTGAGGGCTTCGTCGTTGAGCGAGCTGATGCCGACAGATTCGGCAACGTCCTTGACATTGTCCGAGTTCCAGAGGAGTTTCGGCCTGGGGGCTTCGTTGGCCATGGCAGGCGATGATGAAGGGTTGGGCCTGGTGGTTGGCGCACGCGATGCTCTTGGAAGTGGTGAAGAGTTGAGAAGCTCAGCAGTTGCACCCATTGGCCGCCGCCCCACAGTGCGGGCACTGTATGCCGAGTATTTCTTGGGCGTCGAGGTGTCGATCTGTCCACGAACTAGTATTAGAAAAAGAAGCATGAAGTTTGCTACTCTGCAGGTGCCAAGGTGCGCGTTTTGTCCCTCAGCACTCCGTCACAGTTCCATCTTTTGACCTTGTTTGATTATCTCTCCTCTCAGATGGATATTACCACGCCAAGGGGTTAGGGTTAGGGTCAGTGACATATTCCCTCAACCTCCAACGCAGCTACCAGTAACAGTCCAGGTGGATGATATTCTGTCCTCAGCATGAAAGTAATGGAACTCGCAGCTACGTTTGGCCCGTTGCCTCAGCACAAGTACATGGCCTTGGAATCCAGCGGCATTTTACGTCATGGTGATTGCGCGCCTTTTGACAGCCTTACATGTAGACGAGATACAGCATTGCGGGTGACGAAGAGCCAGAAGCATTCAACTCTTTCTTCCGGAGACAATAAATGCACGGCCAACCAAGAATAGTCAGAGTTATAGACCGTCAATTCGACCGTCTTCGTGTCCTGGGCTTAGGCTCTCACCAAAACTGGAAGCCAAGCTCTCGTATAGGTTGTCATCTTGCTGTTTCTCCTATACCGGTAAGCTCAACAGTTATCTGCGAGTCCATACTACAAATTCCGAGTTGCGTCGCGGAAACTAACAAAGGCTGCGGCTTGATCATCATGGGGAGCTTCTTGTCCTTGTATTTACTTAGTCCTTTAGTCCAGCTCGGACTGCCGGATGAAAAGCGTGGCGCTTTCAGTTGGATTTGAATGCTACAAACCCAGCCCTAAAATGACAATTTCCCACCTCGTAAAAGTCTTGCTTTGGATTTATCTAACCGTGACGGATCCGTGGGGTGCTTTCACTAGCACTACAGATTAAAGGAGCACGTACGGAGTAATCCAAATCAAAGCACGCTTGATTCCTGCACTTTTTTTGAAACAGCCATAACTTTGATTACGCAGGAGCAACATTTTCCTGTTTTCCTGCGGACAATTCGACATTGGAGGGACCCGAGTGCAAGATTGAGGATTGACGCTAGCAATCAACTTTAAGGTCTTGTTCATGGTTCTTGGTTCGTTCTATAGAACCTTGGCCTCAATAAATGAGAGGTGTACCTTTAATATCCCGAGCATTCACGATGCCCCCTTGATGGGCTTGCGAGGTCGGGGTTCTGCCGTGGCTTGGGTGATCACGTTGTTAAATGATGTCAGCCGACCTCGGACTTGAAGGCCTGACCGTTTGACAAAGGTACATGCCGGATATATTGAGGGAATTTCGAGGAATTCCAAAGAGTCTCGAAGAATTTCAAACGACCAACATGAAGTAACAATACCCCATTGTACGCAGGGCATAAACTGTGCTGAGAGTCAGCGGGGTGCGAGTCTATTCGCACGCGTGCTTCGTGGCTCAGCCGTTGATAAGCCAGCCAGAGCCAGACTCAGGTGCCTCACGAGTAAGGTTACGCTTAAGGTTGTGGACCAGAGCCGGGACAAGGTTTCTCGGCTGCAGTGGCTGGCGGTGGGAACCTCGAGGAGGGAGGGACCTAGGCAAGCAGGCTTGATGATGCATTTCCTTGTTTTAGACCTCGACGAGGCTGCTGAGCCAAAAGTAAAACGAGAATCCGCAGTATGCGGTTGCTTAGTGTAGTACGGGGACGCGATAGCGTGCGCCTTGGAACCTAGTTGACCAGTTGCAATCTTGTGCCACCCGTCAAGTCATCTACTGTTAGTGGTGAAGTTGTGTGCGTATGCCGGAAGGTGCTCCTTGACGCCAACCTGCGGTGCTTGATTCGATCTGGCCTCGTGTCTAGATGGAAAATCATACCAGAGCACGAAAACTTGCGGCATGAAATGCCAAGACCCCAGGATCCTACTTGGACGAGGACTCGTGGCCAAAGCCGCCGCCAGCCCAAGACAGTGAGATGACTTCGAAAACGCAGAAGTGTCGGGCGATGTTGAGACGCAATCCATCCATCCTGCCAGGCTGGGTCCTAATAATACCGCTCCAAGAGAGAGTTGCTAGTCCGTCCAATTTACGGATACGAGTCAGTGGTGAAAACCCCCCTTCCCTTTGAAACCCAGGAACATCCAGGGAAGCCCCCAGATCTTGCCCTACCAGGAGCCCGGGAAACTCAAACTCACATCCAGACTCGAAACAGTCCACACCTTGCTTGCTGTTCGACTCGAACGGGACAGATGTCCTCCTTTCCGGGCTGAATGAGTACTCCGTATCCAGGTAGTTTTCCCTTTCTGTTTGTACGTGAGTACGGAGTGTCCATTACGTATACTCTTTAAAGTAAGTGAGTGGGCAGCTGGAACTCGATGTCGTGCTCCCATGCCGTCCTGTTCTCCACGCCATGACATGGATCGTTCCTCATGTACAAAGTTCTTCGCTTGATCTCCGCTTGCCCGGGAGGGGGGGGGCAAAGAGACATTGAAGGAGGTGGATGGTATAAAGATGCCCGCTTGGCCGTCTTCCGCCCCCCCGACAATCTAGCTGCATCTCATCTCACACTGAGCCTCGTTCCCATCCACTCGCCTCGCTAGCATTGCCGACGCCCTCTCTTACCCATATCGCAACGGAACACAGCTTATCCAACAGACAAAATGGCTTCTCTTCGCATGGTTGTGCTCGGCTCTGCCGTAGCCAGTGTCCAAGCCGTCGCCGGCATCGAGATGCCCGGCGACGCCGCGGATGCAGTTCCCGACGTCGTCGCCACCACCACCGATGCCGCCTCCTTTCTGACCATCGACTGCCCTACGCCTACAACAGTCACCCAAGGCGACATCACGATCACCGTCACCGCTTCCACTATTCTGACCATCCCCGTGACCGGGTTTGCCAGCCCGACCGGCGATTCCCTCGCGCCTCTCAGCGATCCTGCTCCTGCTCCTGCTCCTACCAGTGCCAGTGACCCCGTTGCCCAGCCTGACGGCGTTCCTAACGAGGCTACCGGCGTGGGAGCTAGTTCTTCTCAGCTTGACAGCGTTCCTGCTCCTGCTCCTGCTCCTACCAGTGCCACTGACCCTGTTGCCCAGCCTGACGGCGTTGCTAACGAGGCTGGCGACGTGGGAACTGGTTCTTCTCAGCTTGGCGACGTTCCTAGCGAGCCTAGCGACGCGGGAGCTGGTTCTTCTCAGCTTGACGACGTTCCTAGCGAGCCTAGCGACGCGGGAGCTGGTTCTTCTCAGCTTGGCGACGTTCCTAGCGAGCCTAGCGACGCGGGAGCTGCTTCTGCTCAGCCTGTCGGCGGCGCCGCCGTGCCCTCTGGCAACTCGACCACGGTCCCCGTTACTGCCGGTGCCGGTGCCGTGGCCCCCGTCCAGCTACTCCTCGCCCTGGGCGCTATTGCCTTGCTGTAAGGTCCAACTGGTCTTGACCTAGAAAAGGTGTCATGTTTGGGGGAAGAAGAATTGGAGGGGCGTTTGTTTGTACTAGAATTGCAATAATTATGTAGTACCCTGAATTTATCATCTCAACTATTGTGTTCACGTCATGGGTCTATTCCTACGTGAGTGCGATGCCTGGTTGTATTTTGAACACGCATCGGCAACGCTTGACGGACGCAGCTTTGTCAGGTCGACATTTGTGAGGGACGTTTCGTAGAAGTTTTATAAAGTTCAGGGCAACTTGCAGATACATTGTTGTAATACACTAGCTTATTAACGTAGCGCGTGAAGAAAAAAATCGACTCTCAGAAAAAAAAAAAGAGAGATGATGTGTTTCCGAGACGAACATCATTTAATTTTGAGGCTGTTCAAAAAATAGAGTGATGCGGCCATCGGGAGTCGAACCCGAGTCGGCTGAATGGAAATCAGCCATGCTGACCGTTACACCATGGCCGCTGCATGTCAACAATCGTCGTAAATTGCGTAATTGAACCACATTGTCGGGCCGGAGCTAAGAAATCGTCGCTACGTCGTCGACTCTACCTTTTTGCATCAAGATGGAAATAATTTCTGCACTATGTGAGCTACATGAATGTATATTGTACAGTCCAGAGCATAGACTCTGGGGCAGTCCTTGGATTCCGCACCGCCGGGCGAGTGCAGGTACGTCCCGTCGTCTTCCGCTTGCAGGGCTGCTTCTTGACGCGGTGTGAGGTGTGTTTTTGAGTCTTGGAGGCTACTGACGTGCATTAATGGACCGGAATCAATAGTTCGCTCTAGAGAAGGAAGACGTGTTTAACAGTGATAATTAGAACCAGGCGTATAGCGGGATTCACAACATTTTGAATACCACAGGCGGTAAGTTACTCTGCAAGGAAGATAGGTCCGGGTATGTAACAAGGGCTGGTCTGAGAGATCCGGGCTTAGAGTTAGAAACTTATATTTACATATAGTATTATAGAGTCTTAAAGGTCCTCAGTTCCTTAATCTAATAGACTTGACTAGTAAAGGCTTTATATATGCAATAGTACTTATATATATAAGCTGAGTGTGCAACAAAGAGGCAATGCCCTTTATGCCTCGTTGCCGTAATGCCTTGGTGCCTAAGCCTAATAGTAGCCTGCCTATGAGGGCATCGTGACAGCTGCTCCTCAGGATCGGGCATCGGTGTACGTCGATTGCCTCGTTCCTTCGTCCAAGTCTTTCTCGACCACCCGGTCCACGGCCACTCGCAGTCATAGAATTCCGCCTGTGCAGACAGACGCCTTTGACAGGTAGCCTTGGTAGGTAAGCTGGGATATACCACACAGACGACCAGTCATGGATTGCACGCCCGGAGCTATTGTTCACTCACCGCACCTCGCCACGAGATGAGAGTTGAGTCAAGACCAACGGAGACGACTCCTGTGGCGTCATACCAAGAAGAACGAATAGTTGTACCTTTTTAATAGGCGCGCTCTGATGTTAACTACAATCGACTGCCATGTTTCCAGACACCAGTATGCTGCGCTACCTGAAGTCTTTACCAAACACAACACATACGAGGACCAAACATTTCTAGCGTCGACATCCGTCTGGGTATTCAGCTACAACTTATGGTGTTTCTCCTCCTGCATCGGCCACTGCTTACCCAGCGCGAAGCCAAATGCGAGTAGCAAATTCTGCAGCTGCCCGTCTCCCCAACACATCGCCTCTCTCTTTCCGCCTTTGTCGCCTACTTTGCATGCTTCGTCCAGTCGAGGCACTTCTACAAACGCGAATGACGTCGGACGGGACGCGGCATCTTGACGATATCTCGGCACGAGCGCTGTCCTCACTCTCTCATTTGGCTCGGCATCGTCATTTTTAGCTTTTCGCTCATCCGACTCTGAAGCAGATTTCAAACATGCCTCGGCGCGAGGGGAAATCGCTCCTGTGTGATTGGGAGAGTCAACACTCACGGTGGCCACCCTCTTGTACATGAGTCTTCGTCGAAGCTCACCGTGTCTCGCCCATCTTTCAGCTTGCTGGACCGGCGAGGTCCGAGATGAGAGATTCACGGATGAGGGCATGCATTTGATCAGCGCCCGTACACATTATTGATGCTATGTCGAGGGTCAATGATTAGCTCTGCATATATTAAACGAGCATCACGTATCAAGGGATAAATGACAAGGGCACGACTGATGAGCTGACGAGTCGGTGTCTTCCGGGCTCCATCGTGCTACCAGAAAGCTTCGAGACCGCTCGATGAACAAGACTCACATGAACAGGCTTGAGAGCGACGAGATGCGAGTGAATGAGTTGGTATGGAGCGTCGGGCAGAGCACGACAGGTTGCCGAGAGACGTGGTTCTTGTCCAAGATGACGAGGACGCCCTAGATCCTGTGCACTGGATTTCGTACGTCCACTTTGGTGTTTGAAAATTGAATCACTTCATCATCGAGGCTCGCAGATATAATGCAGCCTAGCTACCGAGATGGTGCTGCTATCGGCATTTGGGCCGGCTCAAAACCACGGAGATGCGAAAGGCTGCCGGAAATGTCCCATGCATCAATGCCGCTAATATACTTCAGATCCTGGAAGGAGCGCGATTGTCCGGGCCTCACCCAACGAAGACACATCTCGCCCGTGGCGCAAATCATCTGCAGACTACGTCGGCGACTTTACGCAGCTTGACGTCGACCGGCGGCGGCGCGGAGGTAGAGACGGAGCCGGGGCCGAGGCCGGAGGTGGGGCCAGCGCTGATAAAGATCAATTTGCCGCCGAATCGCGGAGCGCCGTCTGCGGGATGCCGATGCCGGCCAGCCCCGTTGCGTGGCCTTGTACTCATCATGGGTTTCCCCGGATTCGCGTTGACCGGACGGCTGCTCGTGACCGGGTCGAGCTCAGTATCTGAAAAATCCAGCTGGGCAACGCTGCGCTGTTGAACGGCCGCACCGAGTGCCTCATCACTTGCTTGCCTTGCTCGCTAAGACGGTTCAACCCTGTCCATTCTTCTTCATCTGCACATGGTTTCGATAACCGTCGGCGAACCAGCCCAAACTCGACGTGGAAGGCTGCGGCGGCTGCGCAAGCTTCAACCGGGGATCACGACACTGAAATCTGCGGCACACGTTAAACGTTCCCAACGCCATGCGGAGAACCGTGTACGGGAGTATGAATGACGTCAATCGTGTCGCATAGGATACGAGGTGGCTCAACACATAAAATAGTGTGGCCTGGCCACGCCCCTTTTTTGGTGTGACGAATTGATGGGCCGAGAAGGGGTGGGCCGTCACGTCAACATTCGCTCCGCCCTTACGAGCTATTCCCAACGGCACATACAAAAGTCGTGTCATCCACCAAAAGGCAAAGTTGGAGGGGGGCGTTGCTACCCCGCCCCTGGACCGTCCAAACCTCCGTACGTGCTCGCTCTCGCTCTGCTTTACCTGCCCAAGCCAAGGTAACCAACTGGTTGGCATCCGTCCCCGAAGCTTCTCCCATTCCCAGTCGGACCCTCTATCAAACGCAGCTCGGCAGACATTAAAGCAAGACCGTCCACCGTCCACCGTCCACAATGGGCAAGAAGATTCTCGTCGTCCTCACCAGTGCTGACAGGATTGTCAAGCTAGACAAGCCCACGGGCTGGTACCTCGTATGTGAGACCCTTTGAGGCTGAGCATTCTCCCCGCCCGTCCCCGGCCAGAGAACAGGAGCAATTCCCGTCAGGGCACGGCCGAAAGAAGATGCACGTCTTCCCACGGAGATGCGTCGCACTGCCCGGGAGCAAGAGCAGCGGCCGTAGGCTAACCGTCCCCGGCAGCCGGAGCTCGCTCACCCGTACGACGTTTTGGCCCCCAAGGCCGAGATCGTCGTGGCCTCTCCAAAGGGAGGCGTCGCCCCCCTCGACCCCGGCTCGATTGAGCCGTTCAAGAACGACAAGTCGTCCGTCGACTTTCTCGACAACCACAGGTCCGTCTGGGAAAAGACGACGCCCCTCAAGGAGTTTGTCGGTCGCTCGGGCGAGTTCGACGCGCTCTTCTACCCGGGCGGCCACGGCCCCATGTTCGACCTCGTCACGGACCAAGACTCGATCAAGCTGATTGAGGAGTTCTACGGCGCCGGCAAGCCCATTGCCGCCGTGTGCCACGGGCCCATTGTCTTCCGGGACGCCAGGGCCAAGACGGGCGAGCCACTCCTCAAGGGCAAGAACGTCACGGGCTTCACCAACGCCGAGGAGGACCAGGTCCAGCTCAGCGCCGCCATGCCGTTTCTGCTCGAGGACGAGCTGAAGAGGGTGGGCGCCAACTTTCACGCCGCCGACCAGCCCTGGGGGGAGAAGGTTGTCGTTGACGGCTTGATCATTTCCGGCCAGAACCCTGCTTCGGCGGCGGGCGTCGGCAAGGCCATTGCCGAGGCCATTGGGGCTTGAGGGCCGGAAACCTGCACTGTCGGGAGACAGCAAAGGGCAGGAGGCGACGGGGCGGTCTGGAACAAATTGTGAGGACTGGGATGGTGCTGGGCGATGCAAGCACGTGGAGGGCAAATATACGCAAGGCCGGGCAAGAATGTTTTTCTCCCTCTTTATCGGCTGGGCTGGCCGGTGGAGAGAGAGCTAGTGTACCCCAGAAAACGACCTGAAGGTTATCATTGTGAAACTTGCTTGCGTGTAAACAGCTCGTGTCGGGTCTACCCGTTCTCTTGCGCTCATCCGTGCTCGCGTCTCCTTCCGTGCCGAGTCGCCCACTCCATCGACAGACAGCAGCAGCCTCAAGGGGCTCGCCGGGAAATGGCCTCGGTGCCCCTGCTCCCACCAAAGTCGAAAGCACCCGCGGGTTGCAAGCCCGGCCTCGAGCCCAGGGCGCGGCGGATGACCCAGTCCCTGCTCGTGACGGCGTCCTCGACGACGCCCGGGAGCAGGTTGCCGTGCCGGTCGGCCACCGAGGCCCCCATGCGCTTGTAGCCGAGGTGGCTCTTCAGATGCTCAAAGCTGTACTTTTCCTTGTCGTCGGCTTCAACTTACAACCACGTATCACACTTTGTCATGTTCGGGGACTCGGGCTGTGAATGTGAATGTAGCTTCCCCGCAAAATTCGGGCATTTATTTGCCGAGGCGCTCCGGAGAGTCGGAGACCCACCGAGGCCGGATTTAGTCCGACACGGTCCCGACTCCCGGGTCCCGACGCCGAACGCCCAAGAGCGACTTCCCACCATGACATTCACGTTCAGGAGCCGTGCATGATCCAAAGGGGGCCTGGAACAGGGTGTCTCGCATGGAATTGCCATGCATTAATCTGTCGTTACATGCCACGCTTTGTTCAATCTTCCAGGTTCCAAGCCACGCAATGAGGCAGCTCGAATGGTCGGCGGCTCCGTCATCCGCATCCCCAAGCGCTGATCCATGACCCCCCGCGCCGAATCACTCCAGCGCAACAGAATCCGGAAACGCCGAGTATACCATCCTGTATATGTGTTGGCACCGTACGCGACGCTGGTTCTCTCTCCCTTCCTCTTCCCCTCTTGCCAAAAGAAGGCTCACTCACGAAGCCGGTTACCTATCCCCCGGCAAGTCCGTCTCCTCCGCATACATCCTCGGCTCGGCGATCTCGTCATCCGCCGACTTGTTCCCGAGCGCAGCTGTATTCTCCTCGAGGTACTTGACGGTGGAAGTGCCCGGGATGGGGATGAAGTCGTCGCCCTGGGCCGCCACCCACGCCGGGCAAATCTGGCCGGTCGAGGAATTTGAGCGACGACTCGACGCTCGTATCCGTCCGGCCGGGCCAGCCTGTGAAGCTCATGAGGCCCAGCCCGACGGCGGTGACGTGAGGGCCGCCGCGGCCAAGTTGGCGAGTCGGGGTCGTGGACGTGGACATTGGCGCGTAGTATGTGTCGGGACTCGGGAGGGTGAGGCTGTTTCTACACGTGAATCACTGCGTGCTGGGTGTCTGGTAGCTTTTGTAAAACAAGAAAATTCAAAACGGAAAAACCATCAAGCTTGCAGTGCAGCGCAGTGCCGTCCCGTGCCAGCTTCATTGTGGGGAATGAGCACGCATCTTGGTGATGCTCGAGCCTGTTGTGCCGAGCAGAGCTTCTCGACTCCGGAAGCCGGATAATCGGCGCCGCGTCGCAACGCCACGTGCCGCGACTCCCCTCCCGGCCGGACTTGGGGTTTCGTGCCCAGCTGGCTGGCGATGGGTTCCCAGCAGCACAGGAAAAGAAGAGTCACGTCGGGCTTTCACCCTGAGGGCTTGGCGCCTCGTTGCTCGACAAACCCCCGAGGACGGGGACACTCGGGTGGCCGGCCGCCCTTGATGGGCAAAGAAACCGGGCCTAAAACTGACAGTACTCCGAATTCAAAGACGTGACGGGAGCACGCTGAGCCCGCAGTAGTACTGGCGTTTTGTAAACGGCCAGTCGCCACGCCCGGTGCTCCGTGGACCGTGCCCAAGGTCGCATCCGGCCATGCAAATAAATGCAGGCCTCGGGGCCGAACGGACTTGGGAGTCGGAACTGTGGAGCGCGAGTAGGCGCCGTCGGCACGTGGCGCCGTCGTCCCTCCGATCTCCGGGACGCGGCGCCGACAGCTGCCGCCCCCCGGGCTCGTAACACCGTTCCACCGGCCGGGCTGGTTACCGTCGGACTCGCGTAATCGGCGAGTCCAGAATTTAGAGCTCGCAATCATCTGAAGCAGGACTCGGCGGAGCGTCCGCGGCCTCATACACTTGATTTTGAAGCGATGGATCCGAGCCCGGATCCGAGCCAAGAGAAATAAACATCACCGCGCACACATGACTCCTCAAGCGTAGTAACAGAGTGAATTTTGTATGCGTATGCAAAACTATTTGACAAGAACCTCAGGCCATGCCGCCGTTGGCTTGAGAAGCGAATAAAAAGACTCTGATCCGGCACCTTTCCCCCTCCCCATGTGCAGCTCCTCCCCCGCGAGGCCTAAAGCCATATTACTTTCCGTGGTGCAGGCTGCCGTCTTGTCAGACCCTCTCGGAGGAAGCAACGAGAGTGGTTCCCGATTCCGCGCAAGATTTAGATGGCGACGTTGTTGCAGGCGAGGTTGACGAGGCCCTGCGGTCCCGGTTAGTTTACCGACCAGCGAGGTCTTGACGAAAAAATTCAAGTCTGTATACTCACGTTCTGCTCGACGTCTTGGCAGCAGGCAACCTGGTTCGTGCACGTCGAGTCCGCGAGGCTGCCGACGATGGACAAGACGCTGACATGCGAGCACTGCAGCAGACCGTTCAAGGCGCTGAGGCCGCCGACCAGACCGTGCAACTTGTCAAAGCTCTCTTGGGTGTTGCAGCAAATGGCCTTCTGGTCGTTGCCGCAGACGTTGCCGACCTGCTTGGCAGTGGGGACGGCGGCCGCAACGGCGGCGAGAGCGACGATGAGGGTCTTGGCGAACATCTTGAAGAAGTTGGGGTCTGGGGGACTGGTGGTGATGGTTGTCTGCGGAAGTGCGGAGGCAAGAGTGCTTGAAGAGAGTGTGACTGTGGAGGAAGAAGCTGTTGATGCGGATGAAGAAGGAGGAGCTTTTGATTCCAGCAGGTCCAGACGTCGATATTTATACCCGAAACGACGCGGCTGGCGATGCCCTCGACCTCGCGTCCGCCTCGTCGGCCAGCCGCCGCAATCTCCACCCATCTCAGCTCCTATTCCCCTTGGTTGTGGTCGTGATCGGGGTCCTGGTCGTCGTCGTCGTCGTCGTCGTCGTCGTCGTCGTCGTCGTCTTCTTCCCGCCCTGGCTGACGGGAAGATGGTTGGTGTCAGACACTTTCAGGCGTCGGCGACACGGCAGTCCACGATGACCCCTCTCTCGACCACGCCACGCCACGCCACGCCATGCCATGCCATACTACGACATGCTCTGCCATATGCCAGCACAGGGAGACAGGAACACGAGAGGCCAAAACAAGCAACAAGAGGAAAAGAAAGGAAAAAAAACTGGAGCCAAATGTCTAACCGCCGGCCGAAACGTGACATGACGGCCCTCTGATCGTCGCTGGCCTCCCGCTCGCTGTCTTATTTCTTTGGGACTCGCGCCGAGCGCACAATGCCGCCTGTCTGAGAAGAGATTATACATACATGGTCTTGCCCAGGCTCCCGCTTCTTTTCTTCTTTCGGCCGCACGGCGTAATCTCGCCATTGGCGAAGACACGAGGGTGGCAGGAGATTCACACGACGGCACGCACTTGCACTTACATGCACACGACACTCGGACGGCGGACAGAGTAGCACCGGCTGGCCGTGGACTCGTCTCCCCGCGTCGTCGAGCCTCCTCCCCTGCGTGCCCGGCAGACGGGACGCCAGATGACGGGCTCGCCCCTGGATGATGGAACATGGCTGGAGGCTGCAGCCAGCGCTCGTCCACGGAAACAAGGACAAGGCGGAAATCGCAATAGGCCCCCACGTCTGCCATGGACCGAAAAAGGCAAAAACGAGCAGCGGCGAGCCAAGTAGCGCTCCCATTCGGGTGGGTGACCTGCGTGTTTGGGAACAAAAAGCAAACACAGGCGCAGCACGACTCGTCTTGGGCATCGAGCAGCCCGGAATACGGTACGAGGGGGGCACCACGCACCGCGGGCTGATTAGGGGATAGCCAGGTCCTCTTCCTCTCCTTCGGGGTGCTTTTTGAGACAGGCTAGGCCGGGTGTGTCTGACTGGACAATGGGATACCAACTTTTGATGGATGCTGATGCAGGGGCAAGCAGGCAGGCAAGCAAGCTAGCAAAGGTGGGCGAATCCGGCGGTGCGCCTCGTTTTGTTTTTCGTGTATGTGTGTGTCTTTTTTTTGTTTTTTTTTTTTTTTTGCCCGGGGGGAGATGGAGGCTCCCAAGGACCCGGGCACCGAGTTGAGTCGAGGAGACTCGACTCGTCGTCAGCTCATGATGGGCTCTGTCTGGCTGGCGTGATGAGATGAGCAGATGCAGGTCTTGGCCACGGCCCCGGCCTCGGCCCCATAGCAGCACGGCGATTGTCCAAGTCTGACGTGATGTTTTTTTTTGTCTTGTCTTGTCCTGCCTTGTCTTGCTTTGCTTGTCTTGCTTGGATGGCCGTCGAGGAGTCTCTGGTGCCTATCTGTTGACGAGCATCGACACCATCGTATGACCAGCCGCAGCCTGTGCTCCGTACCTGGCTCGGCTATTTGCTTTTTGAGCGGAACCAGCACGCGCCCTCCTAACAATGTGAGCCCTAGTGCCATTTCTATAATGGCTTTCTCTTTTTTTTTTTTTTTCCTTTTGGCAAAAAAAAAGAAAGAAAGAAAACAAGAAAGACAGAGACATGCTAATCTCCGTGCGTCGCAACATGTCGTCCACGCCTCATTTGGACACAACCGCGTCTTTGCACGCTTTCAGGCTTCAGCGCCACCTGGCGCCCGAGGCGAGCAGCCACGTCGTTAATCTGCCATTGCAACGCCTCGCAACGCCTCGCTACGACCAGCGAGCTGGGGAGTGTGCCGTGCAGATGCGATAGGCCCGGTGACTTTGCACCGGGGGGTTGAGGTCGCGCTACCCTATAGGGTTATTCTGTAGTCGGCCTTTTTTTCGAGAGAGACGGATTGCAGAGATTCCTGGCGGATTTGGTCGCTGTAATGCGGCATTTCAGAATCGTCAGTCTTTGCACAAATCGTCATGAGTCGTGTTGCGTGGGCGAAGACGGTGCAAGGAGGAGCGTGTGAGGCTGTACCGTTGGCAACTCGGCAAGCCACGTGCCCCGAACGAGCGGTGCCGTCTTTCTCCTCGCATGAGACGGGAGGGTTATCACGGATGGACTAGATAGAGGTGATGATAAAACACACGCACGCACATACACAGAGGGAGAGAGATACACACTTTGCGGTTCCGAGTTCCCGTGCTTTCGATACTCCATACGCACCATCGTACTACATGGTGCCCCTACATAAGCGTCCAGACCCAGCAGAGGAACCTCAAACCTCACCCAGAGCCCATCCACCTCTCATACATGTCCAGCGCGTCCCTGAACAAGACGCAGTCATCATCAAGCGCCGTCTGATTCACGGGCGTTGGCCCCGCCGCGTGCCCGGAACCGACATCTCCCAGCGTCACCACGTCAAACGGCTCAAAATGCGAGCCGACCATCGGCCAGCCCGGACCGCCGCTCGGGTTTCGCGCAAACCTCCCAATCGCGCCGCGCAGGTAATCGGCAAACGTGGACAGCACAGGAGTGAGCAGCGCCCCAGCACCCGTCGAGTCGTCGTACGTCGGTGACTGGAAAAGAAGCAGCACGTCACTGCCGTGGAACTTGCCCAGGTACCCGTACTCCTCGGGAAGTCTATCCGCCAGGGAGACGTTCATGTAATACCGCCACGTGGGGTTCCTGATGGACGCGGAAACCTGAGTCAGCCTATGCATCGGCTACACATTGTCAGCTGCATCATCACCTTGGCGTGTCATGACGCTAGAGGCACCTACGCATTGCCAAACAAAGTCGGTGTATATAGCAGCGGCCACGTCAAAGTCTGTCTGCAAACCGAAAAGTCCCCTGTAGTGCTCGTAGATGCGACCACGTTGATCCTTGGTGAACAAGGCGTCGGGCAGGTATGCTTGGTCGAACCGATCCCGCGAGATGTTGTGGTTGACAAGAGCCCGCCCTTCCTGCGCGATTGTGCCCGCCAATACCGGCACCTTGGCCACCCTCCCTTGCCTCCATGCAGCGGCTCGCCCTGCAGGAACGGCCTTGCCGTCCTCGATGGGCATCAAGGTGACGCCGGCCTTTTGCATCATGTTGACGAGCTCTTCGGCTGGGATTCCTCGCAGGCAGTCGAGCTTGCGGGCTCCCCGGCACCCTGCTGCTTCGGCGACGCTGTCCCAGGCTTTGGTGTTGTTGGGCGTCGTCGTCGTGCCGAGCAGGCCGAATGAGGATTCGCCGCTGGACATGACGGCGCCCCGGAATGGGGGCTTGGTCGCGTTGGCGTATGCGAGCATGTGTATGTCGACCGACAGCGACCCGGCCGACTCTCCCCAGATGGTGACTTTGGCGGGATCGCCACCAAAGGCTCTGGCATTCCTTTGCACCCACTCGAGTGCGAGCCGTTGGTCGTGCAGACCGAGATTTCGCTCCTGGGCGGGGAGCTCGCCGCTGTTGGGGAAACCGAATACTGAGGGCAAACATGTCATTATGAGGCAAGTTCGGTTCAAAAACGGACACTGTCGAGACTTGGGTCGCGGGAACGTACTGTTTGTCCGGTAGTTGAAGGCGAATGCAACAATGTCTTCGTATCCGGCAAACCCGGACAAGTCGAGCAGACCGTTGCCCATCTGCCATCCGCCACCGGGAATGAAAACAATGACCGGGCGGCCGGGTACCGGACCGGGCGTCGTTGGGGCAAATGCATTTATCGAGAGGCAGTCCTCACTTTGAGGCGGATGTTGATTGAACAGACCATCGAGAAGGTCTTTGCCGGGGCCGACATCTGCCCAGCTGGTCAGTACAACTGGCAAACGATCTGTCATGACTTGTGCCTACCGGTTTCCACGACCAATTGATAGCACGAGGGTCCAAAGGCTGTGGCATTCTTTGGGGAGTTCCATCTCCTTGGTGGTTTGGAGAGGGCAAAGCGCTCTGGGTTTTCCGCGTACGGTATGCCCAGGAACTTATTGACAGGTCCAGACGCGCCGGGGAGTTGAGTCGCAGCACCGAAAATGGGCCCCGAGTCAACAGTTGCCGTGGGCGCGGCGTCGTCGTGGCTGGCGGGTGCGGCCGCTGAAGTGGCGGCTTGGAGCAACGCAATCCAAGCAACTGGGAGCTTCATGGTACCATACGAGTTGAAAACAGACAACCATGGGACTCAGGTGGATGGCGCTCTGCGATTCTGCTCCGGGATAAACGCCAACACGGCCCAAGACCTATATATACCTCTCCCGATGTCGTTTGCTGTTGCTAAGCTTGTCCTAACCAGCCGAATGCCCATGCCTGCGGTGTGAATAGCACATCCATGGTCCATCCATCACCATCACAAACCGATCCTGCCGTAAGCGGCTGCCTAGCTGCGGCTGCAAGTGAGAGGCCCTCGTGGACACCATCAGCCCTGTCCCCCGATATTTTGAGCCAATAGCGCTGGCGTAGGTGCCATGGAACTTCCCGGGGGAGCGCTCGAGAATGAGGATTGTGTCCGTGTTGCGGCTTTCGCATAAATACGATGTAAACGGCCTGGATGCGTGGGCCAAAGTTGGAGCCCAATCCTGCACAGCCCGGCTTCATGCCCATTGCCCACGCTCTAGTCAGCGCAGTGCTTTCGTGTTCCGGACTCAAGTGATGCATCGCGATGTCCTGTGTCATCCAGCGTCGTTGGCGAATATCGTCCCGATTCCGCCAAGCAGACCGCGCTCACTCTTCAGCGCGAGGTAACAGTGTTCTGGGTTGATGCAGCCGTCTGCTGCTTCGCCGAGTCGTGAGCCGTGACTCCGGCCACTTTGACCACGCAATGACAAAATCGCAGTCGTCGTACGCGACAGCAGCACAATCTTGCCATCCTTCGTTATGGATTCGTAGAGAATCGGATCCAAGTTCGAACCAAGCAAGACAAGGTTAGTTGCAGACCTGCACGGGGCCGAGGTTGAGACTGGCATTGCAGCACCAGGATCTCTCCGGAACGGCGAGAGATATAGACGAGCTGCGGAATAGGAGCGTCGAATGTATCGGCAGCATATTCTGGTATACGCGAGTATACTAGTACGTCGAGGGTGAGGTATTGGGAAAGATGATACTGGGAACATCTTGCCATCCGGTTGCGGTCGTCGAAATATCCGGAGAGTTGACGGCTGGCATCTTGTAGCCTGCAGCTGACAACGCTGGCCGAGAGCTGCCAGATATTTGCATTTCAACATTTCCAAATGCACCGGCACTTGCCTCTCCCTCTCATCCCTCTCCTCAACATCGAATGCAGCGAGTGAAAGCCTCGACCTCTCACCATCTTACATCATTCCAACATCCCACTGAGAGAGATATCTTGCAGTATTTTCTGACAACCACCTTCCGTTAGGAGTAGAGGTGTCCTGGGTTTTGAAATTCCTAGTTGGACTTTCTATCGGCGCCCGAATTCTTCGAGCACCTTTCATTTACTTGGGGTTTTTTCTTTATTATTGAGTGAATAATTTTGCAAACTCATCTTGATTCAAGATTACCAGCAGTACGAAATTCAGCCAGGTCTGGATCGCACGACATCTAATTCCAATGCTCTTTTCCCTCTCAATCCCAGGTTTGCCTCTATTCTCACCCGCCGCAGAAGCAGCACCATGACTGCGACAGCATCAGAGCTAAAGGGCATATTCAGGCCCCATAACGAGTGGGACGACAAGATTGCCGCCAGGTTGACCGATATCTGGGTCAACAAGTCCGCTTCGTGGACGGAGAAGACGAGGATGGAATTCAAAGCCCTCTGTGCCGACGCCCGCATCACACGCGGAACAATCACCCCCTCCAGTCACAAGATCCACCGAAAAATACGCAACCGCAAGGCCACAGAGGCCGAGTACACCGTCCTCTCCGCCATGTTTGGCAGCCAAGTTATACAGAGGCTTGTCCTGGGGGTTGAAAATAAGGAGCAGGATGCTGCACTCCCCTTGGAAATGGGCGTCATCACGCAGGAGATAAGAAAACTGCTAAGAACGACTTGGGGCAACAAAACCGATGCCCCAGGTCTCGCCCGGTCGCCCACAAGCTCCATTGTCGAGGTCCCTACTGCTTCGATGCGACAGAGAGTAGACAACGAAAATGAGCTGCAATCCCCATCGCCCAAGGAAAATGCCTCCAACGCCCCCTCGTTCAGCAAAGCACTAGGCATCCAGATACGACTAAACGATGAAGAAGATGAAGAAAATGCCAGGCACAAGGGCGATGTCAAATCACACACTGCTGCGCTGCGTGGCATGGAGCCCGGCGTAAGCTCAGATGGAGTTGACGACGGACCAGCCAGACACCGCACAGGGGAAGCAAAGAGCACAATGCCTAGCTTTTTGGTAGCTGGCATAGCTGCAGATGAAGCCGCCGACTGGAGAGCGCAAAGGGAAGCTCGAAAAGGGCCTGGAGCAAGCCGTAAGCGCAAGCCAGGTCGAACCGAAGGACCGCCGGGCGAATCGCCCAGCAAAAGAACCCCCCAAACAGAAAAAGATCCGTGGGAGACGTTACAGCGTGCCAGTCCCACAAAGGAGCTGAGAGAGAAGCTCGAGGCATTGGAAGGGCGTTGTGCGGCGCAGGACGAGAGAATGGCAAGGATCGAGGAGACGTTTTCCAGCCAAGACGAGCAACTCAAGACGCTGCGACAACAGATTGACACAGTCGCCCGTTATTTAACGCGGAATGCCTAGATTCGAAACGCAAGCCCGGATCACGGGCAGCCTTTACGCGCTTCAGGTTATGGAGGTGGAATTTACAGCTATGGGCATCACCGCATCAGCAGGATATATTTTATTTGTGATGAGGGGAAGACCGATGCTGCCTAGGGGCCGGCGTTTAGCTCACGGGGAGATTCGAAAGGATTGTGACGACTTCCTTTGCCGGGACGCCTCACATGGCCTCGCTGATACTGTTGTGCGGGTGAATGTTCGACGGAGGCGTCGTCGTCGGGGCTCCCACAAGCTGCCTCTGCGACCTGGCAGGGCGTTGATATTACCGCGTAAAGAACAGCGCAAAGACCCGGCTGCCAGTATATAGGCGAATACTACAGTATGCACGAATATACTCGGATATTATCAAGCCGGTGGCCTCTTGCACGCTCGCTTGGCTTTAAGAGCGTCGCGGTGCGCGACGTCTGCAGGTCAACTTCCGCTGCAGTCTTCAACGGGTGCCGAACCATGCTTTGAGGCAGCTTCAAGTCCAACCGATTGCCGATATTCCAGCCATCCGTTACGGCCGTCTCGGCTGGCTGCGTGTCAGCATGATACCTCGCGGCGGCAACAGATTCTTCCCGACGATGCCGGCCCTGCAATCCATTCAACTGGTGTAAAGTCCCACAGGCAAGCTTGAATCGCACAGCTCGATACCCACGTCTCTATATTGACAAGAAGTCAAGCATGGCGGAACGGTATGAGCACCGCATTTCCTTTCTGGCTCAAGTAGACGGCTCTCAACTTCCACCGGTGCTGTGCCCCGACGAGGCCGGTTGCTCCTCCGCATCAACACACAGCAGACGAACCAGGCATTACCTCGAAACCTCGATTGACCACCGCCATGATATCATGATCAGGCTAGCGGAACTGTCTCATCCGTCCCAATTCGCCAGGGTAAGACCCAGCTCGAAATCCAGTTACCAACAAGGGAGCGAACCGTCCCGTCTTCAATCCCTCTTTTCACGCCGCGGCCAGACTACAGCAGTAGTGACATGACGGCCATGGAATCTACTAGAGGCAGTCGGTGGCGGAAACCAAGCAAACAAGAGGCCTGGCCTTGTGTTGAAAGTTCGTCCTCTTCATCACAGAGCGCCAGCGGCTGCTGAGTACGACGCTTACAAAACCAAAGTGGCCCGCGCGTTCGGAGACATGAAGATGAAGGGATGCATCAGCCGGACGGGACGGATTTCCACCAAAATAGGAACTCCTGACGGGCTGCGCGAAGCGTGTACCTCGTCGCCGTTCGAATCATGACCTTTATTGACTGCGTTGAAAAGGGGGCACCTACTCCTGCTCTCGGCCCGGGGTGAGGGGCGAGTCGAGATATCTGGAAGACGGTGGCGAGGCGATAACAACAGACAGAATGTCGAGCTTTACAACATGTACCTACCTACCGACCATGTCTATCTCGAGCCTGCGTCTCTTGCGTCTACTCGTGTTGGAGGCTTTGAAGTCCGCACGACAATGCGTTAAAGGAGCGCCGGGGATGCGTGGCGGCTATTCCGTACATGCCCGATTTCGCGATTTCGAGAGCTATACGACGCCACGATGCAGTAGTTATGCCAATCAGCGTTTCCCTGTCCATATTGTGCCGCCACATCACGGTGCACCAACGTGCTCAACACGACCAATCAATTCGTGAGTTGCTGTACTGTGCAATTCCAAGCTGTTCGGGTCTCTCCCGAACACCATAGCGCCGCTAATTACATAGAAAAGGGGAAAATGCATGGTACTTATGACGAATACATAGACAAGAAAATGGTACGCCTGCGAATCTTTCGCATTTCGCTGCACCCTATCCCCTGCTCCAGGGGCTGGGGCGAATGAGTTTTCTCAACGTCTCGTCGCCCGTGTCATGTGGTAGGTATCATCAACAAATTAGGGAGCCCTTTTGCCAGAAAGAGAAAGATGAAGAGAAAGAAAAGAGAGAAATTCAGATGCTTGACGCTGTGCTTCCCGTGATTCATGGAAGTCTTTCAAAGCAGGACCTGTACGCTCTCGCCACATTCTGCAAGACGAGCGAGCCCCAGCTGCCACAACACTTTCCCCCCTCCTGAGCCAGTCAATGAAAGGTCCTCAGCCGCATGCAACGTTTTCCCCAGCCAGCCTTTGAACCCCCTCTTCTGTTTGACCAAGTTTCATCAGAGTCTTTTCGTTTTCCCGTCACATAATTATTCTGCTTTTAATGAGGCTTTTCCATGGTTGCTTCCATTTAACGAGCCATTTTCACATCATCATGAGTCTCAACAATGCTGGCTGGCGACTCGAATCGAGGCAATTCGAGCTGATCGCTGTCATTCGTAGGTCGTCGTCGCTTCCCCATTCGTTCACACCATTGCTCAGCACTGACAATGGTGCCATCCAAGACACCGGTGATCTGCGTCACCATATCAAGGCCTTCCTTGGCCAAGACCAAAACCTTTTGAGCACCTTCGCGCACCGCCGAGTCGCTGTCCTTGTCACCGGCATCGGATGATGTGTCTGACATGCTGGCTAATCGAAAGCGTTGAGGTAGACTCGTGAGATGGCGGCGAACAAGAATGCGGGCGTTCTCGGGTAAGGCGCCACCAGCATACTTGGATACAGTATTGATAGTTTCCTGGAGGGTTTTCAGAACATCAACCTTGAGCGTATTGATCTTGTTGGTCAGTTCGGTGCGGGCTTGCTCTGGCGTTTGACCAGTGGTTTGACCGTCAGCGTTGTCCTGCCTGTCGGCGGACTTTTGTGATTTGCTAGCTTCCGAGTCTTCGTGTTGCGGTTGGACAATCTTCTCGTATTCCTCCAACGTAGTCTTCAAGTTGCCAATTACCTGGCTCATGTGATCATTTGTCCAGCGAAGCCACTTGAGACAATACTTCAAGCTTCTCAGACTCTCGGCACTCATCGCAACGCTCAATCCCGAAGTCGACATGATGAGGCGAGATTGCCAGGACGTATTGGAGGGGGTGGACCGCGGCGGTTGTTGTGGCCCAGCCTCGGTCTCGGTGTAGGCGGGCGACCTCATTTCGTCGTAGGCTGGCAGAGTATCCACGGTGCTGGCCGACGACAGTCTCCTTTCGCTTTTCGGTGTAGGCGGGGACGTTTCAGCATCACCATTCAACACATCTCTGCTCTTTTTGTTGGCCCCATGACCTCCATCAGTAACCTTTCGTCGCTTCTTGGAGTTGCCATTGGTGTCGGAATCGGCAGAGTTATGCTGACGTCTGTTGCCAAGAAACCAACGTACACCGCCTTCAACGCCCGTGGCTCGGCCAACCGAGTTTACCGTTTTGGCAAGCGGCGTCAGGTAGCCTTCAACGTATTCGGCACTGGACTTGAAGCATGGAGAGAAATTCTTGGCCCCCCCGTACGCAGAACTGGCTCCCCCAATCGTGCTTGCCACCAGAGGATGGGCAGTGGTAAGCAGGGACAACAATGGCTCGGGCTGAGGTGATTTGGATTGGAGGGACGGCGTTTGATGGTGGCTATTCATCGTTGGGCTCATCGGGGCCAGGCTAGCCGTATCTGGCGGCGACGAGACGAAGTCTGCAAGAGTCGATGTCAGTACGGGCACACGGAAATGTCAAGGGCAAAGACTTGACAGTGGTAAGTCGAGAGAGCATACCTGCTCGGAGATCGCCAAGCGCTTCTGCCGCTATCCGAACATCTGGATCGTCCAGATTCAAGCTATTACTGGAGCTATGGCGATCTGGTGACGGCGCGCTGGCTACGCTGTTGCTGCCATCGAGGTCCATGGTAGCTGGGCTGTCGGCCCTGTGGGCGGAAGCGCTGGGCGATTGGCGAAAGGCCAGAGGGCCATTCAGAGGAGGCCAGTGTGGTGGTTGCGGAGGCAAGTTTTGGTGGTCGAGCAAAGGATCGCCCCTGAAACCATAGACACCAGTCACGCTGCTTAGCGACGGGAGAATCTTGTCGTTGTCGTGATGATTTAACGGAGGAAGCTTTATAGACAGAGCATCGACATCGGGAGGGGGTGAGAACTGCATTGAGGCGGCGGCACCTGGGCCAGAATGCAGACTCGGGACCGTGGTTTGAAGTCGCGATGATGAAAGGATTGCTGCTGGAGGAGCAGTCGGGACCACGCGCGAGACTCGATGGGTTCGCGATTATGTCAAGGGTCAACGGTCAACGCACCGAAGTCGCCTTTTCGACCGGAATTGCACACTAGAGGAGAGTCCGTCGACAAGCAGATTTCGTCTGGTGTTTTTAAAGGCCAGGTGGCTGGGGGAGGGCGAAGCGAGCAATGCGAGGAGCGGCGGGAGTGGCTCGTGGACGCCGAACGAGGATGAAGATTTGCTGGGTCGTAGAGGCAGCCCGGGGTGGGAGGGCCTTGTGAAACAAAGCAAGCAACAGTCTCGCTGGGAGGCGGCGGTTCCAGGCATGGCGGTGGTCCGGGCGGGGGCGCGCGAGCATGTGATTGCACAGCACCACCAGTCAACGCCAGCGGCCACACCAGCGGCCACACCAGCGGCCTGGGGCAGAAGTCCAGGACCCTCCCTCTCTCTGCCCTTCGTCACGCTTGCGAGCACTGGGCGTCGACTGGCCCGTCTGTCGGTGCGAGCGCTGGAGCCCCATTCGGCCTAGGCCCAGCACCAGGCCCTTTTGTTCTCTTCATTGTTTCCTGCCGCTGGGGCCCTTTTTTTTTTTTTTTTTTTTTTTTTGTGGCGGTCGGTTGGTCGTGTCGTTTTTTGCTTCTTGTCCGAGTCAATGTGCCCCAACAAAATTGACCGCCAAAGACGAGTAGTAGTAATAGTAATGGCAAAAAATGCACCGTGCCAGTCAGTGTCCGGAGCATTGACACTGGTCTCGCCGTCGCGGCAAAGTGCTACGTACTTAACACGTTACGTTCGCATGGACTCTTTCATTGCAGCAATGCTTGGCCTGCCGCTCCTTCCTTGCTTTGCCACTGCACGGCAACAGCGGATGTTGTCGACGGGTTCTCTGACGCGTCTTTTCGCTCTTTGCTCTTTGCTCCTTACTCCATTCCAATCGGCCGACTCTGTTTCTCCACGCCCGGCGACATCATCAGCATCAAGACTTGGCGTCCGGCAACCATTGCCAACAGCCTCGTGCCGAATCCTCAACACTCGGAACTTTCACGTTAATGAATGACCTTCGCAGCGACGTGGTGGCGGCGTGGAGGCTCCCGAACTCCGACGGGAGTTCGGGAACATGTTGCCCGCCGTCCCCTGTCGCGCTGTGGTGAGAATTCAGCTGCTTTTGCCATGTGCTGTTTACCAGTAAGTGGCGTCAACCCTCTGAAATGACGGGGTGGTGTGGAGTTTGACATCTGCATGCTCCTCATAAACACGTTTGGGTAGTCCTGCCAACGACCAGAAGTCTTCCAGGGCCAAGAAGCCCCCCGTCTCAGTCTCGCTACCTGTGTCGACAAAGACTTTCATTTTCGACGTCGTCAAACAATACTTCGCCCCTGACTGCCCCTCGCGCCGTGCGGCACTGGGTTGTGGGAAACGACGCCCCTCGTATTCCTGACACCCGTCTGTTCATTGGTTTGCACGTGCTCGCAAGTCTGGTGGAGAAATCACATGCAACAGCTCCCCGTGCCACAATACAAATTTCCATTCAAACCCCAGAAGCGCTACTCCGTAGTAGCGTCCAACTACAAAATGCCCCGCTTGTGATACCAGGCTATAGCGCTGCAAAGCCAATAGGAAGGACGCTCGATTCTTTTTTTGCTTGACTCGACGTGCCTTGCGTGGTTGCCAGCTGAACCAGGGGCGACTTACCGATTGACCATCACGAGCTGCCGACGGCAAGAATGAACTCACTTGACCTACCTGTCCTGATTGCCAGACACGCCATTAGCCAGAGTTTACAGTTCCATTGCACTGGGTATCTTATCTAGCTTGCTGCCGGCCGGCCTTGTAGCGAAGCTTAACCATGCATCCATAATATTTTGCGTCTTATTCCCTAACCTCACCTCTCGAATACAGCATTTCGCCATGGTCCTACGGGGTGTCTCATGTGAACCAGGCCTTGTTGTACTTGCAGGATCCCACTGCCGTGTTTGTGAAGGAAAACACTACTGACGTTTGTCCGTGATGTGAGAATGCTTGCCGACTACCTTCAGTCTAGAGTTGTACTGAATGTACATGAGAATGTTCCGGGCAGCTTTCGTCTACGGAATTTTTGAAGAAGAGTGGGAAAAGAGGGAACGGTAAGCACGTGAGAAAGACTCAAGAAAGAACGCGAACGGAGACGAAGAGAATCTAGGGTCGGTTGACCTTGACCCTTCTCCCATGCCAACAATGTCTCCACCGACTGACTCTCCACGGTGTTTCCGAATGCTATCCCATCCATGCCCGAGATGGGTTTTCCAAAGTCACCACGTTTCACATTGACGTGCCCAGAGAAGATGTCATTGTTGCTCATAGCCATTCCTGTAGGCGGTCTCGTGCTCGAGTCGGCCATCATTATTAAGTGACCCAAGATGGAGTGAAAAGTCGCATGTTCCTTTTCCACATATCACGAACCGAGACTTTGCGATGATACTGGCGGGCTGGGTGTGAAAAGATTAAACTCGGTCATGTGAGATGGGGGTCACCAGGTCACGTTCCGCGAGGCCAGAAATGGCCGCGAATAGCAGCAGGCTCGCGAGCTGATCAGTACGATTTGGAGATGGACGACCATGGCATTCATGGTCAAGTAGTCATGATTGATGTCTGGCTCCTCTGACGCCGCCCAAGCCACGGTAAAGCTAAGTGCCCGAGCAGCTCTTAATGGAACCAGAAAAACATATCCCTCTCCGCGCCACCAAATCGCAGCATCCGCCCACGACCACGCAGATGGACAAAACAGAATGTTGTGTCGAGCACGGGCTGAAGGACGGGCTGCACTGTCTAACGGACGCGTTGGTGAGAAGGACAGAAGAATCAAAGCGCGGGTCAAGGCATTTGGTAATTTTTAAAAGTGGACGAATTGGCGGGATCCATCTCTCGACACGTGACCGGGGCCCAGCAAAACACGCTGGAAATTGTTCGAGGGCGAGATTCACCGGAGTTTCGCCGGCCAATCAACATATCTGTAGTCCCAAGTGAGTGACTGAGCTGGACGGGTGGACGGGCGACCTTGGGAAGACACATGAGACGATACGATGCTCATCTCCAGATTTCGCCATATCACGGCCCTGACGGCTCGTTGCTGAGACCGCTTCCACTACCCCCTCTAGTCGGATGCCTGTGACACGAAACACATGACGAAACGGCTCTTGCAGAATTCCTCGACGATATTTCCCTTGGCCCGCGCGCCAATTGATTCGACCCGTTCCCCTCGCTGGCCGGCGTCTCTCCCTCGCCGCGTCGAAGCTCGGGAAAGCCAGACGCAGTCATGGCCTCGGCATTGTTTTTTCTAGATCTCAAGGGCAAGGTATTTCCTGTCGCTCGAGCCAATGCATTCGCCATGCAGCCAAGACAAGAGGAGAGAAGAGAAGGTCGTGATGCGGCTAACCCCGTCACCGCAACAGACGCTCCTCGCCCGCAACTACAGAGGTGACATCCCCATGTCAGCCGTGGAGAAGTTCCCCGTCCTCCTATCCGAAGCCGAAGAAGAATCATCCGCTGTGCCGCCCTGCTTCTCCCACGAAGGCATCAATGTATGTCACCCTTTCCTTTTCCAAGGGAAAATGGCGAAATGGCCAAAGTCCCACGCCCACGCCATCCTTCTCTGACTCAAATACGCAACAGTACCTCTACATCCGCCACAACAACCTCTACCTCCTCGCCCTGACGAAGCGCAACACCAACGCCGCCGAAATCCTTCTCTTTCTGCACAAAATTGTCGAGGTCTTCACCGAGTACTTCAAGGCGCTCGAGGAAGAATCCATCCGCGACAACTTCGTCATCATCTACGAACTGCTCGACGAGATGATGGACTTTGGCTACCCGCAGACGACCGAGTCCAAGATCCTCCAGGAGTACATCACGCAGGAGTCGCACAAGCTGGAGGTGCAGGCGCGGCCGCCCATCGCCGTCACCAACGCCGTGTCGTGGCGCTCCGAGGGCATACGGTACCGCAAGAACGAGGTGTTCCTCGACGTCGTCGAGAGCCTCAACCTGCTCGTCAGCTCCGACGGCAACGTGCTGCGCAGCGAGATCCTCGGCGCCATCAAGATGAAGTGCTACCTCAGCGGCATGCCCGAGCTGCGCCTCGGCCTCAACGACAAGGTCATGTTCGAGACGACGGGCCGCACCACGCGCGGCAAGGCCATTGAGATGGAGGACGTCAAGTTCCACCAGTGCGTGCGCCTGGCCCGCTTCGAAAACGACCGCACAATCTCCTTCATCCCCCCGGACGGCGAGTTCGAGCTCATGTCGTACCGCCTCAACACGCAGGTCAAGCCGCTCATCTGGATCGAGTGCGTCGTCGAGTCCCACTCGGGCTCCCGCATCGAGTACATGCTCAAGGCCCGCGCGCAGTTCAAGCGCCGCAGCACCGCCAACAACGTCGAGATCATCGTCCCCGTCCCCGACGACGCCGACTCCCCGCGCTTCCGGACGAACATTGGCTCCGTGCACTACGCCCCCGAGCAGAGCGCCATCGTCTGGAAGGTCAAGCAGTTTGGCGGCCAGAAGGAGTTCCTCATGCGCGCCGAGCTCGGTCTCCCGAGTGTCAGGGGCGACGACGAGCACGGCGGCGGCATGACGGGCGGCTTCGGCGGCAGCATGGGCGGCGTCGGCGGCATGGGCAAGGGCGCCAAGAGGCCCATCCAGGTCAAGTTTGAGATTCCCTACTTTACCACGAGCGGCATCCAGGTGCGGTATTTGAAGATTACAGAGCCAAAGGTACTTGTTCTCCCCCCCTCCCCCCCTCCCGGCTTTCCGCGGAGCTTTTTCTTCCACCTCGTCCCGTCACATCAACCCCTCCTTGGACGACTTGACGACGTACACTACTCACACTCTTCAGCTACAATACCCGTCCCTGCCATGGGTCAGGTACATTACTCAATCGGGCGACATTGCTGTCCGACTACCAGACGCCGTCTGAGTCTCGACGCAACGGGCAGGGCAGCCGCACACACCACGTAATTCCGCACAACACAACCTGCGACAAGAGAGCGCGGGCCGAAAAGTCTTTGAGAGCCGCGGTGACATGCGCACGCGCATCTACTACCACGTCACCAGCGTCGTCAAACGTGCAGAGGGGTCATTCGCATCAAGGAGCAGAGCCAGGCTTCACAAGTAACATCAGTTCAATCGAGTATTGAGCAAGACTAGAAGAATAAAAATTTCAAGAACAACCACTTCATTGCATCCATTGTAAATTTATTTTTTATTTTTTTCAGAACTTTCAACCGTTCAAAAACGGGTTCCTCGTGCCGCGGTGCTCGCTCAGCCTTGTCTTGTCCCCTTGCCCTGGCTGGCAGCGAACAAATGAAGCGAGCGAGCGGCTTGTGTTCCCGACACGAATGAGACTTTGGTCAAAGACGAAACGGGGGGCTCGTGTTCCTGACACAGTATTCATCTGGGATAATAGCAGGACGGGGGGAAACGAGACGCAAAACAAGACGGAGGGAATGGATTCCATCTCTCTGGGGCGGAGATTGTCCCTGGAGTCCCGAGACTTGATGGCCTTGCTTGGGGCCGTTTCGACTAGCCCTGGACAAGAATACCTGCCCACTCAAGCGTGGCGAGAGAGTCGAATGTAGAGCCGGGCTGGTTCTCGGGATCAAGACAGATGTGCACCAGGTAGCCGCGGGGGCTTTCCTGCTCTGAATTCGGGTCTTTGCGACGAGTGTCAGTGTCGATGCGAGCGAGCACGGGGGGAGGGCATACAGCCAGGAGGTGGCGAGGTGCCTAGCCAGCGGTAGTTTCTCCAAAAGCCGCCGTCTCCTTCGCGTCCGAGGAAGACGTGCTCGACGGTTCGGCCGTCGTCGCGAGAGGCGTGGAACGCCATGAGACCGATGACAATCGGGAGCTCGCCGCCTAGCCCGAGAGACTGGACTACCCGGTAGGGATTGCGGCAGATTTCGGGGACCAGGCTCGGGATCCAGCTGGCATGGCGGCCTGCGACGAACTTGACGGGAGGGGGGTCGGCGGACGGCGAGTGGTCGACGGAGAAGCTGGCCAGCGAGACGCCGTTGCTGAGCCGCTCGTCGTCGTGTCGGTGGAGGAACTGCAGGACGTTGAAGTCGGGATCGGTGTCGGTCCTCGCGTCGCCTTCGAGAGTGATGATCGGCAGCGAGGGGTTGCAGGAGAAGACGGACGCAGACTTGTACTTTCGGAGGGCATACTCAGTCCCCCCGGCCGCCATGGCAATGTAGCCCTCACCAGACTGTGCTGCGCGGGCCCAGTAGTAAGCTGGTCCGGCGGGCGTGACTTGGCCGCTTCGAAACCTCATGACCCGGCTGACGTGTTGGGGGGTTTCTGGGGCGTAGAGTGCTGGGTCGTTGGGGGGCAAGACGTTGAGCCATTCATCCCTTCGGATGCCATTGTCAAGACCGGGTCGATCGAGATGAAAGTTGACCTCGAGCTCAGTCACGACGAACAGGAAGCTCACATCTCCGTTTCTGGGCAAAACGCGTCCGCTGTTGCTGCTCTCCAAAGTCCTGGGCTTGCTGGACTTGCTGCTTTTATGATGCTTGTGTTTGCTGGACTAAGGGGGGTGTCAGTGTCAGTTGATGGCATGTCGAGACGTCGACATGTCCGTCACTTACACGATCACGATCGTGGTGCATGTCGGACATTGCGGTTTGCAGAAAAAGCCTGTGTGAAGCTCGTAGGTAGATTTGTGGACGGAATGGCGAGTTGATTGTGTTTGAACCAGGACTTCGTTGCTCGTCATTGCGGTTGTCCTCTCGCCATTTATAAGAAAACGGACCTTGAGTTGCTCGTCCCCATGGCCTCATCATCGTAACGCGTCTTTTCGGTATGCTCTCATACTCATGATTTAGCTGCCCGAGACAGTACACCCGCTAGGATCGGCGAGCTTAGGCTCATCATGTTGTGTGTCTCTGAGAGCATGTCATCCAGAAGCAGTTTTCAGGGATATGAAAAAAAAGTTTGGCATGCCTCCTGCACCCGTATCATGCACCGCCATATTCACCACCAGCAGGGCGGACAGGTCACCGAGGCCGAGGCTGAGAACCACGGTGCAGGAATTGAGGCATGGGAGGACATCATCCTCTCATCCCATGAGCGACCCAGAGTCATCCCCGATGGTGACCAAGACTATGCAAGCCAATCACGTAGTGTGACTGGGGGGAATCGGTAGTCACTCATGCGCCAACTCGGTCCTGGCCGATCGATCTTGGGGTCATTTCGAGGGCAGTTTCGTGTACGCGATAGCCCTGACCCCGAGTATCGTTGCCGAGAGGATGGCATGCCACGTGGACGTGCCCAAATCATTTCTCTCCAACGGAGCCATAGCTCAAGCCCCATGGCCGAAAACAAAGGCATTCTATCCGGTAGGCACCCAATCCCACGCAACTGGCAGCTTGGCTTGGGCGGCCGCGGGTGCCTTGCGGTGAAGCTGCTGTCACAATCGTATTCCCAGGGCTAACATTATGTCTTTGTTATGTAGATGATAAAGATTTGGTCGCGAGACAGTTTGAGCGGAGGTCTTCGGAGTTGGCGAGACGTTTTGGTCGTTTGTGGCTGTCGCAACAGTTGTGTAGCGAGGAAAATCGGGCTTTTTTCAACGCCTTCGGGCGCGCAGATTATTCTTGGAAAATTCATCCACCAATGCTGTATTAAGGCCAACTGAAACAACCTTAATGTTGACCAAAGTTGTGCTGTTGTACCAGTAATAGGTCGTTTCATGAAAACAAACCCTGCCCTGCAGATGATTCTTCTCAGACATGTCTCCGGAAAACAAGGGCATTCATTCATTCGCCTTGAAGACACATGGCCGCTTTGCAACTTGCAGCAGTAGGTGGAATCTCAGTAAGTCAGTTGCCTCGGAGAACAAGACCAGCCTAGCAAGCCTTATTCACTTGTATTTCAGCCTCATTCCACCCGCAACCCTCAAGGGGGGGTACAAGAAATAGACACTCCGTCGCGGAGGGGTCGGGATAGAATGAACATGACCTCATCAGCCATTCACTGATAATCGGCGCCGAGGTTCTTCATTCCCGAAGGTGGGCGGGCTCGCCGCCATTGCAAGACGTCGGACGGAATAGCAACTCGACCAACATGGCTGTTGTTGCACCGAAAATGCGCTGGAACATGACACTCTTGCTCCAACGTCACGGCGACTTCCGAATGAGGCCGGTTTCGTAATTCGGCACGATTTAGACGCAGACATGGCAACCCGTCGGAGAGAATTACATGCTCACCGCATGAATTACTTGCGCATCACTCGTCACAGCTCACATGATCGTTTGATGGGGCAGGCCCGTTCATAAAATTTGAGAGTCGCATCCGTCCGCATCGTTGAACCCTGTGGCGAACATGGCGCTGGTTTCCTTGCCGAGGCTATTATCGAGATCTAAGAACTTCCAACTTGATCGGGATTTGAATTTCAGTGGTTGTTTATAGAACTGAGACAAGTTGGAGACGGCATCAGAAACCACTTGTCCTTTTGCACCAATGCTATGATGACTGTTCCCGACGGCTGACTTGTTTATATTGGCCTCGACGAATTGGCCGGCTGCGGATGAAGCGGCTTGACTTTGTGTGATTTGGCCCGTCTTGGGCCCAACGTCCCCCGCTCTGGACATCCAAAAGCCACCGCCTTGTAACGCAGGTTGTGGGAGCTCTCGAGTCGCAAAACAAGTGCTCTGCGTCGTCTGTATCGTTTCCCCTGGACACTATCCACACAGCCAGAATGTTCTGTTCGAGCATCATTGACGCTCTATCGTCCCAGCTACATGACTGTCGTGTGTCGACAGAGACTTCATTCGGATCGTTTTGCCTTCTTGGCTGCCGTAAAGCCCGTTTCAGGTGTCTCTTGCGAAGCCTTTTCTGAGAAATGATCACAGGCTTCCTGTATAAGCCTTTTCTCTCCCAGTCTGACCTGGATCGCCATCCTTTGGCGGCGACTGAGATGGCCTTGTGCCAACAAGACTTCATCCTCGGCGGCAGTTGTCGAGTACCGCGATGCAAGGAGACGTAGTGTCGCAGCCATTGTGGAGCGCAATATGTCATCTCTCTTTCTCTTATCTGAGATGAGATTTCTGTCCAGTTTCTGAAGCAGCTTGAGTGTCGACTTGAGCTGTTCCTTCAGACCTGCAGGCATCCCATCTACCACCGCGGGGCCAGCGAAGGTTCCGTCGGGATTTGGCTCACCAGAGTCCCGTTCGAGCACAAAGACATCCTCTAGGTCGTCTTGATCCATCTCACCCATCTGCAGGTCTCGTCAGCTGCATTGTTCAAGCCGGGAGGTTGAAATCCAGCCCGCTTACCGTCTCGGCCATGACATCTCGTGGCACACCAAGCTCAGACATGAGCGAATGTTGTACCGCGTCCCAAGGGATTTCCACCACATCATATCGTGAATGCTTTTGTGTGACGTAACCGTACCTACGAAGCAGCTCGGAGTTTGGATGAGGCCCGTAGTAGTTGAGAATTTCCTCCCCCGCCTTGATATCGCGAATCGAAGTGACAGTCAGCTCGTCGTCTCCGTGGTTGACGTGCGCCTGCAAGCGGTTAGCAATACCTCGTCACCAAGCACTCACTGCTCTTCCGTACGTTGAATTCGGCATCCGCATTCAAGATATCCGCCATTGCAATCATGCCCATCATAGATTTGCCCTCTCGGTCCTCAACCCAGCCATCTGACCCGTCATCGTCATCTGCCTCTTCACTCTCCAAGTCAAAAGCGTAGGCCATGATGGTGCTCCCCATGCGATGAGCTAGTCTGATCAAATCGTCGTCACTGCACTCGCTGCTGTTGACGAAGAGAGACGGATTACCACGGATGGCAGGTATGAGTCGCGTGCGAAACATTTCTTCTGCGACAACCTTGCCAATCTTGTTCACGGTAGCGCTGGCTTGAAGATGCGACAGTTCCTCTTCGGACCAAAACATGGGAGTGTCGAATTCTAGCGGCAAGACGTCGATATATGGCTTCCACTTGGATCGATCACCCAAGAAGACCTCATACATCATTATGAGAATCAACGCACTCCAAGGGTCGAGAGCCTGCTCCTCATCTTCATCACCTTGACTCTCAAACAGATTCGGCAGCTTCTCTCTCAGGGATGATGTATCGGAATCAATGATCGCACGTCGGGGTATCGTGAAAAGAGCTGTATCAGCAGGAATATCGACAAGCGCAACTGTCATCGTTCACGTCAGTCCGTTATGCTGGTCAAACACGATACAATTCCCCATGGACTGACTTATGCCACGGCCCGCATCGCGGCATCTCAGGTCGGCAATCTCGATTGAATTTGAAAATGCAGCACCGGGGAGCGCTTTGAACCACTGCATGAAGGCAGCCGTCTTGGCTGTGAAGTCTTCTGATGTCATTTCGTAGCCGCCAGCCTGGAGCACCACCGCCTCAAATGCCTCCTCCACTTTTGGACGTTATCTGCAGTCTGCTACGTCGTAGCAGAGATGTTGGGGCAATGGAGCTGTAGAACGGTCACTCAGAGTCAATGTACTCGGTACAGTTGGGGTGACGACTTGGAAGTTGATTTTCGCCAAGTCCAAGATTTTATTCATGTGGGGACCCGAGATTGACAGCCCAGGTGACAGCACCACCACTGCCTGCATGTCGCGGACCTAATAAACCTGACTTGTCGACCAAACTATAGCTAGTGGTTTCCAACATCATAGCTGGTTTGAAATCGGGCAGGAACGGCGATTGGTCTTGTACACAGAAGCTCAAGAAATGATTATTTCATATTTTCTCCAACCTCTTCCCCATCTTGTGTAGGGTAGCTAGGAATTTTACACCCTGATCCACAGCGACGTCGTCGAAATGTTTGCTCTCGCGATCTACGTCTGGGTGAAAAGTATTGCTCCTGCCTCAGTAGTTGATAAGAAAACCAGTACATATCCCGCCATCGGGTACCATTGCCTTTTCCTGCGCCGGTCGTCCAATGACTTCAGCCCGAATGAACCAACTCGTCCAGTATAGAATACAGGCAAGTCCTACTTGTCGCGGCCATTCTTTGTTCCAGTCTTGAATTCTCGTTTCTTTGGCTTCAGCCACTCCTCCATACCTTCCGGCCAATACACTCTCCTATCGGGTCCGCCCATACTCACGTCGTCTGCGCTCAAGGTATCCTCCGCAGCCTCATTCTCAGTGTCTGTTGTGCCATCCACCTGCGATTTCCCATTCACAGTTCTCTTTGTTTTTCGGGTTGCTTCCCTCTTTGGCTCGTCTGTTCGCTCGTGCGGAACAATATCATTGAATAAATCCCAGCCCGGGAGTTTAAAAGTGCGCATGAGTTCAAATACGGCTTGTTCTTTGTCCTTTGCCTCAATCATCAAATCCATGTCTGTTGCGCAGGGCGGCAAAGTCTTTACCCGGGCTGAGTGCTTGCGACGGTCGCGAGGTGTTACAGCTGACGCGACCGGCTCGCTGTAGTGCATCTTCTGTGTGATATTCTTCCTGGTCCATGTTGCCTTGATTCGTTCGTAGAGGCTGATTATGTCCAACGTTCCTTCTCTGACGCTGGGATCGAAAATGATGTTGTGGTGGTGAAAGTCAAGTACAAGGGGGATATTCAATTCTTCGCAAATGGGCAACAAGTCATGTACACTCCATGATACATCGTCATTCTCCAAAACCAGTCTTCTTTTGACTCCTTCTGAGAGCTTGTGGTAGTTCTCGCGAAATCGACCCAAGGTCGCCTGCTTATCGCCGTACACGCCGCCCATGTGTAGAACCATCACGGCGTCCCTGTCCAGTTGTTTTGAAAGACAGAGTCGCGAGAGCATTTCGTTATGATACTCCAAATCGCGGACGGATGCGGCTATTACGTCTCTTTTCGGACTGCCAATCTGCGTGAACTGACCAGGATGCGTAGTAACTCGATGCCCCAACTCAGAGGCCACTTTTCCAGCTGCGGCCAAGACTTCAGATGCGTAAGCCAATCTGTAACCATACTCCGCATGACTGGCAAAGGGGAACATCTCGCTGCTTAATCTCATGAATTTTATTCCGTACTTGTCGTTCCATCTTAACATTTTAACAATATCTCGCGCGTTGTTAAGCCCGATTTCTTGCACGTACTTCAACCCTCGATTTGGGTCGGCTGGCTGTGACTTATCAGGACGATTTTTCGTTGGGTGCTCTGGCTGTGTTGGATCTTGAAGAGAATGTCGGTGTTCGAGAATGGAGCTTATGCGGCATGTTCTAGAGGAGAATACTGGCGGCGTTGCTGTGCGCAGGTAGGTGTTTAAACACGCCTGGAGATTATTAGCATACCGTCTCAGAAATCAGAGGTTAGGCCCATCCGAGCTGATAACTATGCAACGAGATGGGGATGCTCACATATCCGAGTCGTCCTTTCCACGGTAAAGGCAACTGATCACTATTTACGGGAGGCGGACGTTTGGCTCCTCTTTCACCCACCTCGTTCTCTAGCAAAGGCGCCTCTTCCGCACACTCTACTTCACTTTCGTTCCGCAGTCCCTGCGTGGTTCCAGTTGACTGAGCTACCGTGTCCATATACTCTGTCGAACCTTTCGTGACGTCCCGGCCGCCGTATGCCTCGTCTTCTTTTGCGGCCAGAGCCTCCAAGTTGGAGGCCTCAATGGCAAGTCGCTGCCTTTTCGCTTCGTCCAATAGCTTGTTATCCATTTCCCAGAGGTTGTGCATTGCACGCTCTACATTCTCCTTTGAGCTCAACCCATCAGCGCTCTTGGTCCTGCTTTGATTGATGCCGACTTGGGCGCCATCTTCGTCCTTGACGCGCCGAGTGCTTCGCCGTCTGGGTGCTTCTGCTCGGGGAAGGGTCGTGTGTGTCTCGCTGTGCTTTCTCTTAAGTGGCATGACTGCAACACGCGAGACCAAGATTACGTCGGTGAGTAAAAGTGCAGCCGGAAAAAGGCTTCGACAGGCGTGTTGCACTATGCTTGGAAGGCTGATAGATGGCATGTAGAGAGAAGTGCGAGCCCTGACTGTGGAAGAGGAGGAACACGTTTATCTGGAAAGGGTGCAATGCGAACTGTCTAGGTCTAGGACACGGCAGACCTTTTGCCCTTGTTCGGACAGGTTGGTTCATGAGCCAACGGCAGGACGTCCCTTGATCTCAAGTGCTCAGAAACCCCAGCGACGGGAAACGTAGGAACGGCCAATGATATCATCGTTCCCTGGCCGGAGCTCCCTTGGCCGGAGATGGAGCTCCGTGGGCTGTGGAAGGTGTTGGAGGTCGGCGAGGCGCGTCATGCCAACCCCAGCACGGGTTATTCCCCGGAGGATGCCACGGTGCTGGAAGTTCCTTGTAACGCTTTATTAGTAGACGCCATCATCATGGTCGTGTGGCCGAAGACGTGTGCTCGATCGCCGGCAAGATTTCTCGATGGCACCAGGGACGGGTTTGATGAAGTCATGCGGCAACGATCGATGGCCATCGACGATTTGAGGCGTGGACCAGCCCGTCATAGACCCACTTGCTGTGATCTGCCGTGCTCTCCTTCGTACAGTAAACCAGGTCTATAACGATAACCTTCGTGAGCAAATTTCCATCGTTATAGACTACAGGGATTATATCGTTAAGATATCGTTAAGATGCAACTACTCTTTTAGGAAAAACCCCACTTTTGTTAGTAAGATAAGGCTGATAAGGCCTGATAAGGCCTAATAAGGGATTTTAGGGGGGGTAAAGTAGTGTATAATTATAAACTTATATATATTAATAAGCAATATTTTTAAGAAAAATCGCTATAGGTTAGAAGTTGCTTTTATATATATAACATATAGGAAAGGTACTTCACGCCCAGGCGTGTGTGCCGAATCGCTATAGGGGGGGATCGTTATAAACCTGCTTTACTGTAGTACGGAGTAGCCGTATGTGCGCTCGAAAATTGACATGTCTGGGCTTGGGAAGTTTGGCGAATGGAAATCCAGAAACGGCGCCCCAGCTCTCCAGCTTTCCCGAAATGGTACAACACTCTGCCATACACGCATACATACTTACTTCCTCATCTTTTTTAGATGGCGAGTCCTAGCGAGCCTTTTAATAGGGGGGGCGTTGCACGAGTTATTGAAGCTACGATTGCGGCGAACTCCTCTGCCGTAGTTCATGACTGGCTTCCTGTTGAAATCAACGCTGATATATTTTGCATTATCCTACCGCTGCAGACGTACGGGCAAGCCCAATGAACAATGCGAGAAACCCGCGCTCCCTTGCTATGCGTCACTATAATGCAACCCGTCGCCCGTCTACTCCGTTCCATCGTCCAATAGTGATAGGTTTGTGCAACAAGATTAAGCGCCCGGTCCGTTGTAGGCTTTATCAACGCCTAGCGCGGCGCGCTCCATGACTTGCTTTGAAGGGATCTCAGGCTCCCAGTACTCCTTCCCACAAGCTGGACAATGCGTATGATACTCCAGCCACCAATTCGCTAAACACTCCGAGTGGAAGAAGTGTCCGCACACGTTCAGTTGCGAAACCTCGCTGTCAAAGTTAATCGCTTCAAGGACAGCTGTGGCCGACTGTTCTTCCTCGCTTCGCCCAGTGGGATACGCCTTGTCACGCCCCAACATGCTGGAACCTAGTACCTGTGGCTTTGTCCCGATCCACTGACTGTGTGAGCGTCGAACCACACGTTGAGATTTGGATACGAGAGACTTATGACAGAGTTTGCTTATTGGTCCCACAAAGTTAGACCCTTATCCGACAAGTGTGAAGTGGTTTAAGCTCACCATTTCCCACCCGTCACTTGACTAAAGCTCCGTGCGTAAACACTACGCCGACCAGCTGATGTGTCAATTGGGATACGACGTACCCAAAGCCAAAGGTCGCGACGAGCTATTAGGAGGTTCGTGGCCCTTGTTGGCGAGCGTAGCCATTCCTGCCGCCGGCAACGCTTCTCCTACATGCGATACAGCGTGTTGACACAGAACAGACTGGTCAAAGTATCAGCAGATGTCTTCGCCCAAGGGCTGCCATGTAACGATGAAAATTGATAGTGCTAGCACGCTTGGATGGACTCACAGCATCACTGCCACCAGGACTGCGACGAGGAAGGCAACCATGACCTGGGAGGCCACATCAAGGTCTCTTCGGATGGAAGCGAAGAGGCGAAAAATTTCAGACATTTCGAAATTAAATATAAAATTATCAATAATGACATAGGTCCTGTAAGGAAGTACTCCGGTGCAAACCAATGGCGAATTTTGCGGGAGATGAGGAGTGGAGGGAATGGCGCCGATATGTCGCCCTCCGTCAACACTTGAACAGCCTCAATTTGTCAATATGTTTGGCCAGCAGGAGGGACTCATGAATGCTGTGCATGCAAGTGAAAGTAAGTGGCCACTTGCCGCCGCCGAACTTGCGAACTCGGGCGCTGCAAAAGGGAAATTTTTTGTGATGAGCAGTATTTCGAAGCGCCCTTGAAACGCCTGGCTCTTTCCCAAAATAATCTTGCCTACGTACCAAGAGCCAAGAGACATCAGCCGGCAATCGGAAACAACCAGTCACAAGGCTGCTCCTTCTCTTTTTGCGCATTTCAAGACCGCCAACCAAAAATTCAAACGTGAACTGAAGGTACTGGGCATATTTGGATCCTGCACCGGCTATCCCTGAAGTCCTCCAATTTGTTCATGCGTTCTTGGTATAAATGCTACCCGTGGCACATGAAAATTGTGTGTGTCATGTAACGCTACCTACCCACGTTCATCCCCAACGCTGACTGAGCAGTTTTAACGACTTCACTTGACGCCTCAACCAAGCAAAACAAGATTTCATGCTGTGAGAACGATCAAGACAAGCTGTCTGTGTGCCTCCGGGAAGAACTACTTCGCCGCGACAACGACAGCGACAACGACGACGACGACGACGACGACGACGACGACGACGACGACGACGACGACAATAACAACAACAATATAAGAACTGGCATCCTTGGAAACTTGCTTGGTCACGACCTTCTAAAGAGTCCGGTTATAGTGCTTCAAGACTATCCAACCATCATTAGCCAGCTTGGATGACGCGGGAACTCGTTTCCTGTGAAAGCACTGGGTGGCAATGACTACTTGTTAGCACCCTTTACACGCTGTGAGTGGACGACCACTAGGAGGTTCCGGCGCTTCGCACGAGAAAGAGTCGTGTCGATCAGTAGTAACAGAGAAGCACGAAATTATCTCTCGAGAAAGATGGCAAGGCTTGCGAAATTGTGAGGTGCACAAAGACGCATCTTGGAACAAAACAACTGACAAGATCTTTTCCCACATAACGATAGAGCCATACTCACGCATTCGTTGGCATTTGTATCGAGTCGAGTCCTAAGCACCAGTCATGTGCTAACCACCCCCCAGCTTTGTTTAGTTTGAGAATACGAACGTTCACCCCCACAATCTTCATCACCTCCCAACAAGCAGACTGGTTTCATCGGGGCTGGGGCCCAATGGCAGCTGTATACTAGCCGGGTGTTTCTGGGGCTGCGAAACGGAAAGTCGCTTACGGAGTAATAAAGTGAAAACTCCTCACTTGCTCCAGAGGAGACGGCCTGATGCGAGAAGCAAAGCCATCATTCGACAATTTGGCCACTGAACATCAAGAGGGCGGAAGAAGGTGGCCCACAAGTTCCAACACCAGGTCTCATCCATGGCCCGGCCCTTAACGGTTACTTTTTATCAACTCGCGCCACATGCCTTGGCAGGAATGTCCTAACACCCGCGACATTCTTATTCGTTATCCGCGGTCCGCCAAGACCAACCGATCCCAGTACGCAAGCCACGACACAGTGTCAGGCTCGAAATTTACGTACAGAGTCAGAAGACCGTCCAAGAACGGCGCTGGGAAGTATCGTGACTAATTGCGTTCAACTATTAAGCATCACAGCAGGGGCTGCCTTGGGCCGGAGAAATTTAATTTCTTAGAGTTTGCTGCTCGTGTGGCCTTTGACATATTATGTGAACAACGGCTGTGTCTTCACCGCAAAGTCAGGCATAGTCAGGAATTTCAGGAATGTCCCGCTGGCGATTCTAACATCGGGCGCTTTGCTCAACCTTGAGAGCGTCTTGCTACTAGCTCTCTGATGCCTTCACAGAACTAGAGACGAACGATGGTCGAAGATATTATGCGCTCACTGCGGTTCTAGAAATCCAAACTTGGCCGCAGGCGAACCCAAAACAGCGGCGACAATAAGACACAATATTAACATGCAGAGGAATTCAGATGTATTGCAGTCTAGCCTCTATTGCATCTTACATCTCTGTATGCGGCCCTGGCCTCGCGATATGCATTTCTCAACCGCGCCATTATTTGGTGTCGATAGATTCGTTGGACGACATTTCGGCATTTCTGCCCGACGGTGTGACTTGGGACGCCGACCTCAAACACGACTCTCGCTCCAAGGACGCAAACATGGCGGCTTGGAAAGTTCCTGCATCATGTGGACATTGGAAGCGATAGCTTCTGCACCAATCCGAGTTCTATGCTTGAATCTCCGACAAACTTGGCGCCAGAAGGCTGGGCCACACTGTACACCACACCACCCGTCACCAAAGCCCTCATATTGCCAAGACTGACGAATTGGCGCTATTCCCATCCTAACAGGGATGAAGCCACAAACTGGGTCTATTTTTCAATTCGTCAAACTGTTCTTCAGGTCACCCACCGTGGCCATGAAATCTTCAACTAAAAAGGCCATGCGTCCCACCTAATCCTGATGCCACTGCGCTTTTTCTGAATCCTTCCTCTTATATGTCGTTCTCGTGATTGAAGCCTTACCAAGCAGTTGATTCGGCTGTTTCGTGGGTGGCTACTAAATACAACAAACAACCTGCTCCTCTATTCGCAGAAGAGAAGAAGCACGCCGAAAAGATAGTCTCAAGGACGAAAAGACAGAAAAGTCTTTATAATTATTATTTTTCCCGCACCATGGGGGGCAAGGAACAAGACGATGTGCAAGCGCATGTGTCTGGGCAAGCAAACAAGCCCATGACTGCCCCTGCCCACGCCTTGGAGATCGAAGAGGTTGTTCGTCAGCTCCAAGCCAGCGTGGAGGCCGGTCTTAGCACCAACGAAGCCGAGAGACGCCTTGGAGAATACGGTCGTAACGAATTCGGGGAGCAGGACGGCGTTCAGCCTCTCAAGATCTTCGTCGGGCAAATCGCCAATGCTTTGACACTTGTACTGATCCTGGCCATGGCTGCGTCATTTGGCATCAAATCCTGGATCGAAGGTGGCGTCATTGCCGCTGTCATTATTCTCAACATCGTTGTGGGATTCCTCCAAGAATTCAAGGCCGCCAAGACTATGGACTCTCTCCGATCACTCAGCTCTCCAACTGCTCAGGCTATTCGAGATGGAAACAACCTGATCGTTGTAACAGCCGAAATCGTTCCCGGCGACATGGTTGAACTGAAGACGGGCGACACTATCCCTGCCGACATCCGTCTCATTGAGGCAGTCAACTTCGAGACGAATGAAGCATTGCTCACTGGGGAATCACTCCCTGTTCGCAAAGAACCCGTTCCAACCTACGCTGTCGATACGGGACCAGGCGATCGCCTGAACGTTGCCTACAGTTCATCAACCGTCACCAAGGGACGAGCACGTGGTGTTGTATTTGCCACAGGCCTATACACGGAAATAGGTCAGATTGCTGCTGCTCTTCGTGGCAAGAGTTCCCGTCGACGTGAGCCTAAGCGTCGGGAGGACGGCACCACCAGTCTTGGTCGCTGGGTGCAGGCTTGGTCTCTCACATTATCCGATGCTATTGGCCGCTTCCTCGGCGTGAATGTTGGAACTCCCCTTCAGAGGAAGCTCTCGAAGCTCGCCTTGCTCTTGCTAGGCGCTGCAATCATCTGCGCCATTATTGTTCTCGGTGCCAACAAATTCAACACCAAGCAAGAGGTTGTTATCTATGCCGTCGCGACTGGCTTGTCCATGATCCCTGCATCACTTGTTGTTGTTCTTACTATCACAATGGCCGCCGGTACGAAGCGTATGGTCCAGCGTCATGTCATTGTTCGCAACTTGAAGAGTCTTGAGGCCCTTGGCGCAGTTTCTAGTAAGCGTCATACCCCCTTACAATTTATCAATCGCTTAACTTGCCCGTAGATATCTGCTCCGACAAGACTGGCACCCTTACTCAGGGTAAAATGATTGTCAAGAAAGCGTGGATCCCTGGCCGAGGGACATACTCCGTCGGCGCTACCAGCGAGCCCTTTAATCCGACAGTCGGCCAGCTCGGTCTCAAACCCGCACAACCCAAGGATATCAACTTTCGTGGCAATGACACTGACGGTGAGACTATTGACGGCGCGGAAGCTGTCGCCAAAGATGCTACGCTCAGAGAGTATCTTAACATTGCCTCGCTTGCCAATCTCGCCACTGTTAACAAGGTAAATGACGAATGGCATGGCCGTGGTGACCCTACAGAGATTGCCATTCAAGTCTTCGCCTCACGATTCAATTGGAACCGCCTTCGCCTTTCCACAGGCGAGAAAGCCCCATGGCTCCAAGTTGCCGAGTTTCCTTTTGACTCCGATGTGAAGAAGATGAGTGTAATTTTTGAGAACAAGGCAACCAAGAAGCAGTGGCTCTTCACCAAGGGGGCCGTTGAACGTCTTCTGACCTCCTGTCCGAGATGTGCAGTAGGTGACGAGATTCAAAATCTCACCGAGAATATCAAGAATGATGTGATCAGGAACATGGAAGCCATGGCCCGCCTCGGCCTCCGTGTCTTGGCCCTAGCGAGTCGAACTGACATACGCCATGTCAGAGAAAACGAGGCTGAGTTGGAGCGCGGCGAGTTTGAGCAAAATCTGACTTTCCGTGGTCTCATAGGTCTCTATGACCCTCCCCGCCCAGAGTCAGCCCCTTCGGTACAGAAGTGCCATGAAGCTGGTATCAGTGTCCACATGCTGACTGGTGACCACCCCGAGACGGCCCGTGCTATTGCCCTAGAAGTTGGCATTCTGCCAGTCAAGATGAACCAGATTGCTAACGACGTCGCCAAAACCATGGTCATGGCAGCGTCTGATTTGGACAGACTAACTGACCAGGAAATAGACGAGTTACCGCTTCTTCCCCTCGTTGTGGCACGATGTGCCCCTCAGACCAAAGTTCGCATGATCGAGGCTCTTCAAAGTCGAAAGTGCTTCGTTGCCATGACTGGCGATGGCGTCAATGACTCGCCGAGCTTAAAACGTGCAGATGTTGGTATTGCAATGGGTCAAGCAGGCTCTGATGTTGCCAAGGAGGCATCTGATATCGTGCTTACTGATGACAACTTTGCTTCCATCCTCAATGCTGTTGAAGAAGGCCGACGCATGTTTGATAATATTCAAAAATTTATTCTTCATGTCCTGGCGGAAAACGTTGCCCAAGCATGCACTCTGTTGATTGGTCTCGCCTTCAAGGACCGGCGTGACCTTTCTGTGTTCCCTCTAGCCCCAGTGGAGATTCTCTGGATCATCATGATCACCTCTGGCATGCCTGACATGGGTCTTGGATTCGAGATTGCTGCTCCTGATATCATGCAGCGACCACCACAAAATGTAAGCCATCCCACAATCTTCTTCAACACGGGCATCTCTTTGTGGAAATATGATGACTAACAGTCCCCAAGCTGAAGCAAGGCGTCTTTACACCCGAACTATTGATCGATATGGTCGTCTACGGTCTCTGGATGTCTGCCCTCTGCCTCGCCTCCTTCGTCATTGTCCTCTACGGGTTTGGTAACGGCGCTGCTGACCTCGGAGACAACTGCAACAATGAATACTCGGACGATTGCAAGGTTGTCTTCCGTGCCCGCGCCACCACCTTCGCCTGCCTTACCTGGTTTGCCCTGTTCCTTGCCTGGGAAATGGTGAACATGCGACGATCTTTCTTCCGCATGCAGCCGAAGAGCAAGCGCTACTTTACGCAATGGATCCTTGATGTCTGGCGCAACAAGTTTCTGTTCTGGGCCATTGTCGCAGGCTTTGCCTCTACGTTCCCTGTTATCTATATTCCTGGTCTTAATACGGTCGTCTTCAAGCACGCTGGTATAAGCTGGGAGTGGAGCATTGTCTTTGTCGAGGCTTTTCTCTTCTTCTTGGGAATCGAAGCCTGGAAGTGGGCTAAGAGAGTCTATTACCGCCGCCAAGCGAGAAAGATGACGGACGTGATGGCTGATTTAGAGACTCGCACCTTCGGTCACTACTTCACAGGCGGTCACTCTAGTGGCGAAGACGAAGACGAGTCTAACTTTGACAGCGAAGCGAACAACGAAACCAGGGGTCGTCACGCCGGCGCCAGTGGGGAAAAGGGGGTTTTCTGACATGAGGAAGAAGCGGGAAGGTTCTTTATTTTTACTGCCTTTTCCATTTGCAGCGGCATTGTGCAAATGCCAGCGGAACTGTCATTTGTGTTGGTAAGTGCAACGCATGGCTCACCACGTCAAAGCAGAGCAGAGCTGGCGGAGAAGATGATTCATGGTAAGAGTATGTGGTTGCCTGAGAAAAAGGGAGATTGTCGCACTGGGACACTGTCCGTGGGACTATATAGCAACGGTGAGTTTGATCTGGTTCGCAGACCGAGGACGCACTCTAGCCAAAGGCTCCGTATTGCCAAGGTCGCCAACAATGTGCGCAGTAGAAGATGGTGTATAGTGAGAGTAGATAGCCTAGACGGTCGTTCTAGACCTTTTGAAAGTAAACCGTCATGGACAGATTGTGCAGTCTCATTGCCGTGGCACTGACGATGCGTAGAAGGTGGAGGCGTCTGCCCGGGCATCGACACTTTGGCGAGGCACTACGCCGGTTTGATCACACCAAATGGAGCCAACGCGCCGGAACTGACCATAAGCGACAACTAAAGAGCCTATAAGATAGATGATGAATCCTCTCGTAAGTAGCTCTCTGATGGAAACGTCCCCAAACGAAACAATAGGAATCGCATTCGATGCCGGCCCCGGATGTCATCGTGGCTACTCCGTCAAGATTCGGGTGGTAACTTACACGCTGGGGGCTTGTAAGATGCGAGATGTAAATGCCGACTTTGCAGAGCTACCCCACGCTTGTAGGGCTACTGCAACGGTCTGGAATCGACGTGTCAGAACTATTCGTCTGGATATAAGCCTTGCGTGGAGCAAAACGCTGAGCATGAGGCCGAATCATGAGGCCTAACGAGATCTTCAGTCTGATCATGCCTCGTGGTCCCAGAAAGCACCAGGGTAGGAGTCAAGTTCGGATTACCTAAATAGTTCTGCATGTGTCCTACCACACTGGTGCTGCGTCATGCATGCAGAGCATGGTCATTCAGCTAGACTGTGCAACCCAACAAGAAGGAGTCATTACGTCTATTACGTCCTTGGCCATGTGGCTGAGCTCGCGACGACGAGTGTCTCAGGGGAGGCTCAGGGACGACCGTGTTTGCAATCAGTCCTCATCGGTATCCGGCGATATCGTCTTAGCTGTGTATGTGCGGCGGATGAAAAAAAGGCGGTTGGTCCATATATACCTGTCGGTTTTAGCGACCGTTAATCTTTGCCTGATGTCGACTAGCAAACGATGCTTGAAGGCTGTCTGTCTGGGATCTTTACCGCCCATTTACACCAGACAGTGGCATCCGATTGCAACGAGGAAAGCCCTCAGTCTCTGGATGTTTGGCATCGGTCGGTCGGCTCAATCTGATATAGAAGCGACGGCACCAGGTTCCAATGGGCGCACTAGTACGGAGTACGGCGGGAGACAAAAAAGTAGTTGACCGGAGCTATCGGGTACTAGAATATACCGCGATATATTAGTGTATACTTATTGGCTGGCGAAATAACATATATTCTGCCACAGACTGGGCCAAAGTAAACACCGTGCCCTTCTCTGGAGCCGTGGACAAGTGTCTAGAAGGCGACCGGGGCGCTTACCGCAGGGGCCAGGACCAGGGCGACGACAAGAAACTGCAATGTATGGCACGATCATTCTGGACCCTCTCAGAGCCATCGTTTATTATTGATCCCACTGATGTTTAGCGTCGCGCAGCTTGCCGTATGAATACAAGTCTGTCTCTGTTGCCAGGGTATAGAGACAACAATCTCTGTGATTGCAGAAGTAGAAGAACAGAACGCACGACAGTACGGAGTAACAGACAGTTCTAGCTTTCGTTTCGGAATAAGCTGTCGGTGGCTACTCTTTAGCCCGTCAACGTTGAACAACCGTCGAAAAGCCGGGCGATAAGTCTCGTATTGACTGTGTGCTAGCTAGCCAATGATGAGCTGAACAATGCCACTGCATCAGAGCTTTCACGATATCCCCCAATACCCTTGAACAGGCCTTCCTTCCATGGTAGACACTGTGGAAGGGCCGGTCGAACAACAACATCTATACGGAGTACGTCTGGCTGGAAAGCGTGCTGGGTGGCGCTTGACTCACACGTCTTTTCTTTTGCCGACGCGGATGAGACCTCAAGCTCGCTATAACAGGTACCCGAGTGTAGTACAAAGTAACTACTACTCAAGTACGCAGTGCAAGAGCTGCATACTGAAGTACTCAAGTATGTTTTGCTTCCTGGCGCGAGCATGCAACTCCATGGCCGATGGACGGTGGTGACCAACAGATGGGCTGATCAGCAAAGTTGGATCGGTAGGACGCAGCGGACACGGCGAAATGGCTCCTGGAAGGAAGGCGAAGAGGAAGAAAGGAGCACGAAGATGAAAATATTGAAAGTTTGATGCCGATTCACCATTTGGACAATGAAATCCTTCCTTGCATCACCACGAATGCCCCCACGGGCAAAAGTCGAGATGGCAGGGACACACTCCGTACGCGGAGTACGGAGAACCAAGCACCTGCGAAGTGCGGACTCCTGCCTCCACACTCGATAACCCTTCACGCTCCGTAGTTCGGACAACGCGCTGAGCCTCAGGCACCAACCAATCCCATTAGCAGATGCCAGAGACTTATTCTCCCTTCAAGCCCGTGACAAGTTGCCAGTCACAAGTCTATGTTTGCAGGTTGACTTGACGGTCTGGTCCGTTGCTTCTTCGATCCAGCCAGCCCGGTGCGTCGCCGTTGTCGCTGTGCCGAATTGTGGGCGTCAATCAACCCCTGGCTTCCGAGTCGCTTTGCCGCCACCACCACTAGGCTTCCAAGACTGAATAATAAAAGCATGTACGGAGTACTCCGAACGAGTCTCTCATAGAGTCACCACCCCTGCAAAGACGCTCAGGCATGAAGTAGTTACTCGGGCTAAAGTTGTTTTCAACGTTCCGACAGCCTGCAGCTTCTCCTCTCCGGTTTCCGTAACGCCGTCACCAAAGAAGCGAACAACAGGATATCTGCTTGCGACTCGGCCGAGACAGACCAATCCTGCCTTGACGTCGGGTACGACACTTGCGAGCTTTTACTATGGAAGTAAGTAAAGCTCGCAAGCTTTTCTCTGAGGAGTCAGATGGGTACCGTCGAGACGTACGATGCTATCCACTGAACCCCATCCTCGAAAGCAACCGTTCAGGACAAGGGCAATATCCGCTGCCAGATTCAACCTCTTTTGCTGCGGCACTGCGTTTGCGGATAGATTGGCGGGCGGCCTCATCCGGAGCATTGGTCCAGTGTCACGTTTCTTTATATCTACTGGCACAGTCGTCGGGCCTGTTCAACTTGAGGAGCAAAGCAGTCAACTGGCTCGTGGTTCAGCGAGTCATCTCGAAAAAATCAACCCGGGCCAAGGTCTGGTCGCCCACGCGTCAGGTTGTGTGTTCCAGGCCCGGGCAGTATTGATTCCTTGATCCCAGGCCGCCCCGTGCGGGCTGATTTTGATTTAAATAAACAAGACCTGCCTTGGTGGTCGGCGACCAGCACCCGAGTGCCATTTTATGTAATGACATGATGGCGGCGAGGGATGAAGAGCAACCACCGGCCTTGGACCACCTCTGCTCTGCTCTACTCCGTACACCGAGTCCAGAGCGTAGAGGAATAAATCAGGACCTGGTGCTCCGTACCGCGAACTCTATTTCCAGTGCCTCAGCAATGCTCGCAAGGGTCCACGGCGTTTCTGTTTCCATGGGCGTTGCCGCTGCCAAGATTCACCTTTTTTTCTTGGTCCCATTCGCCCGCCATCAGGCCATGCACCACGACATGGCACCCATGAATAGCTCCACAGGTCTCACGCCAGAGTCCTGCGGTTCCGTGTCCGGGTTGTGGGCCAGTGAATCCAATTCATCCGGATGTCTTCTTCGGCTTTCACTCGTTGTCTCCACACCACGCTCATACGTTCTAACCACCCCATTGTCGTTGCGACCCTCCAACGAGAAGATATTCCCTCTGACCCCTGGTCATGGTTGAGTACGAAGGACTGCTTACGGGGTGCTCCATGCCTGCATACAGAGTACTACTTGTCTGCTCTGATGGACACAAGCAGCAGGAATGGCTCCCTAAAAAGGATTAGACGGTCTTGAACAACGAAACCAAGCATATTGGCACGCCACAGAAGGTGCTTGGTCTTTGCAGTAAACACTCGGTTCCACATCCTACTTGATAATTGCTTGTAGCTGAGCATTGTACAGCAGCAATATTTTCTGCTGAAGCAGTCGGGATACCAATAGGAACTTGAAAGTTGGTGTGTCTGGCCGGGGGGGGGGGGGGGGGTCTTTTTCTTGGCCCTGCCATCGTGACATCGAATCAGCTCCCATCCACAAGCTACAACCCTCGCCAAGGAGAGCCGACTTGCTAGGTATTCCATCTCGCCGCACACTGCTTGCCAGGCTGCACGCAGACGATAATGATACATACGCCTCCGTACATGCTCGATAGCTCCAAGGTTCTTCGAGGTGGCGCCTCCTCCATCTCCTGCGACCACTAAGAGCCCTGGTCACTGAATATCTTCCCAGAGATCTCAGTTGGCTCCTCATTTACCCATGAGTCTCGGCTGCCGTCCGCATAACCCGTTGTCGCGTAGCGTTGCGCAGTCCTGCTTTGCCAATCGTCCATCCATCAGCCTCTGCGCGGCCTGCTGGCTCGCCCGACTTCACTTTCCTCCCCCTCAAAGGTGGTAGAGGCCACAGTCTGGCCGAGCCTTTCGCCGCAGAAGCGCCAACTGGCGTTCAAGAACATTGAGATTTGACGTCTCTTAGCACACGGTTCTGTGAGATGAGGCAGGGTTGAACAGAAATTGTGGATGTTTGCGCGACTTTCATCAGCGATCCGGCGCTGGCGCAGTCACATTGCAACCTCCAGGATACGATTTTACTTTGAGTCTTTGACAACCGAAGAGCGGAGGGGATTTTTGACACCTTGTCGCCTCCTCCCGCCGCCATACTTCTTGACGACATCGTGCTCACAAAGTGGTGTAGATTGAGCCGCCGTCATCCTTCATCTACTGCCCCCCGGTGAGAGGGATGCCACATATGCGAGAAGTCAAGACTTGCGACAGATGTCGCCACTTCAAGAGGCGATGCGACCTCGTCAAGCCCTCGTGTACTCGATGTGTGCAAGCAGGAGTCCGGTGTAGTTTCGACATAGCTGGAACGACTGCGCCGGGACCCGATGCTTTGGAAGCGCCTTCGTTAGTCTTGACAAGCAACACAGCAGGATATGCGCGAATGCCGACTTCGGGACCGATCAGCTCTTCAGCATCTCCATCGAATCCAAGTAAGCAGACATCAGGATCTATGTTGATGACACGAGACACGTCCGCCAGCTCGCCCGCCGGCGGTCGTTCACCGGCCTCATCTGTTTCACAGCATCACCTTGGAGCAGCAGTGAACGGCTTGATCTCGCCAACAACAACCATCGAGAGTCCAGAGCCAAACCAGATTGCGACTGCCGACGCCACACCAGCTCAAAATTCTACCGAGGATGCGGCGAGTAACCAAGAAGGTCAACGGATTGTTCGCAAGCGTAAGCGCAACTGCCTTAGCTGTCTCCGCTGTCATCGCCTCAAAGTCAAATGTGATAAGGAGCTTCCATGTGGACGATGCAAATCTAGCGGCAACGGGCGGGAATGCTACTACAGCTACAACAAAGGACCAAACGGCGGCAAATTCCCTTGCCCTGCCGCACCGACCGGGGGGCCGATAGATCCAGACAGCAAGAAACCTCAGTTGGCGCCGTGGCAGATAACTCACAAAGTGCGAGGGTCGAGCCACTGGCGAGAATTGATGGCTAGGGTGTGTTGCAATCCCAGTGTCCGCGCCTCGAATGGAAGGCTTTGTGTGCCTACTTCCAGCCATGAGCATTACTGACGCATCCCTCTTCTCGCTCCAGATCGGATCCCTTACCCCAATGACACACTCGCCCCTTGCTAAGATCCTGGAGGGCGTAGCTACAAATGCTTGCTTGGCTAATTTCTCCTTGCCGGGAAATTTCCCGTTTGGCACCCCCGGCGCCACAAAATACTATGCCCGTGATGCCATCACCAGACTCATATCTGGCGAGAAGGATAATGTTGAAGAATACATTGACCGATACTCGGATATGCTAGATGTGGTGAACCCTGTTCTGGACGTGACAACATTTCGAGAGGAAGTCGATCGCTACTGGCAAGATCCAAATGCCGTCGGATTATGCTGGCTGGCGCAACTGCTCATGGTCCTCGGTCTGGGCTGCTTCACATCCGGAACCGATCCTCCCATTGCCATAGAATTCATGATGGCCGCTGAGGCATGCATCATGCAGACGCCCTTCATGTTCCGCCCCACGATCAGTACGGTCAGGGCGTTCGCGCTCATGGTTGTAGCTAAGCAGATTTGCAACGCTACGTGTTGGGCTATGGATTCATCCTACACACTCATGGGCCACTTGGTTCGCCTCTCCTTCATTCTTGGTCTGCCTCAAGAACGCAACGACAACGACGAAGAGCTAAGGGACCCTATAGAAAAAGAAATACGGCGGAAGCTGTGGCTCACAATTCTGTACCTTGATATCAAAGTCTCCATGTGCACGGGGATGCCGCCATTGACCCGGCCGGAAGAGTTGGGTGGCCAGAGAAATATGCCAAACTGGCGAGCCCCGGACAGTCTTCAGATGGTCCTCTTTCAGAGCCTTCCCATTGTACTAAACATTCTTGCGCAGATGAATTCGAAACGAGACCCCATATCCTACCCTGATGTTCTGCGGTATAACACGCAGCTCCGAGAGCTGATGGGACACGCCCAGCGTGTTTGCCAAGCGCCTCTACAACGCATTACCGTCGACATATTCCTAAGGCGATGCCTCATGGTCATGCACCGACCGTTTGCTCTGCACGCGGACGGACCTACCTTGTTTCCGGAATCTTACTGGTCATCAATGGAGTGCTCGCTCGCCCTGTTGTTTCACTATCGTGAGCTCTGGGACCCAGACGCCCCTCAACCACATGATTTGGTGGGCCGGCCGTTTGTTCTTGATATCTTCTCAGCGACCCTGACCACGTGCGTACACATGCTACGTCAGGATGCTCCGCTGAGCGAAGCAGCCGCCACCGGATGTCTCATACCCCCTCGACAACTTATCCTCGAGACGCTCGTTAGCTGTGTTGACATTTGGGCGGGAGAGCAAGAGAGGAGTGTGTGCTGGCGGACGGGATACCAAATCTTGAAAGCTCTCATGGTGATTCTGGATGCTCCTGGAGCACAGGCTAAGTCTCCCGAGATTGGACAAGCTCGATGACGTGTCTATCGCCGAGACCAGTATCGCCGAGTCCAGTATCAGCGAAGCATACAGGCCCAAGGCTACGCAACAGCGCTGTTGAAGAAACGGATCCTACCGGAAAGTTATGATTGTACGTCTCATACTTTGTATAAATTTTGAACTGAAGGAACGTAATGATATGTCGGCCCGAGAAATATTAGGGCGGAGACGTATGATAATGCGACCTCGCACGTCTTAAGACCAGACGTTGGCGTACCCCTCTGTTACTGCAGCAAGCTTGTTCTCTATTTCTCGCTCCACTCATTCTCTTTTTCTTTCCTTCTTTCTGTCGTTTGTCTCTTCGAAGTGGTCGATGTAATGTGGCGGTGGTGATAGCCCAGGATGAAGGTACACTGTAGACCAATTCGCCTCTCACTTTCTGTCCGTGGCGACTGGGCTTGATATCCGCGGAGAGAACTTGGTCATCATTTCATGCTGGAGAGTGCCATTCGACGATTATTTTATTTCTTGATGTAATGAGCCACCCCATGTTGTTGTAAATCTTGTTTCGCAAGGCTGAGTTTTGTGCGGCATTGGCAGGAGGCTGACTTTGCTACTGAGTCCTGACAAACGAGTCACGACGTCGATGCTGGCGCACAAGGATGGATTGGTTGGGCAAATATACTTCATTCTTCAGCATTGCCACGACCACCCACGCAGAAGTGGCATTTCACGTTCAAGTTTATCGTGAACGAGGGCGGGGTTTAGCTTTCAGCAACTTTCTGCCGCAAATGGCCAAACGTTCCGGGAAAGTCAAGCACATTTGCGGGCCAGGTTGAATTTACAATCACGGGCCGAGGCATGATGAGGCTGGACTGAATTATCCGAACTCGAAGCGCGTGGTGTCGAACAGAAGATGCAATACTGCTCGACTCGCCGGGTCCACGGATGCGACGTACTTTTGTGGTGGCTACTTGGAAGGCCATGCAGACTGACATTTGACATCCAAGCACTCGGTAGCTTCTTGAGGCATTGTCAATGTTGCAATTTCATGGCGCCACATATAGTTTGTGCCAATATACGTATCGCATCGCATCGTCACGGGCTTGCATACTCCCGTACGCGGTATTGCCACCGACTGCTGCAACGGCAAAGCTGGCAGGTTGGCGGCATGACACATGGCGCCTTACGCAACCCTGGTCGAGAGCACCCTGAGCTGACCAACGGCTTGGGGAATAGTATTGCTGACGGCTGAAGTCGATGGGATGACTGCAGGCAAGTATTGCAGTTTGAAGCGGTGGGCAGCGTAGATCCTACTGCATATGGGCCCTTGGAGAGGTTGTCAAATTCTGGAGAGAAACGACAAGATACCTCGGTATGTCTATGGTGTTGTCACATTGCTGTGCTAGATGGGTGCCATCTTGTGTCTTGAAGCTGGCTATGCGCCAAGGCAGGCAAGTTCTTTGGCGACGGTGGGCAGACGTTGGAACTCGACGAGGTGGTCACTCTCGATCAGGTTTGCATGCCTAGGTGGCTTCAGAGTATCGGTCAGAATTAGCACAAGTTGCACAATGCTGAGGTGCACGACGTTGTTTTTTAGTTCCTGCATGACCACGAGGTTGTGTGAGCGCGAAGTCGTGTGGACAAACAAGGTTTTGTCAATGAACGGGGAAATTGTGTGCCACAGGACGCGCCACGATTACCAGCCACATCTAGGGCGTCGACCTACCCAGGTATCCCAGGTACTCGATACTTTCTTCCTCATCATGGCGGTGTCAACCGAGTGCGTCATTGTCCTTGTACCCGTGTCGTCGGCACTAGCATCAATTTGATGCTGCTTCAGAGACCCGGATTGTTCAGTGATTGACAAAGCTGAACAGCTACTTATTCAACTGCCACGGTTCGAGCGACTACACATCATTGTGCATGTTGACTTGGTCAAGTCAGTCAATTGCGAACAGGCCGCTGCCCCGCCTCAACCCCTCCTGCTCAGGTACCAAGTACCTACTCAGCAGTATTTACTCCGTACCCGTCGACGTAGTTCTGTGTCGTGTGCCCCGGCTTCCAAGACATCATCGACATTCCCCAGCCCAACCTCAGTCGCTCAGTCGGTCAGTCGCCTGCCTGCTGCCGGCAACACTTAACAACACCAGTACATCACGAGCACAGGGCGCATTTGCCGCGCTATACTCCTCGTACCTCGTGGGCCTTCCCTCACCCGTACCAGCTTCGCTCTCCAAGTCACCTGCCGCCAGGGCGCCGGGCGACGACCAGTTGACCTTGATCGCCAAACTCCCTTTTCAAGCGCCGTTGGCCGTCACAATACTGTCGATCGAACAACATTTATTTAGGCTACCGAAGAACTCGTCACAATGACTTCTACTACACTAGATTCGGCTCCAGTCCATAGTCCTCCCGGACATGATGCTCAACGTCCGAGAGGTAAGCAGTGCCGCTCAAGATTCCCTTCAAACGGCTTGATTCATGTTTCTCATGACATTCCAACACATGGATGCCGCCGTACTTCAAATGCTAACAAACCGGCCAAGGTATCCTAAAGCATACTTCAAGTCAATCCCACACCTCCCCGCCGCCGATCACGTCCCCCCGACAAGGCCGCGAGCGTTCCATGTCCGGCAAGGAAATCACACTTGCCAACACCCAGATCAACGCTGGGCATCGACGATCCTCTTCCTCCGCTACCAGACCATTTGGTTCGCGCCGCTCGTCCACCCACGATCCCGACGGCCAAGCCGAATCGTCGCAGCGCCTCAAGTGGGACGAGGCAAACCTTTACCTGACGGAACAGGAGCGCACCTCTACTATGAAAATAACCGAGCCCAAGACTCCCTATGCCAAGCACTACGACCCGGCCGAGGACCCATCCGACGACGAGGGTAGTATGGAGGGTAGTAGTCTTCGGCGCCAAGCTTCAGGTCCGGGCGGTGAAGATGACATTCCGGGCCTTAGCCTGGGCGATCCGGAGGAAGAAATTTCAAAAGAAGACATTCCGCCACATGCGCGCCAACCCTCCGAAAAGACGGTTCATGTGGACGATCAAGATGCCACCCCCTCCGCCGAGGAGCAGCTGGTGGGAATTTCGCCAGAAGAGCGTGAAAAGCACCGCCAGTTTGAAGCCTTGCGCAAGAAGCACTATGACATGCACAACGTCGCTCAACTCCTCGGCGCGCCCGACTCCATACCGGACGATGACGACGACGACGAAGACGAAGTGCCCTCGGTGCCTCCACTGCCAAATGGCTCACATTAAGAGTCGGAGATTGCGAAAGCTTCTGAGGCGTAGCTCCGCCAAAGTGGCGGTCAATGCCATTTTGGAGGGAAAGGAACAGGCTTCAGGCGGATTGTCGCCAATTTTGCCTGCCACTGCACGAAGTTTGAGCTGGATGTCACTGCCGTCGCTACCGTCGCTTGGCTACGGACAGCCAGAAGCAAGCAAATCACCTGGACAAAGCGGCCAGTCACCGCGCTTGTCCACGGCATTGCCCTCGTCGCCATCCTTTCTCCGCCGACTGTCGTTATCATCAATACACAGCGAAACTTCACGCCCACGTGCCGAAGAAGCCAACGTCTCACCCCAGACCTCATCGCACACACCGAAAGCAGCATCCCCAGGACTCAGCTTCCTATCACTCGTTTCCTTACGTAGCCTGTCCTATATAAACCGCCAGGAAGAAAAGGGAATACAACATCCAGACATTGGAACCGTATCCCCTTCGACATCTGGTTCCTCCGTACCAGCCCGTAAACGAAACAGGTTGCAGAAACGAAGACATGCATTTAACGGAAGACGCCATCGGTTTTTGATTTTATTCCCCCTTGTAATTCGTCGGCGACGGGCCATGTTGGACGTCGGCACGCAGACCGACCCTCTTCCTTCCTGTGGACGCGTCGCCAAAACGTATGAGTTCTTCTTGTCTGGACTGGGATTACGAAGTCCCTGAATGAGGGAGCAGGAGGGTAATGGAGACGTAGCTATAGAGTTTTCTAATGATAGCCATGCGATCGCATCCGAATTATCTTAGTCCGATGAGTAGCTAGGAAATTTCCTGGTAAAATCTGCGTACCACCTAGATTTGTGTCCTTTCTCTTCTTTTTTCTTTTTAACCAAGAAACAAACTCTACTGTCACTGGCATGTCGTGCGTGTGTTCACACAACATGTATATATAAAATATATTCCAGCCTTCTATTCACCTTGGCTGCGCCGTATCCCGCTCATGTCGGATCAACACATCGTCCAAAAAGGCTCCATCACCGTCGTCTTGACGTGCCTGAATGCGACCCCATCCCTCTCATAGCCATCCCTTGCGCGCAAGTTCGATCTTTCTCGCCGCCTCGCCGGCCTTGAACCCCCCCTTTGAGATGCACACCCTCGTCCCCTCGCCCAGCTCAAACTTGTCCTCGTTGGCCGCCCAGGGGCAGGGGCAGTGGTGCGGGAAGTGCACGCAGGCGAGGGTGTCGGGGCAGAGGTATTTGTCGCAGTGGGCTGGTGGGAAATTAGCGCCCCCAGAAGGCTGCTGGACGAGGCCAAAAAAAGAGCAAAAGGAATACGTACATTGTTCGTACCGTGACACGTAGAGTCCCGCGTCGCTGGGGTTGTTCTGTTGCTGCTGCTGCTGCTGCTGCTGCTGCTGGTGCTCGTGGGCGTTGTGCCCGCCGAACAAGTGTTCGAAGAAGTCGAACTGTGCGGTGGCCAGGGCGAAGAGTGACATGAGCAGTATGAGGAGCTGCATCTTGCCGACGCTCTTCTGTGTTAATATTTTTTTGGCGGTTTTTTTCGTATCGCGCTTCGAATGGAGAGGGTTGGCTGATCGAAAATCATGTTTCTGACGATGAGGTGTCCGTTGCGCTTATCGATAGCGAAGGCAGGGGATGCAGGGCGGGGCGCTGACTCAGCAAAAATCTTGGACGTTGCGTCCGGGACGAGGGAAGCGTGGACAGCTCTCTAGTTCCAAGCATGTCCATTGATGACCGGGCACGCTACGATGCGGTTTCTCACGATGCGGCGGCCGCTGTTGGCTGCGGCCGCGAACTACGTGGGCATTGCCCGACCGACTGGTACGGGAGTGTCTGCTTTGGGGGGCGCTCCGTTGGCGAACGTGCTGGCTTGGGGGAGACGGCATGCTTCGGTCAAGGCGCAGGGCGCGTATAAGAAGAAGAGCAAGAGGGGCATCCCGAAGAAGCTTGGAGCCAAGAGGACAGGAGGTAGGCGGATTTCTTTGCATTTTCTTGTCACGAGGTGATGGCCTGATTGAGCACCGGGGTCTACCTGTTGAATTGGGCTCTTCGTATCCCCGAGTTGCTCGGGTTTGCTTTGCTCTGGAACCCACGGCTTACTCGTGCAGATCAGTACGTTATTCCCGGAAACATCATTTACAAACAGCGCGGCACGCAGTGGTGGCCGGGGGAGAACTGCATCATGGGCCGCGACCACACCATCCACTCCATGGCCACGGGCTACGTCAAGTACTACCGTGATCCGTCGCTGCACCCAGACCGCAAATACATCGGCGTCGTCTTCGACAAGGCCGACACGCTTCCCTATCCGAAGCACGCCGAGCGCAAGCGCCGCCTCGGAATGACTGCCTTTCCTATCCGTGCTGCGGCCGAGAAGCCCGCCCTGTCGCCGTCTGGGATCCCCTTTGAGGTGACCCGCGTCGAGGCCGGGGAGCCGGACAGGATACTGAAGTTGCGGTCCGACTACAGCTACCGCGAGGATAATTGGCGCATCGGCCGGCTGGCCCAGACGACGGGGCTGCGGACGAAGCGGTTCAGAACGCGGAAACAGTGGTTTAGGCACAGGCGGTGGAGGAGAGAGAGGGAGCTCGAGGGCCAGAGGAAGGCGGAGAGGAAGAGGGTCGAGAGCGGGGAGGCAAAGGGCGTCAAGGCTGTCAGCAAGAAGGCGGCCAAGAAAGCTGCGAAGAAGGCTGCCAAGATGAGTAAACAAGGCTAGGTGGAGGAGGATTGGAGACTAGGCGGAAGCGAGAAGACGGGCATTGTATTATACCGATGGGCACTACACTAGACGATTGACTGTGCCCTTTGTAATAATCGACGTTGCGGGTGGGTGATTATGCGTTTCGTGGTATGGGTGTCGAAGAGTGGTGAAGGACGTAGTTACGCTGGGGACGCAAGGTGGCCTTGCTCCCGATCGTGTTCCGTATCGTTATGTAACGAAATGTGAGTTGTGCCGGCATGCCCGTTTCTGTATATAGGAGTGGATTTTCGATTTGCTGTTGAGTCGACGTTAATTGACTGGATTAACGTGTGCAGGCTGATTTCGCCATGTTGGCGCTCTGCGTCGCACCTTCCCCACCACTAGCCGCGAAGTAACGCGGTGCTCCGTCGCGCGTCGTATTTCAAACCTCAAATCAAGTCGAGCGCCTTCAATGAACCACCCCGCGAAGCGCCGCACGGCTTCAAACTGACCGCTTGTACATCCAGACGGCACAGGGAAAAAATTTCTGGCTGTCTGCCCGACCCTGCCTCCTACTATTGAGCTGTCAGAAGCACCTGATTCCGTACGAGGCTCAAATTCATTGACCCACCCCACGTTTCCATTCACTGCTTCGGCTTAGGATCATGATATCTTGCCATCACAGCAGGGCTGCTGGGTCTGGATAAGATTTTACTCATCATTTCAGCCTCTCAAACGCCACTGGGCACATCCTCGCGACTCCCGCCCTCGTATGGAAATGGAGTCGGCCTTGATGCCGGATCTACCCCCGGCTCCTATAGACGACGAGAAAGACGATCCGACCTGGGAAGCCGACGGGATACACTGGTCAAGCAGCTCTGATGACGAGGAGGAGTCTCTGGCGGGAATGAGCCATATTTCTCCCCTTAGTGACAGCGGTCCAGGAGCAAGCGCAACTCTGGGGAAAAGTGAGCTGGCGAACGGGTCACAGGTCGTGATATCCAACAACGTCACCGACCGCCAGAAAAGCCACGACGCGCCCAGGATTGCAGCCGACGGGCAGTTGAAAGATGAGCCTCTTGGTCCCCGCCGGGGGGGGAGTTTCGACTCTGATAGCTCCCTAGCGTCCATTCCTGCCGCCATCCGGCTCAAGGAAAGTGAGTTCAAATCTACACACTTGTTCAGATACACCTCTGCTGACGCTGCCAAGCACCTGTTCCGCTGCCTTCTACAGTTGCAGCACCTGGTTTATTGCCGACACCTGTTTCTAGTCAACTAGGGCGACCGAGTCTTCCATACACTACATCTCTTGTCCCACCTCCCGCGCGTCCCGTGCCTCCCGCGCCTCCTGCACGTCCAGCTTCAGGTCCTCCCTCCATAAGTACGCCTGTTCCACTTCCGCCGACTACAAGCCAAAGCACTCCCGCGGTGCAGGTCATTGAGAAGACGACGTGTAGCTCAGCTTCCGTCACTAAACGTCCGGACATGAGAACGCCGGCGGCAGCTTCTGGTACACCGAGTACAAGACTGGAGCAAACACGCCAGTTTTTGACAGAGGAAAAAGCTCAACCTGCCACGTCACCTGGAGCATTTGCTACGTCTATGGAGCAGGCGGCCTGCGCCAGGCCGATCGAACTTGCCACGGATGGCAGGCAATACACAATCTATTTTGGTGCGTGAGAAGCCGTGTCCCAAATGTGAATCCGACGCTAACTCGAGAGTTCCAGATCCATATACGAGAAAGGAGATAGCAACAAGGGGAGTCTTGATACCAGAGGGGTATAAGTTACACACTGACCCCTTGTTTCCGTTCATCTGCCCTGTTCGAGACTGTCGACGCATCTTGAAGACCCTGTATTCGATATCTGGACATTGGCGAGCTAGTCACAACAACATGATGTTCAACGATAATAGAGATGGAACCCTCTCGAAAATCAAACCATACAAAAACGCTTCGGGATGCTCACCAGGCATTGTTGTATCACAGGTTTCAATACCCAGTACGGCTCCCCCGCCCGCTGAACCTCGTCTTCCCGGTCACGAGGCCAGGGTGGCTAAACGCCAATGGGACGAGCCAGAAATACACCAGGATAGTAAGCGACGTTTCATGCCAGAATTCCGTGGAGGTCCATACATGCGGTTCATGAACCCTGTTGCGTATATGGCGGAAGTTCATTTCGGTCGTAGGACCTCCACGCGGCCTGATATTGTAAAGATGCTGAGGCTGCCTCGAAAAAGAGATCTACCCAAGGAATTTTTGGACAGACACGAAAGAGGAGAGCTCTCTCCACAAATTTATGCCTGCGCTGTTGCCTACATTGTTGGGGACGAACTTTTCGGCTCGCGGGCTTGCCATGCTGCCACAGGACCTCTCGCGCGTTTATCGAAACAATGCATCGTGCTACCCAGCTCGATACAATCGGAACCGAGTATAGCCAGGATGTTCTCTCCCCACAACAGGTGCGTTGGTTGCGCATATATGGCCCTTATTACATGTAGACCGGATCAATGTGAGCTGCAGACAGCGGCCAGGGCAGCAGACAGCCGAACACGGGCGTCCTCGGCACGCTCATTAGCCGAGATGCCCGTCCCACGGCCATCAGAAGAAGCGTCCCTGCGTCGACAGCAATCTTCTCCCGCGCCACTCGTGCGAGAAAGCGAGCATGCCCTGGCCGGCCGACGGGCCGTGAGGCAAAGTGTGCTTAACCGCCTCCACGTGGACAGGGACCTTGGGGAGCGGGTTCAAGCAGAAAGAAAAGCGCAAAGCGAGCAGTCTGATGATACGCAGCTGGAGCCTGCGACACGCATCCAGCAGCAAGGACAATTCGGCACACCAGACTATGAGTTGGAAGCATGGGAAATCGCCCCTGGACGAGTGGCAAGCGAGGACTCAACCCGAAGTATGAAACACCACATGCATGACGTGTTTCAAGAGTTTTACAAGCTGACCAGTCCACAGATGTAGCGTACTCCGGCGCCTTCCTCACTTCTTCAACGCCCATCACAATATCACCCGACGTTTGCTTCAACGTGCTCACCATCCGGCCAGGTCAAACGTACAAGGTGCAGGTGCAAAAGGACAGAATGCAAGTATTCTCAGTGGCGTCGGGAAAAGTAAAGGTCAAGACGGGCGGCAAAGCGGTGCAGCTGGGCCCAAACGGGGCCTTCCCCGTCCGGCCAGGCGAGAATTGTCTCATTGAGAATCGGATATACTTTGAGGCCGTGGTTCACTGCACGACGGTCAAGGACTATGAGCTTGCATAGATTTTCTTCTTCTTCTTCTTCTTTTTTTTACCCCATCCAGGGACGGACATGATTCGCTTTAGCGTGCGCCTGAATGTCGGAGTCATCATCGATGGTGGCTGAAGGAGTCTTCAGCACGTATGAGTGGTTGCTCAGCATTGTATAGTATTGGACTTGCAGCCTGCATGGTGGTTATTGTTAACGGGTCTTTATGCCCTTTTGAATCTGCCATTCTGCCTGACTTGGTCGGTATTGAGGTGCTTGGCTGGGGCATGTAACTACATCGTCTCGTTTGGAAACTACGGACCTCTAGTACCAAAGTGTGTCATTCCAGTCGGATCGACCTGATGCCTTGAGACTGCCATCTACTGAACAAACTTCTGCCCTGGGTCTCATGATCATAGCGGGTTCAAAATCAAGTCGCATTGTTTGCGTGCGAAGGTAGTCAGGTCGGTCACCCGTCTCCCGAGTCGGTCTCCCGACCACGCGGGGCCAATCACGACTCACGAGGCACGAGCATCACGAGGTTGCGCCCCGGTCTCACATGAGCTGCCCCAACCTTGCAACATGAACATCAACCCCCCCCCCCCCCCCCCCCCCTACTCTCAACGATGGAACAAGCACGAGTCGAGACGTCGCATAACATGAGGCGAGTAGCGGCCTGCTGCGTGTTTGCAATCGAGGGTCGTGACTTGCTGCTTCATGACACACGCCATGGGATGTGACGAGCCGCAGTAGGGGATGGACACAAAGCGGAGGTTTTAAGCCTTGTTCTTACGTTCGCTTCTATCTTGTTTCCTCTGTCTGGACTGGAACCATTCTTGCTCGCGTCAATATCCTGAATCCGAACTGAGCCGCCTGTGTCGTTTGAACAGCGGATGGGCTTCAAAACCGATACCCGTACATATACGAACCGATCAACCTGGGCGCCGGGCACCGGCACCGCGCACATTGAGCACCGGGCTGCATAGCGCGTCAGAGCAACTCGGCCAGCTATGTTTTCCCGCTCAGCGACTTCGCCCGTTGCGCTTGCCGTCAATCCTGGAAGTCCGCGCGTCTTCGACCGTCAAGGCGCGGCATCTCTGCAGTCACCGCGGCCCCCATCGCCTGACTCACAAGCCTCACGGACGCCTGCCTCTGACTCCGGGTCCGATCCCAAGCGAGACGCCGCCGTCCGCCGTCAAAGTTCCCAGCTGCGCTTCACAATCGATCCCGAGGGCCACCTCACCCACGACGAAACCACCGTCGACGTCGTTGCGGTTCCTTGCCCCGGCGGCCATCCCCTGCGCAGCTGGAGCCGCGATGGCCTCATGGGTCGCTACTACGGCGCTCTGTCCATGAGAGACGCCCAAGTCAAAGACGACTCTGAGCGGCCGGCGCCTTCGTGGGTGAGGCAAGGCATACGACGGGAGGCCGACAAGGCGCGCATCTTGCTGTACGAGCATCCGCAAATCGAGGAGGACACGACTCTGAGTGCGCTCGCAGACGGCCTGCTGCATAACCTGCAGCATCTGCGTGAGAACGAGCACGACGAGCGGCCGGTTGTGTTTGTTGGACACAGCGTCGGCGGGCTGGTGGTCAAGATGGCGCTTGTCAAGGCAGGCAGGGACGCAAGATACGAGAACATTCTAAGGCAGTGCTATGGTGTAGCATTCTTTGGTGAGTCTTCCGAATCGCCGTCGCCACGGGTTCGCCCCAGGGAGTACGAGATGCTCACCAGTGGACGCGGACAGGAACACCTCACCAAGGCTCGAGCTACTTTTCCCTACCCAGCCTGGCATGCAGCATTCAGAACCTGCTCCAGCTGTCCTCGCCCCTTCCTGCCTCGGTGACGGACGACCTCCGTGTGGGAAACAGCCTGCTCATCCGCGCCGACGAGGACTTCAAGGCCGTCTCCAACGACCTGCAGGTGTGGACGTTTTACGAGACCATCGACTCGCGTCTCCCCGGGGGGAGCGCGACTTCGGCATCCGAGTCGAGGGAAGTCTACTTCACGGCACCGCTTGCGTCCATGAGTTCTGCCATTCTGGGCATGCGACAGGAGCGCATATTCCCGTTACAGAGCGACCATGCCAATATCGCGTCCTTTGGGAGACACAATGTCCGCACCTTGCACATGTTTCTCAAGCAGCTGGCCCACCAAATTGGCCACGCGGATGCGAATGTGCGTGCAGAGAAGTTCGGCGGTCAGTGGAGGCTGGGGCTGGAGCACAAGGTAAACGTCGAGGTTCATGGGTTCTTTGACGGTCCGCCGCCTAGCCAAGGCCAGCTCGAGGGCGATGGTTGTCCGATCGTCAGGGCCTGGAGCACCCGGCTGCCGCTGAGGGAGTTCCTGAGCAAGGGCCCTGATGGGTGTTTGAGCGAGCGGCTCAACGAGGTGGAGGCTAGTCCGGAGGGAGGGAGGCTTTTGGGACGTGGTGGAAGGACGCCTCTTGCCCAGGAGGGGAGCGAGATTGCGCCCGTGCCGGCCGCGGCCGCGGATCCCACGACGGTCAAGAACGCGTTGGGGATTCAAGACGCCGTGTCTAGAACGGGGGCTGCAACGTCTCCCGTGTCACCGAAGGTTCGGCCTCTGGATGCCGGTTCACCAGGCACCCGTCCGGGACCGGTTGCTACACCTCTTGGCCCAACGATTCCCCCATCGCGAGGAATCTCTCCGAGATCAAGTCCCTTGGGCAGGTCCCCGCCGCTGGTGAGAGCAGACATTGACCAGGACCTTGCGGTAGATCGCCTCTCGCCGCCGCTCCGAGGCCGTCTGGGCGGCCGCTCCATTAGCCGCTCATTCAGCCTAGGAAGCGACGGATCCCGCTTCGAGTACAAAGACTTCCCACCGTTTTCCCCGCGAAGCCGTAGTTCTATAGGCGATGTCCTCGGCAGCGATGACGAGGACCTTGATTCGCCAAGGCTGCCCGAAGCCGTGGTAGCTATTCGCAAGCTTACCAACACAGGGACAGGCGATGCGAGCGAAGTGGTGATTGTGGATCAGGCGCCCATGGCGTTTGTGAAGCCGGACGTCGAGAGCCGCAAGTTCCTCTGGGTGCATGTGCCGTTTAACAACCCGACCTGGGTAAAGGTGAGCTGCCGCAGAGAAGATGCTGATGCGAGGGCACCAGTCGGAAGGGAGGTGGTGTTTACGCTGCAGAACTGACTTGTCTCGTAGAGCGTTTTGCAATCTCTTGAGGCATCGTACAAGAAGGACTATTCAGCCCTGTACGGCCAGGACTTTTGGATGACGAGACATACTCGGGGGCGGCATGCGCAGCACTACGCGCATTATGCGAAGCCGGGATGTTACTTTTCCGCTCCCAGGACCCGTAAGACACCAACCAAGACGACGAAACTGAAGTTCCGTACAGCCTCCTGACCTTTGCAGTGTCGCCTCGAGGCCGGTCCATGGGGGGGAACCAGTCCCTTTCACCGCCCCTTGGAAACGGCGACTCGAGTTACATTTGTTTGTTTCTTCCCTACCTCCACTTTGACTCGTACAAGAAACTTCTCCGCCGCCGGAACACCATCATTCGACGCCTCTCACAGGGCCGCGCGCAGCCCGTGCCGGAGACGGTCGCAAAGTCTGATTCGCTGGAGCTCCAAGTCATCTGGGAGTATCTAGGCCACGATCCGCCCATCAACTGCCGCCGCACGCTGGACCAGTATGGATATCCGTCCCTGCGAGATACCAGATCGCGCGATGACGACCAAATGCTGTACAAACTCACCAAGGAGCGGGCCCCCGCGCCCGACGGAAAAGGTGGTGCGCTGAACAAGCAGGGCTCGAGCAACGCGGCGGCTTCAGAGAGCGGCGGGAGCGGGCAGACGCAGCCGACTTCAGGTTCGGGCAGCAGCTGGCGCGAGCGGCTTCTGGGCCCAGACGCCGACGACGACGACGACGACGACGACGACAGAGTGTTGAACGGCAACGTGCTGATGGTAGACCAGTTGTGGCTCTGGGTCATGCAATCGCGTAGGCAGCGGCCGCCATGTCGTCCCGCCCCGTGCACAGAAAGAACAGAAAGCTGACGTCGGCAGACACGGTCGTGTCCTTTTTCCCCAGGAGAGAGAGCGACCCCATCGAAGGGCCGCTGTACCAGCAGGCCGACCTACGAGACAGCATCTTCAACGAAGTCAACGTCGACCTCACGAGGCGGTGCGAAAACGCCCACGACCTGGCCGCCCTGGCTGCCCTCCACGCCGTCAGCGTACTTCTCGACCGCTCGTCCCACCCAGACCTGGAAGTGTTTCGAATCTTTGAAGAAGCCATCAGCGTGCTCGTAGGTCCCCTCGCTCACCCCCCCCCCCCCCCCCCCCCCCCCCCC